ATATTATTGCAAATTACATATCGCACGTTGTTTGCACAGGTAGGTGTGTGAAGTGTTAATGTTTGGCTCAGCCAGATAAACTCAATACGTCACTTGTTTTGGAGACGTGAGGTGACTTTGTAAATTAGGACCTACGTCATGGGTACAGTCGAGAATAAAAACTGAACTCGGGTATTATTGGATTAATATTGTCTTTTGCTCTGCGTCGTTCGTTTAGTTATAAAGTTATTGATATTGAAGATGCTTTTAGACGTATCTTCAATATCAATAACCATACCATTGCCACCCCTGACAAATAAAGGGTTTATTTGCCTTGATATCAAATTTTTTTTCTTCTAACTAGGTATATGATATCCAAAGACATAAATAGTCATCATCATCATCATCAGGTCATTTAGTCTCCACTGCAGGAGCACAACCCTCTAATTTACCAGAGGCAAATGCAGGATTTGGCCTACACTACCCACGCTGGCCAGACGGGTTGGAGAGGCGAGGCTATGTGCTTGATAAATTGCTTGTTTATAGCAGGCACTGCCTTATTATGTCCATAGTTGAGAGGTTACATTTAATTCGACTTACTTAAATTTTATCCTCCAAATACCTTGATAGCTGCTGCACCTGAAAATGAAGATAAGATTGTGTAATCGATGACTTTTGTTACCGACGGTATACAAACAAACCACGCCTATAAACGCCGGCGAGGCGAGTATACCGGCAATTGTAGACCACCAGTGCTCGCAGAAACTCATAACGTGCAAGTGATCTAGTTGTCTTCTTGATTTGATTTAAAAATATATTTTGATTTGATTTCATTTCAAGAATGCCCATCAAGATATCTTACAATGGCGACACAGAAAAGTTTTGTACGAGTAAGTGTTAAATTATTACATTTAATGATTACTTATTATTTTATATCTAGCTCTATATGGTGAACAAAATGTGGAATAAGTACTCTAGTTGTGACGTAGAAAAATGGTGCTCATTTTCAGTAGGTATTTTGATAAAAAGTCTTTACCTCCTGACGATATTCAATTCTGACAGTGGCTACGCCTGGTTCTTCCCATTTGTTGTCCCTTGCTGAGATACAGTTTAAATTAATACTAGGACGTATAAAACAGCTTTCTAGCAATCGAGATTACCTACTTGCAAAATAAATTATTTTAAATAAATGAATTTAAATTTAAAAAAAAGTGGGCTTTTAACTGAGCGGCAATACACGGACCGCTTGAAGCAGTCAGGGTCGACAGCTTCAAGCTGTCGACTGCACTGTGAACTGCAGAAGTGCAGAGTTCTATGGAAGCACATACACGAACCGCTCGAGCAGTTGCAACTGACCGGCCTAAGGATTTTTTTTTATCCACAATGAGGAAGCTCTTGGCCTGTATCTCAACTGATGGTACGTGAATTCTGTGATTTAACATTCCTGAAGGACTATTTTATTATACTTTTCGCAGAAATGTAACAAATATACGACGACTATAGATAACTTATAAGCCAACCTCTAAAAGTTATTTAATTAATTAAGTAAAACGCGATAGCGATAACTTTGAATGACATATTCAAAAATGTACGCTGGCAGATTTTAGTTACGTCCAATAAAAAGAAAACCACTTTAGTCGACAACCACGTACTCCCTGACCTTATTAAAGCCATTAAAATGTTGCCGAATCTTTGTCATAAAGTTCCCAAATTCAGGTTGAACTTGCGAACTTCACAAAACAATGCTACGGTCGCGGTCGCCTCTTACAGAACAATGGACCCCGCAGTGCGGTGTTATCCGGGACCCCTGAGATTTACATATCACGGCTTTTTATGATATTTTAGTCGAGTTGGCAGAGATATTGTGGAGTGGTTTTAAAACAGCGGTGAACGCGACGGTTAGGCTACGGCACCATCTTACTTCAACTGTAACAAACGTCAAAATTCTGTCAAACTCCATACAAAAACACCAGTTATTGTTAATGTTATGGTTAAAATAAGGTGATGCAACTCAGCCTAATCTTTTGAATAGTCTGAGACGGGTAACATTTTTAGATTATTTTGATTAGGATAAAGTTAGAAGTAAGTACTACCTAACTTTATTATTAAAATTTTTCGTAAAATAGGGAGCAAATATAACGTTCACGACCGACGATTTGTTTCAATTTATATAAAATTGCTTTTGCCCGCGACTTGGTCTACGTTTTCAGTCCGTTATAAAGCAGAATACTAAAAAATTTCCGTCATTCATCATCTTTGTCACGTTAATGACTTTTGTTATTATATCTAATCAAAAATTTAAATGACAAGAATTTTTGCTAACATGACAAAGATAATGCTAATCGAGACGTCATCAACCGATTGATTACATACTTTGATTATTTATTACACCATTAGGTTCATTCCTTAAAGATCTCTAATCTAATTTCTTATCAACACGAACATTGATGTAAACTAGCTTATCAAAACTATAAGTATCATTAAATTCCAGCAGTCGTTTATTATCAGATTACGAAAAATTCCCCCTTCTAGCTAAGTTACTCTTGAATGTACCTATACACCATTTGCCTTCCCATTCATTTCACGAATCCACACGAGCAGAACCGCGGTATAGGCTTGTAAATTGAAAATTAATTTAGGGCTGTTCCCATTACTTACTCGAAATCGAAGAGGGAATGCAAAGCGCCCTCCCAAACTGTGTACCAAGCCTACCAAGACCGACCCAAGGCACGTGCTTCGAGAAATAGCTACAAATACGAAATGAAAGTTAAATTGCCTATTCCTGTGCCAAGTTTGTTCAGCTCTACACTTACACTGCGGGGATCAGCCTGCTAAATAAAACAAAAGGATCCCAAGGTTTTAAGGCAATATTTAACAAATCCTTGCCATTATTTAGGACCAGAAACATAACATAAATCTTCCTTACCAATTCTTATAACAGCTAGATGTTTCTGCGCTATTCCAAGATGATAAATACTTACTTATTGATTTATACTTTTACTTATTTGTAAATACATATTATGTAAGTATTATGTCTGAGTAATATAATTTCATCATAATCATCATTTCAGCCCCAGGAAGTCCACTGAACATAGGCCTCCCCCAATAATTTCCATATTGACCGGTTGGTAGGGCCTGCATCCAGCGCTGCTACCTTTATGAGGTCGTTTGCCCACCTTGTGGGTGGACCACGCTGTAACAGGGATAATATTTTATGGTTCAAATAACCCAACAATTCAATGCGAATGTAAACTTGCTTACCTAAGCCTGTTCCATAGAACTCATATTTCTACGAAATTAATGTAAGCAGTCTATTAGATCACTGAGATCGGATTCCATGAAACTGGCTTTGAGGAATTGAATGTTTTATTAAAATCCTCTTTTCCAATACCTCTAAACATCATCATAGAAATCGTCTCGTTAAGTCCCATACATAGGTAGACTGATTTGTAAGTAACGAGATCGATGCAATAAAGATTGAATTATATTGCTACCCTAGCTACCCTAAAAAAACTGTCTTTCAAGGAGTTGGAACTGTCAAAACTGTCTGGCTGTTGGGGAAAATACTTCTAATTATTGCCCAAATATTATACATAAAAATCAGATTTAATGGTATAACGTTAGTAGAATTACAGTCTTTTGAATATACAGAAAAAGCCACCGTAAAAGTTAGACTTACGTTTTATACTATAAAATCTGATTTTTATGTATAATATTTGGGCAATAATTAGAAGTATTTTCCCCAACAGCCAGACAGTTTTGACAGTTCCAACTTCTTGCCAGACAGTTTTTTTAGGGTAGCTCCCAAAGCCACCACGACCCAAACTTCATAATTCACCAACATTATATCCTATATTGGGAGCATATGCTGACAAACTTTCAGCTTTTATAAAATGACGTAGGTCTGGCGTTCACTAGCTCTTAGTCTACTAGGAATATTTGACAAAATTCTGCAATGCTCTAAAGTCGACGCTCTATTACTAAAGAATTCGGCTGCCACGTCGTGTGACATAATAAAATAGACGTAAAAACTGGCAATTTTTCGCTAGTGAAAACTATTTCAGAAGAAATGCATGTTCATAAAGATTGTGCAATGCTGTTAAAGTGTCGTCATAGCTCGGCTCGCGCGCCGGAATTTAGTGACATTACATTTATAGTAGCGAAGAAATATAAGCTGAAGTTATGAAATAATTAACTTAAAATAATTCACCAGATAGGTATTATTTAAGATAGTACCAGTTTTATGACGTTTCAGATTATGATAATAATTCAACTATTAAGTCTTTGGGCACAGCTTTAAATGTTTAAATAATCTTAATGTGCACCGTTCATATTGCAAAAACTAACTCTCAGTATGGACATGTAAAAGTGGACATTCTGGTATCGGCTGATTCTTCATACAAATTATAATTGGGTCTAACTATTGGTCAACTAAGTCGGTGGTTTGCGGGAGGTCTTACTTATCAACGTGGCTCTGACACTGACTCAATTGTTTATTTAATATACAGATACGAATATTTACAATTATACAGGTCAATTAAGTACGAATATTTATTAGGTTAATTAAGTTTATCCGTTATCAAGTCGTCATAACAAATACAGGGTGACTTTGCAATCAGTATCCAAATTTTTAGGCGTGACTCAGAATCAGCTCAACTTAATCGATTCACGTAAAGAAAACATTTTTTTTAATTAATTATTTATTTTTATCCGCTGCGCGCGGTTTCAAAATTTCACACACGTGGGTAATAATTGCTTCGTTCATAGAAAAATACGTACACACATTTAACTACAAAGCTTAATATACGTAATGGTACGCGAAAATAAATAACCTTTACGAATTAAGATACGGGCACCCGCGAATTACATTTTCAATAATATTTTTCCCGAAACATACCATGTTTAAAAATGTTTATGATGTAGTATGTATGTAGAGCTTTTTAAAAAAAATTGGATACTGAATACAAAATCACCCTGTATCAAACTTGGAGCAATTGCTTTACCATGTTTATTTCTTGCAGCAACATGGGTGAACCGCTGCAGCGAAGACCTGGAATGTCTAGACCTGGAGGAGGAGCAGCCGCTCGCTCAGCTCAGCTCGGTGCAGACGGACAAACTCACGCTGTTCTTCGCGGAGTTACTGGACCACGACCGCGATGACGTCATCTGCGAGGAGGACTTCGACCAGTTCTTCGAGGTATGAAGGTATCAGCACTGATATATTACGTGAAGAGTATGTTTTTTTCTTAATATGTACGATTTAGTACGAGGATCCTGAAATATTACAGACTAGCTTTCCGCTCGCGGCTTCGCCCGCGTGGAATTTTCAATGGAAATTTCAATTTTTTCGTGGAAAACTTTACGCGCGAGTCCGTTTAAAAAACCGGGATAAAACTATCGGGACAAACTATCTCTATGCCAAACATCAAAATCGGCTCAGTAGTTTAGGCGTGAAAGCAAGACAGACAGGCAGAGCTTTACTTTCGCATTTTATTAGTATAGATTTAAGTTTAAAAGACTGAAAAACAAGCCAAACTATCTAACTGGAAACAGATCTGAACTATTTCCCGCTTTTCCTGGCCTACCTAAAGATTTAACTCCTAGTCGAGAGTCCAATGTAGACCTCGTTGGTGTAACTTTTATAACTTACCATCTTATACGTTGCTGAAAATAAATGTTGTTATTGTGACTTAAAACGCAGTTACGAATAAGAAAGTGATAACAATGCGTGCTATGACCGATAAGGGATTCTCTTTTGTTTTTGTTTTTTTAATAATGAGATAAAAAGTTCGCGTAATATTCACATAATCAGTAGGTAATTGTTTATCACCTGGAATCTGTCAATGACCTTCCTAGGTTATGATCTTCATTTGTTTTTATTTCAAAATTCAAAATAAGAATCTTTTAATTAGCAGCACAAATATCATCATCGAATTAAAAAAAATACAAGCAGAGTTCTTTCACAAAAATTCCTGGCTGGTAGGAAAATGTATCCGTATTTATAAAGTGGTCCTTGAGCGAACTGTTGCGGAGTGTACCCAGTGCCGTATTATCCATAAGGCACTTTAGGCCAGTGCCTAGGGGCCCACTATGTCCAGGGGCCCACTATGACCAGGGGCCCAGCACTCCCGATTAAAAAATTTAAAAAAAAATGTTAAAGATTATTTTTATGCAACAAAACTCAAACCACCTCAAAACTTCGCCTTATTTTGGTTTACACATTCAATAGTCATATTTCGATATTGTGGAACCTGATTCATTCCACTATACCTACTCTAGGCACTTCAACATCACAGAGTGCCTCAGTACCTTTGAGCGCTGCTGGCCGATTACTCACGGGACCGCGAAGTCCTGTATGTTAACAGAGACGGCCAGCTCAAACGGCGCGGCGTAGCCCGCGGGATTCCGCAGGGTTCGGTGCTCGGTCCACTCTTGTGGAACCTAGGCTTCAACTGGCTCCTGCGGGGCGTCCTACTCGCGGGCATGAGTGTCATATGCTANCTTTTCACTTTTTTCACTTTTTAGGGCGCCGGGAGTCCCACATACCACCCTGTCCCCCGGCAGTGGTGAAAGTGCGCAAAGCATTTCCTCCGCGACAAAAAAAGGGGGGGCCCGAAACGAGCTGTGCCTAGGGGCCCCGAGATGGTTAATCCGGCCCTGAGTGTACCCATTGAACTCTGGAGTGGAATAATAATTGGAATTGGAAATAAGGGCCAATACCATACGTACTCATTTTGTATTCTTTAGAGTACTGGAGCTTTTCAATTGAAAGAAGCGTTTGTCGAAATTGCATTCCAATTTCTTTTGGGTACTTTCAGTGTGCTTAGTAAAGAAATGTAAAGTAGTATTATTTGTCTCGTTCATTTTGTTTGTTTAAGCCGTATCTTAAACGTAGATTATCCCGTATCTTAAACGTTTCTTCTTTAAGCGTGGTAGACGAGAACAAATATTTCAAAACTAGAGCAGCTTTTGTCTTCATCTATAGCCGTGTGAATTTCGTTTCGTCGCAGAAAATCTTTCTTTTTTTATAAAAATCTTGTCTGTCTCAGTTAGTTTTTCAAACAGATAAATTTATCGTCTGGCTAGCAGCTTCATTAATTCTATACACCTAGTAAATAGATATTTATAACCTTTTAGTCTACTTTATTAGCAGAACAGTTAGCATAACTTATCCACTACCTAGAGATCCTAGCTCCTTTAGAGAATCGGAATCCTTCAGTAGAGCATTGGTTCCTAAAGGGAGGCGCAAAGACGGGGGGCGCGGGCCATCTTAGCGGTACTTAAGTATAAAAAACCTGCGACCACTGAGAGAATGCATTCCAGACTGCTCGATACGACCAATAAATAATCTTGACTGGAGGAGGGGGGCGCGGAATTTTTTGTATGGTCGAAAGGAGGCGCGTTTCAAATAAGTTTGGGAAGTGGGAACCAATGCTTTAGAGCAGGATTTCCCAAACTATGGGTCGCGACCCAGTGGTGGGTCAGGGTCAACATTGAGTGCGCACTGCTTGTAGAACGACACATCACCCTACAGATCCGAGTCCTTTATTTAGGCATATTGGTAACGGTTACATTTCCTATAGGTGGGTCCCGAGTTTGGGAACTTGTATCAGATGAGTCGTAGCCCTTACAACTTTGGGAACCACTGCTTTAGAGAATTACAGCGTGAAGTCACCACCGTTAATAATGGACGGCGCCAATTATGAAACTAAGCCGGCGCTAAAAGCGGTAACTAACACGGCGCTAATGAAAGGGAATAATTTAAAACGCAACACGCTCCTACGCCAATTTTATCTACATTATGAATCGGACGTGAGTTTGTACACTTTTGTATAGGTTTAACGTTCAAATTATACATCGTATTAGGTACATTTTTGGTGCAAACCTGCAAATAGATGCTCATCATTCAATCCCACGGCAATCAGATCAGTTTTCCGTGAGAACAAGCCCTTAGGATTTAAGTACCTATTTAAGATCCTAAGCTAATCTCAAGCTAATTTTAAAACTTGAAAAAAACAATCTGCTTCTATTGAAAATTCAGCCAATTTTCGCTTGTCAGGCGACTGTTCTGGTGCCCAAACCTATCTTGATGCAAAAGATTTTTTCAAGTTTCAAAATTTCATCAACATAGGTAGTTAGTAATATATTGTTTAGCAGTATAATATAAACCCATCTTTGTCCACAGAGGCTGTCCCACTTCGCGGACTGGTCGCCCAACTCGTCCGAGTTCCACATCCTCCTCGAGGTCAAGCAAGAGTTCATAGAGTACTTCATAAATCCGCTGCCCGCCAAGTGAGTAATGCAGACCGTAATGGAAAAAGACAATTAATAACCATTATTCTCGGGGATTAAGAGTCATTTTATACAGTTAGGAGTAACGCCGTTTAGCGAGATGGTAGCGTGACAGATGCTAAAAGGGAGGTAATTAGTTCTTCAAGATTTAAATGCTCCGTTTTATTTCGTTAAGAATGAGTGTGAGAATTTTAGATTTTTTATAAAATAATTAGTCCAGTCAATGAATGCTTTAACGACGGTGTAGAGAGAAATCCCTGGAACACAATTTCTGACCTCGGAACTTTATTTAGACTAGTTAGGAGGTGAACATAGCAAAAGTCCCCGCCCTTAGCCCTTGAGCCGGCGGGGAAATGGGGGTTTAAAGGTACCACTTTTCGGTTTTTCGCCTAATCCTCGGAAACTATGCGTCCTAGTGACATGGCTACTATGAACCAAAAAAAGCTTATTCAATTTGCTACAGGTGAGACAGTCAAGTTTTTCTATATCTTGTATAGTTTTCGCGGCATCTGCTCTAGAAGGTCTGTAATATTGGAAATTTTAATTTTGTCTTACATGTTCCCATCAAGAAAAAATCGACTAAATCAACATTGAGCAAACATTCTAGATATGCGGGAGCATGTTAAGCCTAGTTCCAGGGAGGGGACTGCATCGTGCGTATATTTAGACGAACTAATTGGAGCCACTTTTGACTCCACATCACTCAAAAAGCACTGTGCATTAACACTTCAAATTAGGCTCATGTGTTGAGACTTGCAAGGTAAACATCAGCTTCAAATTTCATAAATATACCTCAAACAGTTATTTAGGTATTGACGTTCAAAAATCGACATTTAGGACACTAAAATCTATCTATCACCTATGAAATGTTAAAATTTACTGGTTTTTTATTTGTTCCTTTGTATTTACACAACTACCTATCTGGATGCCAAATTTGAACCTTCAAGGTAATCTGGAAGTGGTTAGAATTTGGTCTTATAGGTCAGCCATGTAGATTTTTAGACGTCAATACCTAAAGAACCGTTTGAGGTATATTTATGAAATTTGAAGCTGATGTTTATCTTGCAAGTCTCAACACATGAGCCAAATTTGAAGTGTTAATGCACAGTACTTTTTGAGTGATGAGGAGTCAAAAGTGGCTCCAATTGGTTCGTCTAAATATACGCACGGTGCAGTCCCCTCCCTGGAACTAGGCTTAACATGCTCCCGCATGTCTAGAATATTAGCTCAATGTTGATTTAGTCGATTTTCTCCTGATGGAAACATGTAAGATAAAAATAAAATTTCCAATATTACAGACCTTCTAGAGCAGATGCCGCAAAAGCTATACAAGATATAAAAAAACTTGACTGTCTCACCTGTAGCAAATTGAATAACCTTTTTTTGGTTCATAGTAGCCATGTCACTAGGACGCATAGTTTCCGAGGATTAAGCGAAAAACCGAAAAGTGGTACCCTTAAACTCCCCTCTCCCCGCCGGCTCAAGGGCTAAGGGCGGGGACTTTTGCTATGTTCACCTCCTAACTAGTCTAAATAAAGTCCCGAATTCAAAAATTGTGTTCCACGGATTTCCATCTATAATGCTTTATTGACTGGACTAAATGGAAACACATACACCCGTATTCACAAATGATACTTGCTTATGTTGAATAGAGCTCTGTGATTGGTTCGTGTGTCACCCTGTATGTCCACGCGCACTGTGAGACCTAATAGTAATGTTTGTGAATACGAGCTTTAGATCCATCTTCTTAAACTTATAATATCGCCTTAAATTGAAAAGCAATAACTACATAACGTCGTATACTTATAACATTTAAAACATTTGGTGCATTCTCTAACATTTTGATTCATAATATGAGATTCCACTTCTTGTTCTTCTTAAAACTAAATGATACTTATAAAACATTGTTTCTCGGCCTATAGTGGTAAATAATATTATTCCTACTACTTATTAAAATGTCAAAAAAGTAGGTAAAATAAGGCGTTCCATGAAGTGGCCAGAAATATGGGTTCGCTTCGGCGGTTATTATTACATTCTGCGAGAGCCATAATTTTCATGCGCTTTATGAAAATCGCCAAGATAAGAGCGGTCAAGTGGCACTTTGTTATTTTCTATCGATGTGTGTTTGGCGTAAGGGTCTATGGGGGAAAGGCTTGAAAGGATACGAAGACACGGAAATGATTAAATATTTACTATAACCTGAAATAGATCTGGGGGCACGGCAGTGCCCCCGCCAAGTCGAGCGCGAAGCAAACACTGCCGTACCATCCTTTACTGGAACCATTTCGCCGCATTTTCAGGCCCCTATTTGAGAACCTCTGGATAAGACCAGAACGCAGAAATTTTCGTTATCTAGTAAGCTATAATCACATACTTTAAATCCAAAATTTCAAGTCTGTAGGTCATTTAGTTCCGAAGTTAAGCGAAAGCAAAGTTTCGCATTTACGACACTCACTCACTCACTCACTCACTGATGATCATCAAAATAGAACTAGTACTTCCCATTAACTCAGAGGGCTGAAATTTGGTACAGAGTTAGGGTTTAAAGGCCACATAAAGGGAAAACTATAAAAACTAGGAAAATCGAAGATCTGGAGTAACCACATTCATAATCAATACTACTCCGGCCCCGTGGTGTTTGCCTGTATCGCTCACCGCTAGATGGCGCTAGCACTAGCAAGCGGTGTCCAGATTTTTTTCCTTTCTAGATAAAGTCGTCGACTAAGTTGAATGTTGTGTAATTTGCATTTCGTTGATTTCGTTTATTATACTGTAAGGTTCGCTTAGGTTATGTTATAATTAAAAACAATCTGATTCGTTGTCCATTTTAAAGGTCGTTGAGTTTATTTGTGTTTAATATCGTAAAAAAATGTTGATAAACGACGACGTTAAATAATTTTGCCACGTTCCACAAAAAGAAGTGAAATCCCACCAAAAACATTCTGTAAAAAACTAGCCAAGTCTCGATGGAGCTGCTTGTTTATCTCTAAAAAGTAATGAAATCTAGACAAAGTCGTGCCAAGTCTATGGTTCCTTACTGCGATTTCTTTATTATTATAGTTAATGTTGTGTGACTTGGCCGTTGAACAATCTTTATTAAGATAATCATACATTATAAATACGCAGCTTTACTGAACCTACAATTGACTGGTTATTGTTGAATCAACGTTTTCCAAGTGGCAATTTTCCATCGTCAGTGGGTAGCGGTTCAGGCGACTGATTGGTGCAATGGTGTCATGGAGCACCTGGTTTTGTCACCCTTCAACGGCCAAGTCACACAACATTAACTATAATAATAAAGAAATCGCAGTAAGGAACCATAGACTTGGCACGACTTTGTCTAGATTTCATTACTTTTTAGAGATAAACAAGCAGCTCCATCGAGACTTGGCTAGTTTTTTACAGAATGTTTTTGGTGGGATAACATTATTACACCAATTAAACCATTTATTCCGTACTTAGATCCTTTCAAATTTCAGGCACTTGTAAACGTCCCAAATTATAATTTGCCTTGCCAACACTTCGGGAAAAAATATGGGCAAAATATACGACATTCCAATTTTGAGCTACGTATTTCATGTGTACTCGTAGGATACCAAAAACTTCACTATCAATTTCAATGTATCTATCTTTTGTCGTGTCATTTTAGTAAAAGACATTTTTATCAACACCTGGCATTATTATCAGAACACTTGGACATTACTGATTTATGTAAATACTTAACTTACCATCGATGATCGATCAAGATAATCTGCTTTCAATATCTAATCACATACTTCATCTGTTTTTAAAGACATGATTAATTGTATTACTTGACTGCAGGTGGGCGGAATTACCCTACTACCGGCGCGTGTGTGGCCCCGAAGCGAGCGGGATCAACATCCCTGGAAGAACGACGCTTGAGGGATGGCTGGCAAGATGGGCCTTATACCTGAGCGAAGCTAAGCGCTTCACAGACCTGCCTTTGTACCTGCAGTACCTTTGCAAGATTTTATTTCACGTTGTTGACAGAGATGGTGAGTTACTGAGATTTTTTTAAGTTCCGCCATATTATATCGATTGGCATTCTCCACTGACGAATCCCCGCATTAACTAATACATCCTAACGTAGGTTATCTACGATACGAAATCAAATGATATCACGACATGGAAAGTCATTAGGTACACTAACTGGTCAAATTTTCTTTATATGGAAAAAAGGCATAATATACCATCGTTGGGTTCATCAACAAGTTGGTTATCCATGAGATTATAAAAATGAATCAACATTTTAATTGTTAGATAATATCCTAGTTTCTACTGAAAAAGTATTAGTAGAAAATTGAGAATATTCAGGCTGGAACGAAATTGATTGCCGAGCGTTGCACTTCATCAGGGCCTCTTGTAATTAACACCGTTTCTCGCTGATTTCGCAAATTGCTCCCGCTTGATCTCTAAACAAGAATTAATTTCCTGGCCCGACAACTTATTTGGAATATTTCTAATTTTATTTAAGCCTATAAAATATAAAAGTACTTGGCAGAAATATTCCCAACGGGTCTATTTTAATATTATGTAATCTGCTTACTGACAATTATCTTTTTTTAGTATCTACTATTCTGTTAGGTCACTAACTACTTAGTACATAGGTAGATGACAGAACAAAAGTGAAAAACAGGTCACTAAAATAATCATATCGTATTACTCTACCTTTATGACGAAACTCATGTAAAAAGTTTTCGGAAATTGGAACACAAAGCGGATTATGTTTTCAAAACGGAATAATTAAAATGGTAATTAACCTAATTATTCCATTAATTTATGCAATAAGAAATGTTTTAATATACTGAGACAGCACGCTCTTAATTTTAACGTACCTACCCATTACAAATGAGTTTACCGTTTACCCACTATATTAGATTACCCCAGAAAAGTGTAGGTACTCAATCTATATAATTAAATTAAATTAAATTGGTCCTATCCTCCATCATCTCCGGGTCCCACAAGCCCTAGATCTAAAAATCAATTGTACATTAGAACCCTATTCACGTCCGTGTCAGAAGCAATGTAGGTTTAGTACAAAACCGTGTTCGTTGAACGCTCAGTTTTCCGCTGAGTGACGTCACAAGTGTCGTCGGAGACTTGGGTCCGTTCAGACTTTCGTCGGTGTAGGAATAAAGAGAAAGGTTTGAGCTAGACATCTAATTTAAAATGGTAAAACGTTTTAAATTACATCATTTTAAACCTTCACGATAATTTATTGTCCGGTGAAGCTGAAAAAGCCGCTCACGGCTATCAACATTGTCAGTCCGAAAAAAAACAGTGGTTAAAAAGTATAATACAAAATTGACAATAACAAAACTCCAACCTAATAGAGAACAAAAATTTGAATAGCTCGAATTATTTTATAAATAACTGTAAGAATTGATTCAAAAATTTCACTTAAGTATAGCACTAAGTATAGTGTCACACATTCATTCACTTAATGTAGGTACCTAAGTATTACTTAAGTAGATAATGGACAAAAACAAAGACGCAAGGCTGGCTTTTAGCCTACCTAAGTAGGTACCTAACTGTAAAAAGGAACAGTGGTCTATCCTAGATACTTGGCATTAGTATAATGGATGAATGTTATAAAACTATTGAGCAACTCATTACCTTAACATACACTTCTAGATGCACGATCCAAGACTTTTAAAGAGCTTTTAAATAAGATAGGCAAGATTTCCAATATGCGAGATTGGCATACAGATTCCCAACGCGAGCGGTAAATTAAGCCAACATTCAACCGTTCGGGAGCCATCGAAAACTTATCAGGTTTTAAAGCGCGACAGGCGACAGCCGTCGATTCACCCAGGTTGAGAGGCCGGATTAATTTGACAAAGTGCGTACACGGGAGGCCTGGCTCATAGATTAAAAAGCTTGCAGAAGATACACTTAAAATGGGTAGTTTTCAACCTACATACGGTAAGATTATATCGTGTCACGTGTCGGTTGCGCATCTATCTATCTATCTATGTCAGCCTTTGGGTTCACCTTCGAACATAGGCCTCCTCTTCAATCCTCCACCGATTTCTGTCCCTGGCCACACGCATCCAGTTCACTCCAGCCTGCTGCCGGATATCGTCTGTCCATCTTTTAGGCGGTCTTCCCCTGCCGCGGGTGTTGTTGTCGGTCGCGCATGCCTACTTAATTAAGTACTAAGTAATCGATAAGCTAAGATAAGAATTCATTATTATCAAATGACACATTTCAAATAGTATTAAGCTTACATAGCATGATAGTTTATATCCAATCGCATTATCTAAATAGTCAATAACAGGCTATCACTCAGATTGAGAGGTTGGGATAATCTGAATACGTTATGATTGGATTGATTATTCAGTAAATTAATATATTTACAAGTTAAATTATTGATTAATTAATGACGTCCATTGTCATTCATTCATTGATGAATGACAATGGAGTTGAAATGAGGACTTGATGTTGGCATGAAATATTATCCCGATCCATCATGTAAGTAAGGCATTTTGAAATAAATTATCAGACATGTTATTCACGAGGAAATTGCGTTTAGGTATTATAGTGCATACTCGTGTCAAAATCAAATTTTCACTAAGTAGTAATTTTGTACGTTGAAAATGTAACGTTTAGCAAAATTGTATGTAAACATTGTGTAATTACATACAACAATTAACATAAACCGAGCCAATATCAATTTAACCGCAACATTGTGGTTTGACTACGAAAGTTATACTGGCGCTTTGCACCAAACCCGCAAAATTGTGCATAATGCACTGTTACATTATCCTAACGCTGTATAAATTGCTCGTATGGAATTTCAGATTTTATTTTTGTGTGTAAGCTTGGGAAAAAATATTAGATCGTTAAAATATTTTTGACCAATTTGAGGTGACAGCTTAAGGGGTCTGGCACAGAATGTGCACTTCGCAAAATGAGTACTCGACTTAAAATTCCATTTACCTACCTACGCAAAATGTGCATTTTACAAAACGAGCAAAAATCACCATCAAGAATGATGCTACCTAGGTAATTATAAGCTGTGAGCAATGAAAAAAAACATACAATAAATATCTGTTCATGTAATACGGAACCTTCTGTATCTTAATCTTTGGCTTGATTGACATTTTACTTACACGAGTCGTTCAAGCTTCTAGCTCATAGGCTCATAGCCAAGCCCAGATCATCGATACTGATTATCGTAAGGAAAAAATCTCCCCAGATTTACTGGAGTATATTTTATGAAAGGATATTTTTTTTTTCAAACTTTTAACAAGTTTGAAAGAATATCGTTTAAAGGGCAAGAAACTTAAAATACAAAATCACACACTTGCTTATTGATTATTTTTACTTACTACATTCTTGAAGCATTTAGATACATTTTCATCTAATTGGTTCATTTTCTATCCCAACACAACTCAGCTTTAACCCAAAGAACTAAACTTACAAAAACACGGCAGAGTTTAAAACAAAGAGGATTATTGGGTTATGTTTTTTGGTAATTCTCCAACAGACAGTTGGCTCTTGACTAAATATTTGCAGCCAAGACTTAAGCTGGTGTTTTATGATCGAAGCGCTCGCAATATCTCACGAATTCAGAGCAACGACATTGTTTTAGCATGCGAAATCGTCTACCGACTTTTTTGTTTCACGGTATTTTATAACCTGGCTCTTACCGACTGTGAACCTAAAGAAAGTACCTACTTTATCAAGAATAAGCTCGAATAGCTACAGTAAAATACATTGTGAGTTGTGCGTTTTCTTTATATTTTTCCCGCAAACCGTTTGCGGAGAATTTACGATCTAGTTGAGAGCCAACTCGAAGAAGTGTTGCGAATTTGCATAAATATCTGCTTGATTTTATTATTTAAAAGTTTGAAACGAACGATCAGATTATACAAAAAATATTCATTAACAGCAATCGATGCTTTACAATTAAAGCGTAAATGCATTAATTTGTGAGTTACTCGTACATCTGACTGACTGCAATTATAAAACATTTCCTCAATATAATTATCCTGTCCCAACAAAAAAATGCTGATTCTTAAACAAACCAATACGACTAATACGAGTAGTTGCACCATGAATAACCGATTTCTATTCATCGTCATTTATGCTGACGCTCGCCTTTGTATCGATTACTATCGATATAGAGCGATGCCTGAATACACACCCCACCGGGTCTTCCTCCACCAGCTCGTTGTTACGTTTCCTTCACCGCTCTTTGTGTTGAAATTGCAACATTACAGGCTCAGTTCGAAAATAAAAACCGCTTGGAATATTTTAGAGCCGGTTGCCTCCCAAAGTATAGTGGGCAGTTTTAGAATAAAACTGTAAATTGTTTTGCATGCATTTTACCTCAAACTTTAATCAAACTCTATTTACTCACTCCTTTGTTAATTTACCGATTGTCATATAGCTAAATAGAAGTAACCTACGTGGTTATTATTATGACAAGTTATTATTACTTTATTCAGAAATAAAAATGTGCAGGTAGGTCTAGTAGCCTCTCTCTTTTTGCCTCTCTTAGAAATGTAATAAGTTTAAATAAATACCAATGCACCGCAGTAAACAAACTTGGGTCGCCCCTCGGGACGGGGCAAGAACTTGCCGTTTCTATTTTAGGCTCACCCTGGCCTATAAGAAATGAAACATATTTGAGAAGTTGATAACTTTGAAACTGTTGTGTGCCAAGTCGTGTCTTTCCTTACTCGATTTGATGGCAAATATAATTAAAATAACATTAAGAATTTGCTTTCTATAGAGCGGCTATTTCAGGCTTCAGCGAACTTCTGTTATGTCAAAAAAATTACAGTCTCATGTTGTTAGTTGCTTCATATATTTGGTTACTTAACGCCAGATTTTACCAACTTTCACTGTAAACAGAAAACTTATTTCACAAACTTAGCTACGAAATAACTGCGGACTACGAAAGTGTCACACGGCTACGGCTACGCGCTACGAATCGGCGGAACTTCGCCGGTTCGCTAAGCTAGGCGGGAATCGGTTTAACCTTTACCAGCAGGCCTAGAATGCGCGCCGTGATAAAATCTTATTGATCGATGATTTTAAACGACAAATGCATGGGCTTATCGCGTAAAATCGATAAAATGGCGCGATAAACGTTTATCGTGGCGCGCAAGGATGCGCGTACCGGTAGTGGCTGTGATGTTGGCGTTTTTGCCACCACATTTTAAACTTTATTCTTCTTCTTATCGTGTCGACAACAAACCTACACAGTGTCAGACCAAAACTCCGCTACAAGAGTGGCGTTGTCAACAGCATTCATTAAATCCTCCTGAGTGCAGTTGCTCGGGCACTCAGGGCACTTTCTTAAAATAAACTTTATTAAGATATCAGTACTAGTTAAGCTACACAGCTATGCACTAACTACGCATCAGCGGAACTTCCCCGCTTGGCTAAGCAGGGCGGGAATCGCTATAATTCGTGCATGTTGCAGGCACGGGCGCGATAACGAAGCCGGCGCTCGCTGCATTCTACCGCTCCGTGATCGGGCTCAGCGGGCCGAGGGTTGATGAGATCATCGACACGGCTTACGACCGGATGACCAGTGTGAGTATGCATTACTATGTCAATTGGTATATTAAGTTAGAATTCCAGAGTTATTCAGGGGATTCCCTGAGGGCCCTGATATTTTACAACCATTGAAGTTCAGGTAGAGTAACCTTATACTCGTATAGAACTATGTGCACTCTTCTCATAGATGTCATAAAAGGCGACTTAGAGACATTGTGTGAACATCCTGTCTGGCCAGCGGGGGCCGAGTAGGTAAAACCTCCAATTGGTCCTGGTAAATTAAAGAGAATCAGAGTAGAGACGAAATGACCTGATGATAATGATTTATAGCGATGGATTCGGGAAATTAAATCGATCGTACACGTATTTCACTGTCATGCCACATACTATTTATCCATAGCCAACATAGTACTTATTAATCTACTTTACTTACGTTTAAAACAATATGAAAACTATAAAACCACAAGGAACGGCGACGGGCTGTTAGTCGCGTATGAATGAATATTACGCCCCAGAAAACTTGCTTCCATATTTACTTTTACAAAGTGAACATAAAAGGAGAGCCTTTCTGATAATGGTATTATTGTTACTGTCATTGTTCCAAGACACCTCGTAGATAGCAGCCTACAATACATTTCGTTCCATCTCTACGCTCCAATAACCATGGACAATACAATAAAATATTTTTGTACTTGAGCATTATTGTAGAATCTTGCTGCTGCTTTCGCACTGACGATTAATTTTTGAAGCTCGGTCGATTCGTAATTTCAGATCATTTTTCTTATTAGATTCAGTGAAAAAACGCGCTTTAGTCAATAACTCATTGAGAAGTAAAATATTTGACCTTTTTTACATTGAATATTATGGTATAGAATATATTATATTCTATTATTTATTCTTCGGATATCAGAAACATTAATTTTGCTAACAAACTCTAAATCCCGACTCTACAGAAATTAGTGATAGGAACGAGCTATGGGATTAGCCCCACTCTACATTTTAAGAGCAAAGGAAAATTTAACGTTTCTATTAATATTGAATCTTTATTTTACAGAACGACTACCTTATCCTGGACTACGGGACATACGTCCACTGTTTCACCAACTGGCTGATGGGGAAGAACCCCAACGGCCCCGGACAATGGGTCCTCGTCCCCCCAAAGGACTCCCTCCCCCAACCCCCCTTTCCCGTCGACTACAGCGCCCTCAACACCGAGCCAGCGAAATTAGAACCTTATGCACCTGACAAAAAGACTAACAGACATTCTGTAATAGTTTAACTAGCACTAAACTTAAATTAAGGGCTTTAAAAATGCAATTGAAGTAAGTCAATTCACGAAAAGATACGTAAGAGATTTAAATTTGAAACTAGGGATTAAGCCTTTTCGTTTTCCAATAACAAAATCATAATCGTCATATAAAGGGCTGTTTAAATAATTTTTAAAACAAATAATAGTATTAACAAGTCCTGTGTAATATAAATGGAAAGTTCGAGATATGCCTAAAACATTGTTTAGTCTCAATTTTGAGATAACTATTTAGAATGTGATTAATAGTTGTAAATTGTAAGCAATTAACTACAAGTATTTATTTTTATAATTTAAGTATACTTATCGCTTGAACCTTCAATGAAACGCTTTAACTACCTTGAGTACTTTTGTACCTTGCGTACCTTTGTACCTTGTACCTGAATCTTTAGTAATTGCTGACACGGCATACCTTTTAATTTGGTCGTATTACTCACTTTTATTTATTCCCAAAAATAAACCTTCCTAATTTTCGTCTCTACAGGGTGTAATTTTGTAATGCCACCTGGAGGGAAAGTACTCTTAATATTGTAGATAGAAAAAAATTCTCAAAGTAAACATTCCTTTATTTTTGAAAAGAAATAGAACTGCATTCAAAGATTTCCAAAAATTTGCTTGCCACACCCGGGAATCGAACCAACTAAAATGTGTTAAAAATTACACCCTGTATTTTTATTACATCGATCGTTAGGGTTATGTATAAGGATGAAATCTCTCTAACAAACTTGATAAATCAAATGAAAGGAAAACCATGAAATCTTAAATTATTTTAATTATGTTACAGAAAATTGTAGGTATGGAATGGTAGTGAAATTTCGAAAAAAATTCGAAAATTTTTGAATGCAGTTCTCTTTCTTTTCAAAAATAAAGGAATGTTTTCTTTGAGTAAAATTTTTTATCTACAGTATTAAGGGTACTTTCCCTCCAGGTGGCATTACAAAATTCCACCCTGTATAGGTAGGTACTTCGGCGATGTAATAAAACTCGTACAAAATATCTACATAAAACCAGTGTTCTCTAGCAATATAATTTATTTCGGGGAGGCTCTCAATTCTCATTAATGAGTAATACGACCAAATTAAAAAGGTATGCAACTGCCTCGATCATTAAAGGTTGACGGTACATATCGTGCAATTTGACCAATTCTATCTTTTATCTAGTTTTAAGTGTAAATAGTAGTTGTAATATTGCACAACACGGTAAGCAAGAACTGCCTTAAAATAAGCGTATTCACATTTCACGATAGCCTTATTTTGTACCTTAGATAATAACTTGTAATTTAAGTAGTTTATATTAGGTTCACTGAATCCACTTAATAAAATTGTTCAATTATCTCTGAGTTTGATTTTGGTAAAGATTTCCCAGAATTAAGTCTTAAAGTATTATGTAACCGAGATTCAATGCAGTAAGGTTTCCTAGAATTTGTTTCCCTTTATTTATACGTATGATTTGTTTTCTTTCCATGAATCTAAGTACAAATTCCATAAAGCCTTTAAAAATGTTTCCCAGAAATTACTAGCAATATAGAAGGATTTTAACTTTACAGTTTGTACTTGTGTTTTTTACTGTGAATGTATTAAAGACAATGCCAGTCACAATGCCTCTACATGTAGGATGTTATTAGTGTTATCACAGGTATTATTGGTAAATATTTTGACTATGTGAAAAGCTATCTTCAAGTGTTCTGTTACGATACATTGTACCTACTCATGAACGAAACTGTAGTCCATGCGAAACGCATGCGAGATGATTTCAAAACGTAAAAGTTTCCAAAAACATTTTGTTCAAACATGTAGGTACACACGATTCTTCAGAAACAAAGATCAAGTTTTCGTAAAAAAGATCATTTCCTATTTGCTGTGACTCCTCGTTTACAACCAGCTTCAAGGCGGAGTCGTCTTTAAAGTTGATTGATCGAGGGTCACGAGGCAGAGACCGCTCCATCCATCATAGCGAGCTGACAAATTGCACGTATCTGCGTTTTATGAACTGTTTGAATGGTGTCATTTGTTTCTAATTATAGAGGCTATTTTTGTTTGTACTTATCTACAAATATTTTAATCTTTAGAAGCCTAGAAGTAGTGGTTATGCGGATTGTTCCATGAACTTTGGAACTCATGAAAGAGTGCTTATTTTAGAGAGATGCCTTGCTGCAAAACGAAACGGTAAACGGTAACTACATAAATAATGAAAGGCTTTATTTTTCCGATTTCGTATAGATTCACCACGTTCTAAAATATGTTAGGTGTGTCTAATAAGTTTTAACGAAGAGAATTTAATAAACAGCACATCATCTATAGATATACCTTTATTATCAGATTTGCTATCAAGTCTCTCATTAATACAACACACCACTCAGCAATTACACTAATAGAGTCATTATTAGTCGTTCAGGCTTTCAGGTATTGTTCCAAACGGTAATAGCATCGTTAGGGCTCCATTTTTCGCAGAATATGCCTCCATGATAAATGAGCCACAATATTTATTGATGTTCCCTGAGGCGCGACCTTACACAACGTCGCAGATGTTCGGAGCTCCCGTTTTGTGCAAGTTAAATTTGATTTTGTTGGATTAGTTTTTGCGGTCCGTCCCGAATGGCCAATGTTTTTGCAAAGAATGGCAAGAATTCGGAATCCGGATTTCGTTTCCGGATTATTGTTTGGTTGCAAACATCGATATTTTTTACGTTAAGCTCAGCTGCTTTCGAAGAATAGGAAACTTACATACCTATTAAACATTGGTGTATAAATAAAATATGAGTAACTAAGAGTAAGTATTTATAATATACTTAATACCTATTCTAGAAATAGAATGTTACAAATTAAATACGGTAAAATAATATCTAAGAATTCAGAACATCCTTCATTTTTCTTACAACATTTTCATCTGTTATGTAAATACATTCACTGTCACTCGTGCCCATGCTTAAATTATTCTCAATCTTTGGCAAAACACGGACTGTTTTGCAAGAGCTGTGGACTATTTTGCATCCGAGATCAATGAAAGTTTTCGCGTTACTGACAGTCACTCCAGCACCCGGCATTACCTGGATTTTGTCTGCGAAAGAAGCGATTATGGATGTAATTAATTCGATGGCTTCAATTTCCCCCGCCGAGCTTCTTTGTCCGCTAGTTAAAAGTCTGTTGAAGCCGAGATCAATTATTTTTTCCACCGCTTTCAGCGGATCCTTGCAAACGTCATATGCCCTGTGAAACGTTACAAGTGTGGGTTTAGCGCTAGCTACAACTTTGGCGTTATTAACAACGTCGATGTCCTGAGTGTTTGTTAGGGCGCCGAAAACAAATCTGTCAACGGATATTTGCTTGAAAACATCCACGTCGGCCAACATGGTATCCATTTCTTGCTCGCTGTAGCAGAAGTCCGAGCCGGTCCGACATCGGATCATTACGTTCACTTTGGGTTTCTGCGGAAGACAAAGTAATTTATTGTTCGAGGTGTTTTTAAGCTAGATTTAGAACCGTTTAAAACGTGGATTTACATGACTGATGATGATGAGCTAGAGAAGACGCAATTTAAGAATATAATCATTTCATTTTAGACTCATGAACAAACAATGAACAAAATGGTGAGTAAGTTGATAATATGTATAATAGATCTGACGGAATCTTAGAGCCAAAAATATTTTTCAGTAGCTAAGTAAGTAGTAGGTATAATAACCCAACATTTTTGAATACCTAACTTAACCTACCTTGTTTCATTTGATTAAGTTTGCCTTCATTAATATAAACCGTTGAAGGTTTATGAAACATTTTAATACCGAGACAAATCCCTTAAAAGTTAGCATTCCGTTATTTTTATTTAGAATTCCGTTAGTGAAAATTTTATACAAAAACAATTTACTACTATAGTAACTGTTTTGGGCATAACTTAATTAGATTTCCTTAAAAGTTTAGCTGAAGCAGATTTGCCATGTAAAATTTGAAATTACCTTCTCTGTAACGGATTACCTACGGAACACCTCAAGAAACAAATCTTTTTTACCTTTAGAAATAATGGAATGTTGCCTTCATTTGTTTTCATAACTCGCAGTCAGCTTTACGAAAGCCGTGCTAAATTGTAATTGGATTTGTGACGGGAATTTAGATCCGTCCCCGGGTCACAGTGGGGCTGTTGAGCGTTGTTTAACCGTGGTTTAACCCCTAACCACTGCGGTGGAGCCGTTCGATGTTGGGCAAAACCGCATGTTCGCACTAACGATCACCTTAGCTTGACGGGTTAATTAGGAGATTGGACTAACGTAGAGCTATAGAAACTAAAATTATTTAATTTTTAGCGTTAAGAGTCGCATCTTAAACCAATTTGAAAATTATAAATAACTTGAAAAAATCGAACTGCCTAAGGCGGGAATTAAACCCACGACCTTCCGCTTTTTTCAAGTTATCTATAGAAACTATATTCAAGTATTTTGCTTGCTATAGTCGATGTTTACGACTTTTGAAATGAATCACCATACTTTCTTAGTAGTAAAAAAAGAAGTTAGGTAGTTTGACCGTTGCATTTCACATACTAGGCATTTAGGCAGTATTACGAGAAGATAGGTTCCTCAAGATACGCTCTCGACTTATCGCTTCCGAAAGTGAAAGTGAAAAATGAAGCTTTTATGACAATGTTATCGTGACATCGTTTCAAACTTTCAGGAAAAGCTACCTACGATACCTACTTTTACCTTTACTAACTTGAGGCAGCTGCAGGATTCAGGACAAGTTTTGTAAACACGACCAGTGCCAACTTTATTTACCTGAAATGAAATAGAAAAACTATAGGTATAAAATGTTCCTCTTACCTACCTATACAGAGTGTTAGGTAAATGGGTATATGAGCCGACACTAGCCCATGTTTACATGGGCATATAAATGGTATGGTGAAGTCAGAAATTTGATATCATGATTTGAATTTTTTTAATTTTCATACAAAATAAATTTTATAAAATCCGATTTGTATGAAAATTAAAATAATTAAAATGAAGATATCAATTTTCTGACTTCACCATACCATTTATATGACCATGTTAACAAGAGCTAGTGTCGGCTCATGTACCCATTTACCTAATACCAGGCCTCCGTCACTCGCCTATGCCGGCCGAGATAATTACCTACAGCGCGCGACAACTTCAAGTTGCAAATCAGTCCGGGCCGCCACGCGCCTGTTTGCACACGCGTATTTCTATACACGCTCGGTCGATCATAGTCGCAATCAAGGTTTATTGTTCCAACAGCACTGTTATTCTTCTTTAATGAAAAATTGTAATATTTAGGTATAATATTTAACTGTAGTGATTTAAATAATAAAAAAAACGACACTTTTTAAATAATAAATTATTTTGAAATACTTATGACAAAAAACTATAGCAAAAAAATTATTTTAGCTAATAAAAACATTAACTTTACTTCACCGTGTCTATTTTCCGACACTACACCTTTTAAAACTGTTTGTTTAATTTCGAATTATCGCAACACTGAAGTTTATTAATAGGTACTTTAGAGATGGTACGATTATACAAACTCCACTAGATTAAAGTTTTCTAATCGTAAATACAATAAATGCCTCTTAAAATTAAGTTTTTATTTATATTACTTTGCTCATACAACCCTGACGCTTGAGCGGTGACGTAGATCAATTCTAAACACAAAAAAAATGCGCTCTTGTGAGCGTAGTAGTAAGGTGCGATTTCGAATGCACCATGTGCGTTGGATATTTTGCATTATTATTATTACCGTTAAAATGTCGGCATCTGATCCTACACAAAGGAGTGCAATTTCTGTTGCTACTATTATGTATTCTGTGCTAACACCCTGTATAGCCGCCACTTTTGCTGATCGCACAATCAAATATGTAAGTATTTATTAAACCATACAGTTACGATTGTTAGTTAACGTTTTAACTGTGCTTAACTTAGTAACTAGAACTGGGTTTAAATTGTGAACTAACTTCGACAGCAAAACGTAATTATTTAGGCCATCGTTGATTGCGTCGTCTGTTAGTTAAATTGTTTGTCGTTGTCTTATATGATATATATATATATAATTTATTTAGTTAGCACTTTACATATTTTACGTGCAATAAAATTCAACATTAAAAATAATTTGACAGACAGCCTAATGGCGTAGGTCTTACTTAATGGCGATGTCGGCATGGAAGTAGTGGTAAACGGCCCAGGTTCAATTCCAGTGGGGGCATTTGAAACGAGACCGTTTTTTTTGTTTTGTTTAATTTTAAAGAAATCCTACAGTAAAAGGTAAGTAAGTAGGTTGTTTGGTTTTGATCTGTAGTTATCCGGGTAAGGTCAGTGGTCGGCTTTTAATCACAGTTAACCTCCTACTTATTATCCAAGGAGAAAATAAAACTACGTAAGCGCTCTATCTACAAATTGACGAACAATACGAACCACATCTAAAATCTCCTTCACCAATCCTACCGAAGGTGTAAGACCTCCTTCTGTAAGGGAGCTGCAAACTTCTAACTCTTCAGCACCGCCGTGTACAGCATTCAGTGCTGACTCCAAACTATCTACACAAACTTCCAGCATTTTATATAAAATACTTAAGTATAAACCAGTTTAAAAGATCATTTATCGAGGATTATGATATACTTAACCTAAAAATAATTGCGTTTGGTTTCAACTCTTTAGTTAAATGATAAAAATAATTAAGATCAATAAAAAATATCAACACGAGTGCATTGGTCATCTCATGTTTATTATGATTAGTAATAATGAATCGATTAATCGATTCTAGATAAACGAAATCGATTACACATTGTGACATTGCACAAATAGGGTAATTTTTATGGTGGCAACATTTGTGTTTTGCATTTTTTTTCTTTCAACAAATCGGGTCAAATCGTTTAGAAATTCCATCAACCTTTAAAAAGGTGCAAAATAAATTAGGACTAAAGTGTAAGAAAGAATAACTTTAACGGACTATTGAAAATTTTTAAAACTGTGTACTAGGTTGCTTGCTTGAGGTCACATGTTTATAAGCACTTGGTAAAGTTATGAAACAAAATAGCATTAAAATTTGGTAAAGTTGTGAGATTTCGTCAATTTTTGAACGAAACCAAATAAGCAAATGAATGCTGTCAACTTCAGGCTGATTCCTTTTGACATTTCAGATAAAAGGACACGCGAACGTAGGCAAAGTATCGCCAGCGTTCGCTTTCTTTTATCTGGTATTAGGTCAATTTAATAGCCTAATGTGCACGTTGTGTTACGTAGAGAAGTATACTACAACTGTCTTCCATTTACCATTTAGTTGTGTGAACGTAACATACGATGAGTAGAGGTTAGGTTTTTGCCACATATTAACTGGAATTTTGGAATAATTTGGAGTGTGTGATGAGTTTTTCACGGTGTCTTTTGGTCAACAGCTATGTCCCGAAATAAGCAGCATGAGGAGACGGATAAACTCACTCGTATTGCTATAGTAAACGCGGACCGTTGCAAGCCTAAGAGATGCAGGCAAGAATGCAAGAAAAGCTGTCCCGTTGTGCGGATGGGCAAGCTCTGCATTGAGGTGACGCCCAATAATAAGATCGCCACCATCTCTGAGGAACTCTGCATCGGTTGTGGTATTTGTGTCAAGGTAAACTGCTTGATTAACATCCTACAATCTGTATCTGGGAGACTAAAATTCATGAATTAGAATGTAAATATTTATCAGTTATATCATCACCATATGGTAGCTAACCACACTGCAATATTTACATAACAAAGTGATTTTGCATTTGCTCATACATATGAGTAAATATTAGATATAGTTTATCATTGTCATGTGATGTAGTCTTTTATAAATTCTTACTTACTGAACACAATTAGAGGAATTGGGTGATTTGCATCTAATAATGTGTGAAAATTATAGTAAGTATGCATATTGTAACAACATTTTATGCTCCACAGAAATGCCCTTTTGATGCAATTACGATTATCAACATCCCGTCGAACTTGGAGAAGCACACTACTCATCGCTACTCCAAGAACTCATTCAAGTTGCATCGCCTACCCATACCACGCCCTGGTGAGGTGCTTGGTTTGGTCGGCCAAAACGGTATCGGCAAGTCAACTGCCCTGAAGATTCTTGCTGGAAAGCAGAAGCCCAACTTGGGACGTTATGCTGTAAGATGTAATTTTTTCGTCCTTATTTTGATTTCAATTAATTACTGAGTAATTGAATATTTTTTTATAAATAATTTTATCAATACTGCAGCAAAACTGTAATTTAATTTCATACACAAATTCAATATTTTATAACAGGATCCCCCAGACTGGCAAGAGATTCTGTCTCACTTCCGCGGGTCGGAACTGCAGAACTACTTTACTAAGATCCTTGAAGATGATTTGAAGGCTTTGATTAAGCCTCAATATGTGGATCAAATCCCTAAAGCTGTCAAAGGAACTGTCGGACAGCTCCTAGACAAGAAAGACGAGATGAAAAACCAGACTGAAATATGTAAAATGCTTGGTAAGTTAAAAAAATTGTATAATTCGAAACAAAGAATTACAATATTAGAAAGTACTTGTGTCATGTCCTTTAATAGATTTTGGATACACTCATATGTCTGTTTACCTTCTATTTTGGGCTTGAACAATGTTGTGATGTCATAAACAAACAAGAGTAGATACAGATCTGTAAGATTACAACTTTGTCCTTCTATGACAAAAAGTCATCAACTGGCAATGATCTGTTACTCAGTTTTTAACCGAATACTTTACACTGTAAAGTTTACAGTAATAAATTAATTGAGAAGATACCTACATCACTTTGTTCTTAGAATGTCACATTGTACATTACATTATACATACAAAGTATAGGCAAAAAAATACTCAGTTTTAAACTGAATACTTTACAGTAATTATATATTTTTTCTCTTAGATCTATCTCACATCCGAGACCGTGAGATTGCAGCGTTGTCTGGTGGAGAGCTCCAGCGATTCGCTTGCGCCATGGTGTGCATCCAGAATGGAGACATCTTCATGTTTGATGAACCATCTTCTTATCTTGATGTCAAGCAACGTCTGAATGCTGCTGTTACAATCCGTTCACTTATTCATCCTGATAAGTGAGTATTCTTTTTTTAGACATAATGCATTCAAATAGAAAATAAGAGAACCTTTGAGTTGCAGCTTATAACTAAGCTGGAAACATAAAGATTAGGTTTGCAGACAAAACATTGCTTGAAGTGTCTCTACAGGGAAAAATGAATCAAGCCCTGTTGGATAGATTTTCTTCTTAAACTGCTGATTATAATAATTAATAATAGGTATCAAATTTTTTTCTAAAAACCACTTTATGACTGTTTCTCTGTCTTTGACTTCAAAGAGTCTAGATAATAATTTTGTTTGTTTTAGGTTCATCATTGTCGTGGAACACGACTTGTCTGTGCTGGACTACTTGTCGGACTTCATTTGCTGCTTGTATGGAGTACCCGGTGCTTACGGTGTTGTTACTATGCCTTTCTCTGTCCGAGAAGGTAAGTTCAAAATTCGAAAAGAAACAACCCATAATTTTTTTAATGGATCAAAATAACAAAATTCTGTGTTAAAAAAATATGTTGAGTCATATGAAATGAAGGGCTAAAAAATTATTGTTTTCCAGGTATCAATATTTTCCTTGATGGATTTGTCCCCACTGAAAACATGAGATTCAGAACTGAATCTTTGGTATTCAAGGTAGCGGAATCGGCAACTGAAGAAGAGGTAACAAATATTTTATTATAAAAAATAAGTATGTAATTTTTTTGGTATTTAATTTTATTGAAATCAACTAATGTTATACAGATTAAACGTATGAACCACTATGAATACCCTGAGATGACAAAGAAAATGGGCGATTTCTTTCTGCGTGTCATGCCTGGTGAATTCTCAGATTCTGAAATTCTGGTACTCCTCGGAGAGAACGGTACTGGAAAAACTACATTCATTAGAATGTTGGCTGGAAATTTGGAACCTGATGAAGGTAAGTTCATGTTCCCGCGTTAGTCATCTGTGAAATCCAAGTTTAGAAATTTTAAATATTTTACCGATTGTTAATCGAGTTAATTATCGTATCGATACATGATAAATTATCTGTGGTAAATTGTGTTAATCACATCTGGCAACACCGATTTTCATATGTCAAATTTGTGAAAGTTGTCAAATGGTTTCGATTTTGTTGGAAGAAAACGTTTTCAGATTATTTATTGAAAATAAACGAATATTATCAAGGATGTTACGTTAAAATGGATGATTAGTGTTATTTTCTTGTTATTTTAAAGTTGTAACAATGTAGAGTTTTTTTATAGTATTGAGGTTATAGAATTGTTGCGCTAAGCATATCTTGATGAGTTCGACGTATTTTCTTTGTTATTGTGATGGCTGGGACAGAACTGTTTGATTTATTTTTCCATCCTGTGTTCCAAAAATGTTTAAAACATGCGGAATCTTCCTTATCATCGGAAGGTAAATTAGACTTTGTGATAAGTCTTCAGGCTAATATTACTCGTTTTTACACCACTACTGTTTGTGTTATAATGTTTTCAGAGCATTTACATTCAAACTATACTCGTATACTGTCATACAAAGTACAATGTCCACATATAAAGTGAATATAAGAAAAAAATTGTTATTCAACAATTTCATTACAAAGCATCGTCCAAGTGTGTTATGATTGTATTAGTTTTCCACTAAATTGCTTATTTATCAATTTCCCGCAGGTTCCGGCCAGCTGCCACAGCTGCACATTAGTTATAAGCCACAGAAGATATCTCCCAAGTCGCAGGGGCTTGTGCGCCACCTGCTGCATGAAAAAATTAGAGATGCTTACATACATCCACAGGTGAATACATAATTTTTAATTTTTCAAGCTATGAACTTGAAATAAATAAATAAATATCCTTGGACATTTTACACTGCGCTTCTAGTCCCAAACTAAGCAAAGCTTGTATTATGGGTACTAGACAACGGATATAAACATACTTAAATACTTTTTTTTTACAAGAATACAAGAAATCTTTATTCTTCAAGGTTACAAAAATTACCATGTGTACTGATTTTCTTATATTCTTACTACCAAAACTATGTCAAAATGTTTTTAGTTTGTTAATTTAATATCTAATGTGACATGTGGAATAGCAATTAAGAATTTGTATTGTTTTATAATTGCATTGCGCATACTGCGAACAGAGTGTAATTCTACAAAAGAACACTCCATAAATCTTAATAAGTCTAATAAAATCTAAATAATTATAATTTATTGCTTCTTGGACAAGACTGTCTAAATTGTGCCATTTTGTATTTCTTTATTGTTAGTATTGTGTTGTGTGCAATGTGCATCTAATGTAAGTAAACTTATAAACATTATTTTATGTTTACAGTTTATCACAGATGTAATGAAGCCAATGAAAATTGAGGAAATCATGGACCAAGAAGTCCAGAACCTCTCCGGTGGTGAGTTGCAGCGTGTGGCTCTGGTGCTCTGCCTCGGGAAGCCGGCTGACGTGTACCTCGTCGACGAGCCGTCAGCCTACCTGGACTCCGAGCAACGTCTGGTTGCTGCTAAGGTTATTAAGAGGTTGGTTTTACGTCAAATAGGTTTTTCAATACTCAATAAGTTTATTGCTTCCATAATAGTAATAGAGGTGTTACATACTAGCCCCCTTAATAATAAAAAAGTTACACACTTGTTGAACACTGTTTTAAAATGACATTTCCATACTAAACATCACTTTAAAACACTGTTCAATGAGCGTGTAAGTTTTATTAGTAAGGGGGTAGTTGTTTTATAGTAGTATTCATTATATCAATTATCTGGGTAATCTTGGGTTTTATTCTAAAAATAAAAATGTATTGGTATGAGAATAATTTAAAATTTTTATTAATAAGGAGTTTATTGAGGCAAAGTATTAGTTGCAAATAATAATAATAATAAATATCCTTAGACTATTTACACTGCGCTTCTAGTCCCAAACTAAGCAAAGCTTGTACTATGGGTACTAGTCAACGGATATAAACATACTTAAATACTTTTTTTTGTAAATACATACTTATTATACATAGAAAACACCCAGTCCAATACAAACAAATATGTTCATGCACACAAATGTTTGTACTGTGCGGGAATCGAACCCGCTACCTCCGGAATAGTAGTCAGTTTCGAACCACTACACCAAACGGCAAATAAACATAGATGTTTAAGGTACCTAGCTAGACCAATCCAGTTTATCTAGTGTCTAAGTAGCTCAGATGGAAGAGCAGTCGCCCGGCAAGCGAAAGGTCGTGGGATCGATTCCCGCCTTAGGCATTTCAAGTTCTATTTATAACCTAAGTACCGCGCGTATAGGCCGCGTACCGGAAAACGCAGCGTGGGACGTCCACCTACAAGGTGGACCGACGACATCGTAAAGGTAGCAGGGAAGCGCTGGACGCAGGCCGCTACCAATCGATCAACGTGGAAAGCATTAGAGGAGGCCTATGTTCAGCAGTGGACGTCCTATGGCTGAAATGATGATGATTTATAACCTAGCTAGAATGTTCAAACAGCGCTTACAATTTCTATTCTTTGCAGGTTCATCCTCCACGCAAAACGCACAGGCTTCGTAGTGGAGCACGACTTCATAATGGCGACGTACCTCGCTGACCGCGTCATCGTGTTCGAGGGAACACCCTCGTCTAACGCGACCGCGCACGCGCCGCAATCGCTTCTCAACGGAATGAACAAGTTCTTGGAACTCCTCGGGATCACCTTCCGGAGAGATCCGAACAACTTCAGACCGAGGATCAACAAACATGCTTCTGTTAAGGTACGGTTATGGCAGATATTTTTATTTATTTATTTTTATTCCTGATAGAAGCAGTCCATTTTGGATTGGACACAATCCAAACCTTGCAGTCTCTAAGTACAGGATCTTTATCAGGACTAGCAAAGCTTGCAATGGCTGAAACAATCTTAATACCTATTTAGTAGTTCATAATCTAGTGATACTGATGCCCCTTTTCACCATCAATCCCTAATTTTTAAGTGACTATAAAAAAAATCCTGTTATGTGTACTTCTACTATGTAGAAGTATGTTTTAAAACCACAACTTAATGGTCAGCTTTAATTACAAAAGTTGATAACAAATTGGGTTTCTGGGCCTCAAATAATTTCATTTTGTCACATTTTTGTGTGAAATTGTCTTAGAACTAATAGTTGACCGTGTCAACTGCCTTATTAGTGAAACTATTAACATTTTAACACTTATTTGTAAAGAGGATGACCCACTTTTTGAATAAGTGTGTTAAAAATGACATAATATATGTATGTAAACTGCCCTTTTACTAAGAACTAGTTTTTATTTTCAAACAGGATGCCGATTACAATAGTACTAGTATAGCGCGATTTGTTATAAATATACAGCAAATAACTAAAGTAATTATTTATTGTTACAGGATATCGAGCAGAAACGGGCAGGCCAATACTTCTTCCTGGAAGATTAGAAAACGCGAAACCAATGTATTTATGTATATGGGAGCTATTGTATCTGTCACAATACCGATGGTCTGCCATCCTGTGTATTTCCAATTAAATGTATTAATGTAATAAATCACGTTTTATACAATCAGTCTGCTGTCATTTCACTAGACATCTAGTGGAAGTCAGATTACCCCATACATTATAATATTAAATGCAATCACCTTTCGAACGTGCTATTTTAAATATAGTTTTGTTTTTACTAAGGCTTTTCTTTCTATAAATATTACCACAATAATACCAGAACTAGAAAAATCTCGGTTAGACGTATAATTCCCCTTTGTTTACTATACTATAAACTTAAATGCACATAAAACATTACATAAAGCGACCCTAATGCCACATGGCATTCTCCTCCAGTTCTATGATCAAAATAAAATATGTTTTAGATTCCAGTTTTTGCAATACCTATTCCTATAATTCAACCTTTCATTCAACAGCTCACACCCAAATGCTTTCTTTCAAACAAAACCGTATAATATGTGTTTCGTTTGAAATAACCCCGAGGTTAACAGTAAACCAACAGAAAAATAGGCTCACTCTGCTGATTCCGGACTAAAAATAAACTACCAACATCTGCGTCATTTAATTTAAAATAAATAATGCATGCAACGACATCCCTTTATAACTTGCTTCTTGAGATGAATGCTCATAATGAGTCATTAGTACTTAATTAGATATTAACAGTCGTGAATAAGATCAATGACGGGCGGTTAGATCGATGATATCACTCACTGTACAACGATACGTCACGCATCTTAACCTTGCCGACGTAGCAGGTTGAATAATCAACAAGCAGGTTACTCAGACCGAATACTGCGAAAAATTCTGACGTCCTCCTTCCTACGATACGAGCGACGACGACTCGGCTACATCTCTTTTATAATCTTATTCTAGTTTTTTGGATGTTTTTTTCTTGTTTACTATAGATTGTTAAGTCATTAAATGCTAATTTCTCTAGTGATATCATCCAATCCATACAAGACGCTTTCAGGGTAGATAAACAAAAAAGAAGTAGTTATTCTTGTCTAATTTCTAGGCTCAAGTCAAACGAAAGTTTTTTGTACTGGTTTATTTATTAGGTATGCCCTTACTAAGTGAAAATTATCAAAAAATCCGCCCCACTTGGCAAAGTTGCCAATAACCACAAACTTTACGACATTTGAAACGAAAAGGGCGTTGTGGTAAACGGAGCTCAACAGCAAAAGGTTCGATTCCCGTACCGTGACAACTAACCCACAGTAGTTTATTATATTCTACGGTGCCCCAGTTATAGGTACAAAACTGGGTTTCAAACGCATTTTAAATGGACTAGGGCATAATAAATTGGGACAATGACCCAGCAAGACCCCTCTAACCTTGGGAAAGCCCTTCTGTCGACGTGATGGAATTAAATTATTTATTTGCGTTAATAAGGTAGGGCTTTTAATCTAATGCATTATACTTTATATGCGGTTCTTTCTACTTACGTTACCGAAATACGTAACTCAAATTGTCTTATTTGCCTTCAAACATAGGTAGTTCGTATTCGTATCCCTACACTCAGATGACTCAGACACGCCGCTGCGCGCGGTTAAATCTTAGCTAATAAAACTCAGAGTTAATGTTACCATATTTGTATTTTAAGTAAATAAAACCGTGGAAGATTTTAATTTGGTATTTTCCACATTTCCGCCAGACAAAATGCTTTCCTTTTGTTTCGTCATATCAATGTCTGGCCGATCGAGTAAGAAGTTAATGGAGCAAAATTGCAGTAAATGTGTTTACAGAATGTAGTTTCGGCTTCGGCGGCCGGCAGTCGGGCTCGCGGGACGCAACCGCGGCCCGATGACATCATCCCGCGGTGATTGCGTGGCGCAGGGCTCGCCAACTGTTTCGACAAGTTATAAAATAAAGTAAAAATGTTTACGGTACCTTCCAACTACCTACATTTATTCATTTTATTATTGACTAGCTAACCCGGCGAACTTCTTACCACCTATGTTACTAAAATTAACGTAGGATTCTAATGGTGAAAGATTTTCTTATCGGTCCAGTAGTTTGCTTAGTTTAGCCTTAGTTTCTCTGCTTAACCCGTGGTTAACCGGTAGAGAATGCCAGCCGGCATTAAGTCGACCTACTTCAGTTTTTATAAAGCTACCTATTTGGACTATTTTATACACCCAAAGGTTGATTACCCCTGGGAGCGAGAGGCAAGCGTGAGCGATACGAGGCGACCGCCAGCGCCCGGCTTCATTCTAGTCGCGATCCGAGTTTGCGCTTTGTGGGTTGTTTGGGCGTGTCTACATTACTAAAAAAAAGTACGTACTTTTCTACACCTAATACAGCTGTTATTAGCATTATAATCAAAACTCTATCATTCATCAAATCTTGAAAAGTTTAAAAAAATACTTAGTTTTTATAACAATTTAAAGTGAAGGTTAGAACCGGCTCATGTTTGGTGCTCACTTCGGGTGTTTGTTACCGCGCTACCGCAAGCCGGCACGCATTTACGTTGTATTTATAGCAAATACGTGAAAGTTGTTTGTTTAAATCCATTTTTAACGCTAGTTTTTCGTTCTAGGAATCTCCAAAATGAGTGGCCAGCAGTATTACCCGTACAAGGTGAGTTTTACCACCTACCTACTAATGTGTTTGTGCAAAGCTGTAGCTATCGATTCTCTCACGAGATGATGTCATCCTTCGCGGTGAGGTTGTTAAGTGGGCTGGTTTGTGTGAAATTAATCCAAAAAGATGTTCCGAAACAGTTAAAAAACATCGTTTTCTTTCGATATTTTATTTGAAACCCCCCTTATTCTTGCGGTATAATTGAAACCGGATGTAGGTAGTAACTGCGTTCATTACAATCTTGTTTTTTCAATTATTCTAAAATATTCCTTAAATAATAATTGCCAGCTAAGTATTTAAACATTTGAAGTCCCATATTACAGTCTGTCTTCATCCCGCGACCTGCATCCCGATGGACCGCATTACTTAGTTGAATGCACTTTTGTATTCTACCCACATTTTACTATCGTGCGTAGCTGTATTTCCGTTAACCCGTTAACAGACAGTCATTTTAAATTGATGATTAACAATTTGAGTAGACCTAGTAAGTAAATTACAAAATCTGTATTTTGATAACTTTATTGATACGATTTAAAAGTTGATCGATTGACCTGGGAAAACCATAGGTTTCATAAACAAACCACCCCAATAGCCCACAAAACAACAGTAATGGGTTTTGTAGCATGCTAGCACGCAAACCAATCCGCAATTTACTCCAAAGCCATTCAGTTTTTATGGCGTAAACCTGAATTTAGTCCAACCGGTTTCGCTGCATGTGCATTCAAAAGCTAATGCCGCTATTTTTGGTGCATCTTGAACGCCATGGAAATAAAATTACCGACACGAACGACTTCGAAATTCCGCCCTCCACTTTTATCTTTTGTTTTAATCGTGAATGTATTGAAGTTAATAATGCAAAGTAGAAATCTATCAACGATTATACATAGAATACCTACAAGTAGAAAGTAAGCTAAGTACTTAAAACTAAGCTGAAGTGTCTAGCCCAGCCATTAGGCTAATGGAAAAATTCGAGGAATTACCTACTCTAGCATGTCCAGGATGACACAGAAACCTTACAGGAAAATATGAATTTGCAATTGTTCCGTTTTTTGTAGCACCATCAAAATGTTTTTGTAATTTGTGATTCATAATGTTCCACCGAAATGAGATTAAAATATTTCCTAAACGCTGATTTTAACGCCTTAGGTCCCGAAGTAACATTTCATGTGGATTTTTGAAGCATCAGACTTTTAAAATCGCTTTCGATTCCAGTTGAACTCTCTGAAGGTTTCTATACCTATAGGTTCTTCCTAGTTTCAATTTTTAAGATAGACCTAACGCCCTTGTTTGTCGACTCAGATTTACATAAGTACTAATTAATATAAGATAGAACGTAGCACGTTCATGCGTTTCAAATGACACTGCTGGACAAAGGCCTCACCCAAGGATTTCCACAACGACACCTCATGGAAAACACAGACAGTGCAACCTCATCTCAGCTTCTATTGTCCTGGACCTTTCCTAACCGACTTGTTTTTCCGCTTCTATTGTTCGTTCGTTCGTTCGTTTCAGCCAAATGACGTCCACTGCTGGACAAAGGCCTCCCCCAAGGTTTTCCACAATGAACGGTCCTGCGCTGCCCGCATCCAGGCTCTTCCCGCGACCTTTACCAGATCGTCGGTCCACCTAGTAGGAGGCCTGCCCACGCTACGTTTTCCAGCCCGTGGTCGCCACTCGAGAACTTTCCTGCCCCAACGGCCATCGTCTCTACGAGCTATGTATTCGATCTTTTCTAACCAACTGCTTTTTCCAGTGCACCCCCACGGTGTACCCGGCGGAGCCCTTTGACCCGGCGGCAGATGCGGAGACCCTCCGCAAGGCCATGAAGGGCTTCGGCACCGATGAGAAGGCCATCATCGACGTGCTGTGCCGCAGAGGCATCGTCCAGCGGCTGGAGATCGCCGAAACCTTCAAGACTAACTATGGAAAGGTAAGGTTCTAAAACTGTTAGAGTTGCACTAACTTATTCTAACCGTGACTATACCTGTTCCGGTAACATGTTTATTGAATGGCGTTTGATAGACTTTTGACGTTTGTTAAAGCTAAAGTAAGATAGTGCAACCCAGCATTTGAAAAAGTAAAAGGCAATTTAAGTAGTACGACTTGTTACTAAAATAATGTCTTGCGAAGTTCCTGGGTAAATAAGCATACTCCGAAATTCTAAATATTATTTCAACCATAGAAAGTGGAAATTACTGAACGTGGAAATTTTTCATTTTTCACCGCATGGAATTCCTGGTTCAGTTAGTAGATAACAGCTTCATCGTACCGGGTTTATTTATAGATTACTCGCTCCTGGGTTTTTACAGGTTATTGCCTGTAAAAATGATTCACGAAAGGTAATAATTTTCCTTTCCATTATTATTTATACGAGTATGATGGACATATTATTTATACGAGTATGATAAGTCAAAGGTACAAAAGATAAGGCAAACAGTGTATCAACTGTTTTGACTTTCATTGGTTAAAATGATTGATCGTCCAACGACCTACAATTACTTAAGTGAATCATATTTTTACGAAAGCACAAACAATAAAATATATCTGAACCTACGTAACAACCACCACTAGTGTCAGAAAATGTACATGTTGAGACTAACTTTACTACTTATCTTATGAAATTACTTCAAAGGTAATCGATTAGTATTTTTTGAGTATGATGTCATAGTAATTACCATTGTTTGTCCTTTCTACTTTTGGTGCACGCAAATTTGAACTTTAACTTCCAGTAGTTAGGAGGTAAGGTAAGGGTTTCCTCGTTAAACTGCCACCTTGGAGCTGATGTTATCAAAGAACATTCAGAATCTCACGGTAAAGACCTTGCCACTCGCCTGAGTCATCGTTGATTCACTCCATCAAGTCTTAGAGGAACTGTTTTGTGTGCCGCTTCCTGACTGTCGAGTGTCGAGGGCAAATGATTAACTGACTGCTGCACAAAAAATGGCTGGCTGAGTTTTGTTATTGTGATTTGGTGGACATTTTTTTAGGTGTACTTTGGTACTCGTAATTGATTTCCCTGGGCACATCGCGTGTGTGCGAGAACATTGCCATTTGTCATTAAAATTAAACTGAACTGTGTTTTCGTTGTGTGGCAGCAAGTGCCCTTTAGTCGGAGTAGGTAAATCAGAATTGAATGTAACTGTAATGTCAATGAAAAAACGATTGAACAACACAAAAAAATTCAACTTTAAAGATTTGGGCTGCACTAAGTACATTCTTATCATAACTCTTAAATGTCAACATATTTCATAAGGTTAAGATTGTTATTTATTTAACCTTTTAAACCAAAACAAAGACTTAAACATTGTTGTCTCTTTTCAAGTCCCTGAAAACAACATTTCATAGTCTCGCCAACCCTATCCTATCTAGGTAGGTAATATCTAATGGGAAAATTCCATATAAATCAGTAAATTGATAAAAATCAGAACCTTTTATTATAAAAAATTATAAATAAGCTATAGTAATCAAGCACTCAACATAAAGACTTTCGCAAAAAACATGTGTCAAACAAGAATTTGCTATCTTATCACATTTGTTTACATTGCACATGACAGCGAAATGATAAAGCTATTATGAGGTATATCTAGTCAGATAATGTGTAAATAACGTGCCCCTCCTAAGCCAAATAGCTCTGAGTATCTTGAAGAAAGCAGAATATTCCATATCATACTTAATAAATACTATTTTCAGCCTGGCCTGGCCCAGTGGTTAGACTACGAATTGCAATAATTATCAGAGGTCGCGGGTTCGATTCCCTCTGAAAAGAAACATTTGAGTACATGACCATAACTGGTGTTATTTCTATGTATTAGTACCTATTATACTTTCAAGTTTTAATTTGTTTAATTACCCAAAACTGTGGTTTAATTATATGTATAGTTACTCGTTGTAGTATTATCACAGAATACATAATAGTAGCAACAGAAATTGCACTCCTTTGTGTAGGATCAGATGCCGACATTTTAACGGTAATAATAATAATGCAAAATATCCAACGCACATGGTGCATTCGAAATCGCACCTTACTACTACGCTCACAAGAGCGCATTTTTTTGTGTTTAGAATTGATCTACGTCACCGCTCAAGCGTCAGGGTTGTATGAGCAAAGCTTAGATTAATAAAATTAATCTAATGAGCAAAGCAAAATAAATAAAAACTTAATTTTAAGAAACATTTATTGTATTTACGATTAGAAAACTTTAATCTAGTGGAGTTTGTATAATCGTACCATCTCTAAAGTACCTATTAATAAACTTCAGTGTTGCGATAATTCGAAATTAAACAAACAGTTTTAAAAGGTGTAGTGTCGGAAAATAGACACGTTGAAGTAAAGTTAATGTTTTTATTAGCTAAAATAATTTTTTGCTATAGTTTTTTGTCATAAGTATTTCAAAATAATATATTATTTAAAAAGTGTAGTTTTTTTTTTATTATTTAAATCACTACAGTTAATTATTATTCCTAAATATTACAATTTTTCATTAAAGAAGAATAACAGTGCTGTTGGAACAATAAACCTTGATTGCGACTATGATCGACCGAGCGTGTATAGATACGCGTGTGCAAACAGGCGCGTGGCGGCCCTGACTGATTTGCAACTTGAAGTTGTCGCGCGCTGTAGGTAATTATCTCGGCCGGCATAGGCGAGTGACGGAGGCCTGGTATTATTTTATTTAAACCTATCTAATCAGCTCAAACTATAGTATGTAACTCGTTATTTTTATCATAAACGTATCAACGTATTTATCCATTGTTAACGTTTTAAATACCGAAATACTAATTAAAACAAGGATAATAGTAAACGATTGTAATAAATTAATTTTGTGCCTATTATGACTGTGAAAGACACTTGGACGTTTCACAACAGCCAGTTATTCGCGCTAACGATGTTCAACAGTTTTGTTTAAATAGTAGTTAAGTACTTACTGGGTTTTATCGTCCTAATAGAAAATGCGAACGTAGGTAACTGTGTCTATTTGTGCATTTGCATTGACGCCTAATAACGAACAATGAACTAAATAAAACCAAACCACACGGTTATATTGTACGTTCGAACGAATTATAAATGTCATAGACTACTTCGCCGTCAGCGTCGCGTCGACGTCGTTGGCGGTTAAAAGGTTAAATATTTTTATGTATTTGAAAATTAATATATTCGTTAGAATTTCATTTTCCGAGATAACTAGAGTATTGTAACTTACTACAATGAGTTATTGTACCTACTGTTGTCTTAGCGTGTGTTCCGCTTATAACGTTAAAAGGAATTATAATTTTCAATCTGATAAGTTACCTACCTACCTCTACCTCTAACAACATGTCTAACAATAACAATGTATACCTTCATAATGCTGTTTGTTAATCGGATTACTATTTATCTACCAACTTTATCTGCTCATCCATAACCGCCTGTCCCGTACAGACACTGCTTGTTATGATTAATATTCTTAACTAGAAAAATTACTCAACATAGATTTCAAATAAATATTGAAACTTTCAATAATTTACTCAATTAACTTAGATTTTACTCGTACATCAATAAATTAGTAATAAGTAAAGTACTTAATAATAAAAATAAATGACTAAAGCATGGAAACTAAAGCATTTACGCGAATCTATGAAGCAAAGAAGTCCCAGGTTCTTCTCCCAATACCAAGCGTGTGAGCAAATACTTACTTAGTGGGCGTCGCGTTGTTTTAAATTGTCCGAACTAAAAAACAAACAATGCTAGATTATGCATGTTTTATTTTTGTTCCGCGTATGTTTTCGGTGTCAACTATTTTGCATGCCTGCCTAATTACGACATTAGTAGGTACAGGTTGTCTAGATTAATTAGATAAAACGAGTACTATGTTACATTAGACTGGGTTGTTAACAATCGAAAAATTTTCAAGCACGATTTTTTCGTGCATACAAAAACAAGTTTTAAAGTCAAAACAAAAGCACAGCTGAACTAGGTGTCGTGTTTAAGGGCGGACAAAATAGATCCAATTTCAGGACAATTTTCTGTGTAGGTTTAAGCCTTTTTAAAATGAAGCCTTTGTCAACTTGATACTGGATATACCTAAACCTGTATAGCCTATATTACAATGTACTTACTTACCACTTCTAGTGCCTTTTTCAGCTTTTCCATGTGATACGGATTTCCACACGCATTTTCCGTTCTGCGTGCGTTTAACCCGCCGCTGCCCGCGTAAGGGCCGAAATCCGCATCAAAGAAAACTTGGAACTTAATCTCTACATCATTTCTAGTCTGCAGTTGTTATTAGACTAACTTTTCAACATTCTTCCAGGATCTGATCAGCGAGCTGAAGAGCGAGCTCACCGGCAACCTGGAGAACGTGATCGTGGCTCTCATGACGCCCCTGCCCCACTTCTACGCCAAGGAGCTCCACGACGCCGTTGCCGGGATGGGGACTGATGAGGAAGCCATCATCGAGATCCTGTGCACTCTCTCCAACTACGGCATCAGGACTATCTCTGCTTTCTACGAACAGCGTGAGTATATTTGACGTTTAAATACAGCGATCGCGGCTCTTATTACGCCCCACTTCTAATACGCGAAACTTATTTACGTGGGACACTATTTAAGTTGTGAGCCTAACTATGAAAACAAAGTAGTTTATTATTAAAATGGTATTGATTGCGTTTATTGGTATTGTCTTTCATGATTTATGTACTTTTTAATGTGTCTAAAACACTTTTCATAGCATTTTTTCCACTCAGCTTGAGGCACCTCCAAAGCATGGTTTTTGACCGCACCGACAGTTGCTTCTGGCTACATAAATCGCTGTTCACGCGTTTAATTTTAATATATGGGTACCAAAAGAAGTGTTTAGATTCCAAGCAAGAATTTCGTAGCGTTGGACCTGTTTATTTCATATTTTGAGTGTTCAAATAGTCAGTTGTTTGACCAGACGTGTAAAAGCTCACATTTTCGTCACGAATGGCGATTCGACTATGCTGGTCAGTTTCCTTTATTAAACTGAAGACTTATGGAAAAAAGTGGCTGTTTACTATTAAGAATTAACCATCTAAATTTCTCTAGTAACGTTTCTGTCATATAATCGGATATTTCGGAAAAATAGGCGACCGTAAGTTTCAAAGTGTTCCGAGCGCATGGGACTTTTGTTGGAATTGGTTCATCTTAAAACACCTCCATAGTCGATAGCTGTTTATTTTCAGGATTATTATACATAGATCCTTAATTCGTCAACTGTCACAATTTTAAAAACGGCTTTTACAGCTTTTTAAACGTATTTATCAAACATTTCCAAGGATTAAACGACCCAAGCGTCCTATTGAGCGTTTGAAAAATTGTGTGACATCCAGCGAGAAAAAAACGTATTAACCATAATATGGTCATACAATATTTTATTACTGCTAGTGGAATTAATGCCTAGGATTATCTCAATCCTACAATATATCACATGACGAGGTTTCTCTTCAATTTTTCTGACAACATCAATGTTTTCCGCCACAAGTAGTCATTTTGGACGACTTTCGCAAAGTTCACTGGTGAGCCAATGACATACAATATTATACTTTTTAAACTAGCGTTTTACAATGGTAAAGGATAGATCTTTATCACCAAAAGTGAAATTTAGCTGACCGCTTCAGTTTTGTATTGAATAACCACGTCGAAAGTCATAATAAATCTTCGCGCGAAAATTTCCGCAAGTCAATTCCATGTTTTTGTAGTCAAGATAATTTTCAATTCAATGTTAATAATACAAAACGTGCTCAAATGATAAAAAGTTTTGAATAAGGTTGTAGTCAAAAATGTCAAACTTTTCATTAAAAGTATCAGATGTCGTCTAACAACACGTTATGTTGTCAAGGCTCACAACTTAAATAGTGCCCTAGTATTACCTAAGTAAGTACGTGAACTGTAAAATGATTTGTTAGGATCTATTTAAGTACCTACTACTTATGATTAGGTACCCACGTTGTTGTCAACAATATGATACGGCACTCCTTGGGTGTGTTTTCCATCGTTCAGAGCAAGTAAATGAAATTGTTATTAAAAATCACTATAACACGAGTTTAAATACACGTTACCTACGCTGGATAGTCTATTAAAAGATGGCGATGCTATATTTAACCGTTGTATCTGGTCCTGTTAGATTTAAGAGGAAGTTCCGTCATATTTTGACTGATCCAAATCATGTAGCGGTTGACGAGTACGAGTAATTTTCCTCGAGGTCATCGCGTTATCGGTGGTCGTTGAGGCAGTTTATTCAAAGTTTATTGAAGTCACAATTGGTTAGTCATCATCGGTCAAACACGCCTTGTTAATGACATGGTTTGATGAATAGTCAGCGAGATGATTCATAATTGCTCGTTTTATATCTTAAGAAATGACCTACAAAATTAGAAACTACCTATTGGAGAAAATTATTCGTTTTTTTTTTGCTTGAATGTTTCCTAGACTCTAGAGACTGGCCGTTAGGAATATTTAATTGTTACTTATTTGTTTTTCTACGGTTCACATAATAAAGGTTTAATATCTTTGGTCTCAGGTATCCTCGATACACTCGTGTGCACAGTGCAATATTAATTTACCTACTTTGGCTAAACAAATATAACAGCCGTCATTTAAAGCATTTACTTACCTACATTGCATTCGTGACTGGCGTATGAGAGTATTGTCCTACACACTTTACGACCTACACAAGCCGGTTTAATCGTTAATTGAACATGCCTAAGTGAGTTATGTATACTGTGGTAAGTAGCTATCTAGCTCCACAGATTAACCGATGTAAGCTAATAGGGCATGTCGCGTTGCACCGCAACGGATTTTTTATTAATCTAAAAGAATAATTTGTTTTTGCACACGCGGATGAAGAGTCGGCCAGTCCGACCCCTTCACCGTTCGGCTATCGTGGCTTGAACAACAACGGAATATGAAAACCTTACAACTTTGATGCATGTTCCGACTATACCTCGCATTTATTTTAACTTTACGTGGCCATCAGTTTCAACCGAATTTCCTTTCCAGTGTATAACAAGAGCCTGGAATCAGACCTGAAGGGCGACACATCAGGCCACTTTAAGAGGCTGTGCGTGTCTCTTTGCATGGCCAACCGCGACGAGAACCAGGGTGTAGACGAGGGTGCCGCTAAGGCCGACGCAGAGGCCCTGGCCAACGCGGGAGAGGGACAGTGGGGCACTGATGAGTCCGTCTTCAACTCCATCCTTATCACCCGCTCTTACCAACAGCTTAGACAGGTGAGGACAGAAAGAGATAGAATCAAGTAATTACGTATTAAGGCTGATGCAGAGGCCCTGGCCAACGCGGGAGAGGGACAGTGGGGCACTGACGAGTCCGTCTTCAACTCCATCCTTATCACCCGCTCGTACCAACAGCTTAGACAGGTGAGGACAGAAAGAGATAGCATTTTAGATTAAGCACCGGTTAATCAAGCTAAAATACGAAGGTAAGAAAAGCTACATAAGTAACTCCGAAGTTAGCGATCTTAGTTTTGAAGTAAGAACCTATTGGTTGAACAAAAGTTAACATTGGAAAAGAGGCTTATAGGTAATATGTGTGGGCAGTTTAATTGCTGGTTATCTTATTTTAAATCACCGGTGGGTGTTTCGTAGACAGTTACTTACAGCACGTTATAGTAAATAATTAAGTATTTAAATATGAATCATATATTTTAAATACTTAATAATACTTATTAAATAAATAGGAATGCAGTTCTGTTCTGGCGCGGTATGATTCAGTTATGAATTTCTTTAAGCGACTTATTATTTGTCTGGCTGTTTAAAATGCGCATACATAATCAGACTTTATTTTCTTGCAACTTACTTCCAATCGCATGGTAACTCGTAATAGCAGATCAATGTGCCGGATAATGCCACTTGAAATTCTTGAAAAACAGTGCATTAGCTCACAAATGTGAAGCGAAGCAAATGGAAGTATAATCAGGTTGCATAACTAAGTAGGGCTACATAACATACCTACTTACTTAAGGAAAAAACATGAAGCACATAAAATTACCAATAATGAAGTTGAATCGATGATAAATTCAGTAAGAAGAAAGTCCACAAAAGTATCTACCTATTCAGTTTTCTTCTGTGAAATATTATGCATGCACTTGACTACTTAATCACAATTGTTTAAATACTAATATTAAATATGATATCAGATCAGTGTAATAACATGCACACACTCATATTACTTAATTGCAACAGTGCCCAGTCAAAGTTACAGAACTGACTCATACGGCATGTTGATAATATGCGTACATAATTGATTCTGTATCAATTATTCAGGGTTCGTTCGACATACGCCCTTGGCTACCTTTTATTACCACGACGATTGAAGACAATAATGATGGGTCTACTACATAGGTCATACACTATAACTGTCAAAAACAACTGTAAGTAGGCGGCAGCTGTAAATATTAGAATGGTCATGTTCACCCATGTTTTCCCTGGCATCCTTCAGCACAAAACCATGTTTTTTGCATTCGTAATTACGATTACGACCGTACTTCGGGTGTGTTAAATCTAGAAGCCATCATAAATTCATGATACAATGATCGTACCTATCAATATTATGTCCACGAAGTGACTCCAGTCAGATTTACACTGTTTATAAAAAAGTAGAGAACCATGGTGCCGAAAGTTAACGAGAACTTTGTAACTTTCAGATCTTCGCAGAATATGAGGCTTTAACTGGAAAGGACATCGAGGAGTCCATCAAAAAGGAGTTCTCTGGAAGCGTTGAGAAGGGCATGCTGGCTATTGGTAAGACAACTTATTCTATGTAGGTCCTACAACTACCTAGATCTCAATTAGAATGTTGAAAAGAGATATACTTACTTACGTGATACAAATTGTCGAGAGAGTTTTAAAGCATTTTTACACCCATAATGCTTGGTTTTAATAAAAATAAGATGATGCGTGTTGTTCATTGCATGTTTGCCAAGGTCAAGTAACGTAATAAACAATAAGGCCTGGATCGGATAATAATAATAGCGTTGTTTACTCCTAAGTGCATCACCAAACTCAGAAACCGCACGGTTGTTGCGCGTCTGAACCAGGCCATATTATTAAACCTGCAATAATATTGGATAGGAGCAGTTATAATTTCGTGTATAAAACCCGCTGGGAATGCTTAGGCCTAATTTTGTAAATTGCGGAACGTTTACATCACTCATACACAATCTATATTGCCTACGGTACCTAGTGTTGGTTGACCATCATAGTATTTTTTATTGTTTACCTCATACAAATTGCGTCAGGTGCGTGAGCCGCTACTATATTCGGTACCTGTCATAACTATTTTTAGGCATACTTAGTTCATACATCAATGAGTTCACGATCATGGCCCAGATTTATTAGGTACCACTCAATACACTACATAGTTTTAGCATTAGCGGCCTATGCATATAAAATGAAATATCTAAAACAATCGCAGCAAGGTCATACGACAGGAAACTTAAACCGCATGGTCATTCATTTTTTCCGCAATGCTGATAGACATTTGTCTATAATTTTATAAACCTTAAAATTTCCAACTGAATTTACGGTGAAATCTAACCGTGAATAACATTTTACCCTTTTGTAGGCCCGCCAAAATTAAAACCATCTCTAACGTGTCCAGTACCTAACATTAACAATCTGTTTTCAACCTTCCAGTAAAGTGCGTCAAGAGCAAGGTTGGTTTCTTCGCTGAACGCCTGTACTACTCAATGAAGGGCCTCGGCACCAACGACAAGACCCTCATCAGAATCGTGGTCAGCCGCTCCGAAATCGACCTCGGAGACATCAAGCAGGCCTTCCTCGACAAATACGGAAAGACCCTTGACAGCTGGATCGCTGTAAGTCATTCCTCACTTTATTACTTACCCATTAAGAAACATTTTACTTTATGTGTTGGGATAACTTAGGTTATTTGTGTACCTATATTAATCATGCTTTATATGTTTTATTGAAAAATACATTATTTTGACTAACGTCCATTTTCCACCACCATGCGATGCTAACTATATTAGCCATTGCTATATTGTTCATTAAAGTTAACAACGCATTCGAATTACACGTTGTACACTAACGGCATGAAGAATTTTAGACTAACGTAACAGAATATCACATATTTTCGTATCAATATTACACAATTTTCATGAAACTGACCCATAGTTTCTAGTATATTCAGAAGATTAAATATTCTTGATACTTATAGTAGGCTTATTTAATAAGCATGACAATAAAATTTGCTTTAGGATTTATAAATCATGCCCTATCACTTTCTATACTTTCCTAACTACACTCTTATTAATGAATTTATTATACAGATCTTTTTATTATTCGTACATAATGGAATTTGTAATATATTGTAAATAGCACGAAATTCGTTCATCATTCAATCAAAGGTGTTAAAAATGTGGTTCAAAGATAACAAATTGCTTTGTGATCTGTTTCCAAATCTGTCATAACAATACCTAAATGATGTTTTACGTATTATTTTGTGAATTTAGTTTACCCTTGACATTAGTTTAGAATAGTGGTCCATTTTGATTGCAGGATGACACCTCAGGGGATTACAGGAAGGCTTTATTGACCCTTATCGAATAGATTGTGAGCTGAGTGGTCAGGCTGCCAACGATTGCATAACCACCTATTTCCAATACTTTTAAGTTATGTTTGTCAATTCGTTAGGTTGTTAAGTGATCTGATAGGTACTACGCATGGATGACAAACTCGTTTAGGTTTTCATGAGTTTGTTTTCGATGCGTGAATCTCAGCTTCGAATCGGTTGTAATTTAATCTCACGAGATCTGTATATTTTGCTTCTTACTCACTCATTTCGCACAGTAGCTAACTGCTTCGTGTTGTCTATGCATGAAGGTAGTGGTCGAGTGTACGTTTTACGCTAGTTACAGTAGTTGTTCCGTATTTTTCAGGAGGTCTTAGGAGGTCCGATCGGCCTTCTCCTTTCTACACTGTGTTACTAGACACCGTAAACACTCAGTATTACGAGTTTACAAGCAACATTAATGTAACACTTAACTTTGTGATGTTTAAATTTATTTATTTTTGTAAACGAGTACACACTTACTGTTGCATTTTATTTAAAGACATTTTATTTTTTATATTAATTTAAGCTACTATAAGAATAACGTGGATAATCTCATGCTTACACCAATGCACGTTTTGTGAATGGATTGAAATTACAAATTATGGGCCAGTTTCTTTTTGGTTTTATTTTGTTGACGCTACAGAGTCGGTATTCCGTGTTGTTCACAGGATGACCTCACGGGTGACTTCAAGAGAGTGCTAGTCACACTTTGTGCTTAATCCTGCAAAATAAACTCTATGAAACGAAATTATTTTTATATGTGTATTTTGTTGAGCTTGGCATGCATGCAGTTAAATAACATGATTCGGCCCCGAGAAGTTTCAAAGTACAACGGTGTCATATTTTGCAGGATGATACGAAGGGAGACTACAAACGAGTTTTACTTACTCTAGTGTCGTAGAAGCATAATAGTGCTACAGTTGTTGAATGTCTGCCTTGCAATGTTCTAGTTCCGATATTGAAACTGCCTTTACACTGTATTAATTGTTATTGAAATAAAAGCTTGATATTTTTATGAAATGAGATATTTATTGGTGCTCTAGTTTTGTTTACGATATACAATACATATTTACAATAAACATTACTTGAAGTATGTATGTTCAATGGTTGTTTTATTGATTTTACTTAGTCTACATCCCGAATTCCTTCTTCTGTTATCTGCAACAACATATTTTATATGGTCAAACAAGTTTTAAACTCTTTTATGGACAAGATGGTTACCTATCTATATTATGTTTTATGCTTTAGTATTTACTGAAAGACCACACATATCGCAAAAGATGTCGCCCGACTTTACACTGCATTTGTCTCATAGGCTTTAGTTCAGTCGTAGGTAAACTTATTCCAGGTAAGTGCACTCTACGTAAGTATTAGTTAGGTAAGACTAAAACCTATAATAATTCATCACACCTATGCTATCATATCTGCTGAAACAACTAACTCAAGGCCGAGAAGGAGTTCAACGCAGAGTGCTGATAACATTTTATCCCAAATCGCTCGGGTTTACGTCACAAAAATTGGCAGAACTTCAAGATGTGCAAGTAATACGAGGAAAGCCCTCCTCTGGCCCCTTGCCAGATGTCAATCATTTCGCTATGCTAATATTATTACAACAATGCAAGTATACATTGCAAATGTTTTTCGGGATACATGATTAATACATGTGAACATGTACCTAGGAACGGTACATATTCAATCTTAAACAGCTGAACCGGTTTAGATGGAAGTTACAGAGGTAGTTTGGGACCCAGAAAAAATGGGGTAGTATTTTTTCGGTTTTCTATTATACGGTGAAAGGGGGAGACGCAAGTCTTCGTTTGCAAAATTCACGCAGGCGAAGCCGCGGGCAGAAGCTAGTATAGTCAGGGTCAAATAGTTCGAACTGCAACCAAAGTAGCCAAAAATTTCGCAACGTGTCTTTGTTACAATTGGAATAAAGTTGCGTTGTCAACTTTTTGGCCACTTTGGGTGCCACGAACTTTTTGACGCTGACTGTAGGTATAAAAGTGAACCAACCTTAAACCGTCCTACAGCATTAGCCCCACAGTTGCTCGTAAGACAAAGCGCGTGCCTTTCACAGCCTTCGCTTGAGAGCAGCATTCGAGTGTTGCAGCGGTGCGCCCACGCATCCCCCAGGGCGCCGACTATCGACCCGGTGGACAGCCCTACGCGGGTGCTCACATATACCATTCAGATGCTCCTGGAAATCTAGCAGTCGCTTTGAAGGAGCTAAGTCAAACGATCTAACTTAAAAAAAATCTGACTTACCCCCCGTAGGCCTGAAGCTGGGTATGACTTTCCCCCTCTAGGCCAGAAGCTGGGCACGTCCATGGGTTTTGAGTCACTCGCATCTCATCAGTGTCTACCCTAGGAGCAAGAGGATAAATATACTATCTTACCATAAACCGTCCCACAGCAATGGCCCCACAGTTGGTCTTTAGACCTAAAAGATCTGACTTGCCCCGCCTCGGCCAGAAGCTGGGTACGCCCATGGGTAATGGGTACTCATCTCATTAGTGACTACACTAAGAGCAAGAGAATACAATATAGGTCTTACCTTGAACCTCCCCACAGCGTTAGCCCCACAGTTGCTCTTCAAACAAAGCGCGCGCCTCTCACAGCCTTCCCTTGAGAGCAGCACTCGAGTGATGCAGCGGTGCGCCCACGCGTCGCCCAGGGCGCCGACTATCGACCCGGTGGACAGCCCTACGCGGGTGCTCATCTCATTTGTAACCACTACCTAGGACAAAAAAAAATCCCAATCTATACTAATATTATAAATGCGAAAGTAACTTTGTCTGTCTGTCTGTCTGTCTGTCTCTCTTTCACGCCTAAACCACTGAACCGATTTTTGATGAAATTCCCGGTTTTTGAAACAGGGACGCGCGCGATAGAGTTTTTCTGTGACAGACAAAATTCCACGCGGGCGGAGCCGCGGGCGGAAAGCTAGTGTAATAATATCAGTCAGCAAAATGCATTTTTTTTTAGATTTCGACATTGTTCTCATAGTGAAAGTTGTTGCATTTGAGCAGTAGATTGCCACATAAAAAGATATATGCGTTTGATCTGTTACAACTCGTAGATTCGCGCCTATTTATTGAAAAGAACTACCTAATATTTAAGAGTATCGTGCGAGTGTTGCAGCGGTGCGCCCACGCGTCGCCCAGGGCGCCGACTATAGACCCGGTGGACAGCCCTACGCGGGTGCTCATCTCATTTGTAACCACTACCTAGGACAAAAAAAAATCCCAATCTATACTAATATTTTAAATGCGAAAGTAATTCTGTCTGTCTGTCTGTCTCTCTTTCACGCCTAAACCACTGAACCGATTTTTGATGAAATTCCCGGTTTTTGAAACAGGGACGCGCGCGGTAGAGTTTTTCTGTGACAGACAAAATTCCACGCGGGCGAAGCCGCGGGCGGAAAGCTAGTGTAATAATATCAGTCAGCAAAATGCATTTTTTTTTTAGATTTCGACATTGTTCCCATAGTGAAAGTTGTTGCATTTGAGCAGTAGATTGCCCCATAAAAAGATATATGCGTTTGATCTGTTACAACTCGTAGATTCGCGCCTATTTATTGACTAGAGGACTAATATTTAAGAGTATCCTGCGAGTGTTGCAGCGGTGCGCCCACGCGTCGCCCAGGGCGCCGACTATAGAGCCAGTGGACAGCCCTACGCGGGTGCTCATCTCATTTGTGACCACGACCTAGGGGCCAAGAGGTTAAATGTTTACTGATTGATTGAACAGAGCGCGAGCTTAGTATCGACTGGTAAACAGCCCTACCACACAGTGCTCATCTTGTTTGTGACTACGACTACCACAGCTGACTACGACCTAAGAGCAAGAGTTTAATTGACGTAGTGTAAAAAAAATAGTACTTCTCGTATACCAACAAAAGTAAATCTTTTATTAAATGAAGAAAGATTCACTGTATGTTATAAAGCACATAGCATTTGTTTATGTAACGAACGTAACTTTGTGGCAGACCGAAATTGACGCGGGCAGGAGGTTTGAATTAAAATAGTATTTGAATTCCATCTAGCTACAAAGGTCTATTTACCCGACTGTGCGACCCAAAGGAGTGGTAATTAGGTCTGTGACTTAATGAATGATGGAAGAAGAGGTACCTGTGTAGAAATTGAAAGCTAGTGTAGGGCAATTTTAAAAACCTACTGCAATTTGTTTTTCTACTGCCAGTCGCTGAAGCTCAGCCATCTGCCTGAACAGCAAGCCAGTTCTCTGACTCGGTGTTATGCCCTCTTTGAATGGAAATGTTATTGAGTCTATTACGATTAGCTTTATCTGTAACAATGAGACATTACAATTTTAATAACTAAATACTTAGTTAAAATAATAAATTGTTTCATCATCCTTTTGTGTGATAATTGAATAATAATTATTTTAATTTATTTTCTTAGTAAAAAAGTAAAAATTATGGCAATGATATCGTGAGGATAATAAAAACTTTATATATTGACTAGCTTTTGCCCGCGGTTTCACCCGTGTGAAATTTAGTTTGTCACAGATCGTCATAGCTTATATGTTAATCTGGGTTATAAACAGTAATACTGTAAAGTTTCAACAAAATCCGTTCAGTAGTTTTTGCGTGAAAGAGTAACAAACATCCAGACATCATGACATCCAAACATCCAGACATCATGACATCCAAACTTTCACATTTATAATATTAGTAAGATATGAAATAAATCATCAACAATTTATGTCTTTAATAACAATATTCTTGAATATATACGACATAACGTTAAAATATTGTACATAGAAATAATCTACCTACATGGACTAAATATTTATATTTTGTATTACATAAGACTTATTCTTACTTGTGGATGGTCCTCAATGACTGAAGGCATTCTGTACATAGTAGCACAAAACTTTTCGAGTCCAAATGCATTTATGTAGTGCAACCTGTGCAGTGGGTCCTTGTTTGATACTATCGGAGTCTCCAAAAGTTGCTGGCATTTTGTCTGGCTTGCAGAAACTATTTCTGTAATAATTTATTGATAACTTTAGGATACAAATAGGATAGAATAGGTCAAAAAGTAGGTGATGTCATGCCATTTTTATCAGTCATAACTCTTATGCTCCTAGTCAGTTAAATTATTATAATGACCAGTAAGAACAATAAGTACGTAGTTTAGAATGGATAATTTATTATTTATAAAATACTACACCTTTAAATCTTTGCGGTGTAAAATTTGTATTGGTATCAACATAAAGTGCTTCAGCATTCAGTCCCCCTAAGACACTTGGTATTTGGACAGAGGCACAAAGCTGTAAACTAAAAAAAAGCAGGTGAAATTTTAAATAGATCCTCATTTCAAGGTACAATAAAACAATACGAAGATTGTACAGGAGGATAAATTCAAGCAAAACATTGGTAAAAAATAGCTTATAATACACAAACCATAGCTGTGTTTTTCCAGTGCCTGGAAGGCCAAGTAATTCAGTCAGGCAACCTAACTGGATTCCATTGCTGCCTAAGCAACTGTCTAGACTTTGGCTAAAAGTAGGAATAGACGGAAAACTGGTTTCTCGCTGAAAAAAATAAAGCTTTTATGTAAACACCGAGTAAACATCAGAAAAAGTTATTTAGTAGGTAGTTACTCACTTGCCATAATTCAGTTGCACTGAAAACTTTGTAAGACATTATTTAAAGCATTTTAAACGGTAAAATTGAGTTAATTTTATTAGAACTTTTATCAAAAAAAGGGAACAGTAAACGTAAACACAAATCTACCGCGCTGTACAGACATACTCTCTAATCTGTGCTGTCAACTATCAAAAGACAATCGAATTTTCGATTGAAATATTTTTTTAATTTCCATGACCACAGATTACTATCAAAATCGAACTTTTATAGAGTTAGCCAATAGCCCTGTTCAACAGTCGCTATTTTGTTTTATTGGACCGCAATCTTGTTTGACAGATTTATTAATCTGTGGTGTGACAGGTGACAGCTGCTGCTGTCAGCAGGACAGATTTTTTTTTGACAGCTTGCAGCTTTGTTTTGTAAATTTTGTATTTGCAGAAAACTAGATTTTTGCCGACAAATATTTACTCAAACAAACAACATTTAAATCATAAACATGAATCACAACCAAATGAACATGCATGTGCCCATGAATCCCGTTGGAGCGGCCCCTAACGTGGGCATGCAGATGCAAGTACCTGGCCCAATAATGCAGCAGCAATCTCCTCAACAAATGCAGCCAGCTATGCCACAGCAGCCCCAACAGGATAAGATGGATAATATTTCCAAAGTCAAGACCCTCATGGGATCTCTTAGAGAGTCCATACCAGTAAGTTTTTTGGTAGATATAACCTTGTGAAAATTGACTAAAATAGTCATTTTCTTTTCTAATTTAGATTTCCTTAAGAGGTCTAATCTTTTATTTGAAGATTCCTTCCTATTAACGTCAGTTTAATTAAACTATTCACCTACTTTTGCTAAGTTTACTTGCTTTTCATTTTAGATGACACTCAAATCAGCAGCTCAAATACTGCACCAAAATCACAACACGGACTCAAGTTCACAGTAAGTGTCACTAATAATATTTTTGCTACAATCCTATGCTTGTGAATACTAGTCAGCCTTGAAAAGAGCTCTTGTCTTTTATGAAAACTAAATTAAATAATTGAAAAGTATTTTTGCAGTACAGATTGCATTTTAATCCTGAACTTAACGATATTATAATGTCATGAGAACACACCAATTTTGTACTGAGTTTATACTTAGAAGTATTAATTTCTCATTTTTCTTATTCCAGAAAAGGAATGGATAACCCAGTGCCCAGATTTGACAAGAACTTGGAAGAATTTTTCTCACTGTGTGATCAAATGGAATTACATTTAGTAAGTTTATACTTGATACTGATGTAATATCCTAGAAGTACCTTTTCTTGCCTAAACTTCTAGACCATTTTGATTTATCTTTACTAGATTGCTCTTTGGAGAAAGCTGAGAGATGTACCCAAATAAAATCCTGTATGTTAGGTACTACATATTTGTAACAGGGTATTATTTATATTTACTTTTTAATGTGTGTAGTCCAGTTTCATACTACAAAATGTTGTGGTCTTCTGTACTCTCAGTTAGGAAATTGAATGATGATAATGATATTCAGATTAATTTGTTACATGATGAATCAACATGAGTGCTATGACGCACAATGTAAATTACTAATATTTACATTTCTTATTTAATTAATGCCAAATATGTTTACTCTTTTGATGTGTGTTCATCCTGATATTATAGTTGCAACAACAATTGTGAGTAATTGGGTATTTTCTGCTTATTGCAGTAATATTTTTCCATAATTCATTCATACCATTTGTCTACAATGTCTACACTTCACAAACTGTTGTATGTTAGACAACTTTAAAATGGTATCAATTATAAAATGTTACAATTATTTTATTGATCAATAATTGTTACTATATGGATGGTTTTGTGTCTGGATTTTATGCTTGTCATTTAAAATATTCATATTTAAAAATTTATTTTATCATTAATTAGTGTGTTTTTCAAATGCTCTTGGAGACTAATAGTGTTACAATGTAAGCGTATTTGTGAAGTCCTAGCGAGTAAACAATATAAGTGCAACAATTAACTTATTGACCCGGCAACGGTCCGTATCTCAATTATTATTACTTGATATCTGATGTCTTACGTGACTAGTTATCGGCTGTCAACACTGACATTTAATATTCCACCCTCGGTCCACTCTGCGAAGAGTTGATCATGCTGTTATGTAATGTGTTAGACATAAAAAATGAGGTGATCCTACATTTTATGGCTTTAATTTTAATGACGAATAAACAATATAAGTACCGTTGCGAGATAAACATTTCTTACAACTTAAGGAAAGTTTTTTTATGACGATAAAGTATCTTTTGAGTTTAAAGTTCATGGAAATATGGAAAGCTATGTGCATATAATCGTAACGTAATGACTGGCCTGGTGTGTTAAAACTATTTTACTGACATTTATGTTTGCTTTCAGCGTACAGCAGTGACCTGCATCCAGCAAGCACAGTCGGCTGCCCATTACCTGCCCCTAAACGTGATGCCTTCGCGGCTAGACCTGGGACCCACAGCACAGGTAATATACTCATGAAAGATTTGGAAATAAAAGTTAATCTTCCATACAGAAATATTCATATGTCTGAGATATTAAAAGTGGTGACTCCCACTTTTAGTTTGGGTGATGACTTTTTAGAAGCACCTAAACACGTGTTTAGGCGCTGGGACGCTTCTGGGACGCCCCAGTATCATTTTCACCACGCTGCCACTTCGGCTCGGGACAATAATGGGACTGCCAGTGCTGTAAGGATAAAATCAAAATAAAATCGTTAAAATAAGACCTAAGTATTTATATCCGCTAAAAAGAAGGAGGCAGAATGAGTTGCTTGGCCTACATTCACTAGTACTTTGCATTTCGGTACACAAACACGGAGGTCATCGTCATCTTAATTGCGTTTGTAAACAAACGATTTGATAACTTCCACTTGTGTAAGTCCACGACAATGCAAATTGGACAATTGTCAATCAAAGTCATAACAATAGCTCTGAAATTGGAATGGTTACACAATTTATTAATTAAAGCTTACATACAAACAATTTGTAGTGAGTGTGATCAAATCATATTAAAGCATTTTAAGAGAAAAAGTTCCTTATAATTTTCTTGCAGTTTTTGCAGCAAACTTTATAAACCTATACTTGACCATGACCATAATGTGATCTAAATGGTCATGGTCAATATTTCAAAAACAAGCTATCTTAGCCTCTGGGTCAGTGGTTCTTAACCGGTGGTCCGCGGACCACTTGTGTCCCTGGAAGCATTCCAAGTGGTCCACGAAGTGCACTTGCACACCTTGGTCAAAACCACTTTTAACTAATTTTTGCAGTCAAACTGGTTTTGACCGATTATAAGGTGGTCTCTGACAAGACAGAAATTTGGTAAAATGGTCCCTCATGACTTAAAGGTTAAGAACTACTGCTCTACGTACTAATCAGCAAATCATGAAATAGGCCTCACTCAACATTTATCTATCTCGTATCCAATGTTATCAATTGAGATTGGCTGTCTCGGATCATTGATTAAGTACATACAATGTACACGGTTCAACTTAACGCACCAACGTCATCATAAACAAGAATATTAAGACAGTTGACGTAAACAAGTTGTATTATACAAACCTTGAAAAATAAAGCCACGCCCTTTACATGCTAGTAACGAATGGGCGGCTTAAGGCGCGCACGCACTGGTGACTTTTGTCACCGTGACAATTATACAGGGTGTTAGGTAAATTGGTATATGAGCCGACACTAGCCCATGTTAACATGGTCATATAAATGGTATGGTGAAGTCAGAAAATTGATATCTTCATTTTGATTATTTTATTTTTCATACAAATCGGATTTTATAAAATTTATTTTGTATGAAAATTAAAAAAAATTCATTGATGATATCAAATTTCTGACTTCACCATACCATTTATATGACCATGATAACATGGGTTAGTGTCGGCTCACATACCCATTTACCTAACACCCTACATATACTTGTCACGGTCTGTGACAAAAGTTACCGCGCACAGGTAACTTTTGTCACCGTGACAGTTACTCTAAAACTTTTGTATGAAGTGGGAAATGGCAAGCTTATTGAATATAGAATAAATTATAGGCTCTGAGAAAAATGATCATTGTTACTCTGGACTAAAATCTTCTAAAAGTCGTCTTACTAGTTCTACAATTATTTTTTTTATATTTGTCACTACTTACTTATTTGCAATATTGCGCGATAAAATATTGACTCTCAAAATAACAACACCGTCGTATCGCATACTAAGTACTCGAAGTCTCTAATCATAAATGCAGTATCTTAATGGGGAAATCTAGGCAAGCCCTTGACCATTTAAACATAGATATTTTTTCAGAAAATTGGGCCTTGTTTTCCCCTACAATAGTCCAACTGTCAGCGCATTTATGTTTTACGATTGTCTATTGTTTCATCTTCTTTATGGCCAGTGAAGTAAATAAAGCAAACCTCTTTTCCAGGACACACCGCTAAGCTACCCTCAATACCTGAACACAGTCCGCCTGCAAATCTCGTACGCGAAAGACATCCACGACACGTTAGTTGCGGCTGCTCAGAATATATCCCCCACCGAATGATACTGGTTTGATAGCAAGTAAGGATAGTGATAATTTAATTTAATAGTTCAATAAATAATGTTTTATAATTTACTTTTGGCATTTCATTGATATTGACGTAGTTATGGTAGTCATATTAGTTAAGTACATGAAAGAAGTCAGTGCTTATGTATCCTGACTTCCTGGATAATGGATAATAATGATATCGATACTTCTTATCTATGTTGATGACTTCCTATAGTTTGTGATTCCTATCGGCAAAAGTAAGCCTAGGCGCAGACCACCGATTTTTACTTCGACGATAGTTGGGCCCGATACTAATTTGTTTCATACAAAATGTAATCGAATCGGCCGATACCAAATCGGTGTAATGTGCGCACTTTCATACGTCTCCGTACTGATTAACAGCCCGATCCAACTATCGGCCAACTAAAAATCGTTGATCTGCGCCTAGGCTAAAATTGATCTATTGATTTTTTCTAAATTATTAACGGGAGCAGATGGGAACTAGCTCAGTGGCTCGCCAAGTGAACGGTCGTGGATTTGAATCCGACCTGAGACAGTCTATTTTTCTTTCTCTTTTATCGATTTTTATCTAAAATAGGATTAGATGTCTATCATTCAAGTGAGAAAATCGAAATACCTATCATCTAACTAGTGATTAGTTGAAAAAATGATCGGGTAAAGGAAAATAAATAAAAGAATTAAGAATTTATTGACATGTAAAGAATAATTACATAGATACACACTGACACATCAATAGGCAAAAAATCAGTAGTAAAATGCTGATAATAATAATATAACATTTAAAACTTTTGACACCACTACATAAATATCTGAGATCATAAAATTTAGTAAGCACCATGCGAGTGGGACATGTAAATGTTCAAATAAATCATAAATTACTGCAATGATATATTCTTAAATTAATGTTCTGGGTTAAACTTATAAAAATAACTTAAATTTTATTATAACTACTTAATATTAATGATAACAAAAATAATTAATTAATACAGTCAGACTCTAAAAACGTACACAATGCAGGTCTTCTAGACGGAACTGTTTTTCTTTTCAACGACTTAAAAAGGGGTATTATTTCGACAAGGTTTTTATTCGGATCTATCTCTCTCTCTCTCTCTTTGACTCCCGTCGTCTTAAACCTAAACTTAACTATCACATTCAATCAGAAATACTATCAGTCTTTACATTATAAGAAGACAGTTTCAGGAACCGATGAATCATCAATCAAGATTGGAAGCGTACCTGGAACAAAAGAAATAATTCTTAGTGCCATGTTATTAGAAAAAGTTTTAAGCAGGTATACACCGTTTAATCGGAGAAACCCTGCAGATTGAGCTTGCCTAGAACGTAATCTAAATACTTAGTAATTTGGCCAATGGCCATTTCGATCTTTTATTTTCCCAGTACATAATAATCTTGAACACCCTATAAAACTATTCATCTCGTTTCATCTTGTTTAACGTCATATCTTCAACATAAATGGCTAATAATGCAGCCGAGTATAACTGAACTCTTCATACATTAGTCACGTTGACTAAATAAGCTCTATCTCGCAGTCAATTACCGATTGATCTTTCAACTAACGAAACGAACAATCGATAAGATACAGCATCACTGAAATAGCAACGGAAATTCACAATCGTGGGGACTCTCCACTCAGTCTGCCCAGCGACAAACCCTGGGGGGCTAGATAGGAAAGGACATAAATCCATAATATCACAAAGAGAAATACACTCGCTCCTATGAAGCTTGTTTGCGACGACGACCCCTGATAAACTTATTATTATGACATAAATACAATTACCCGAGAGCCGTATGGAATAATACAAGCCCATTTAAAACCGTATCGGTCGACGGTGCTAACTGGGACAAACAACTGTCCATTCATTCAGGAGATTTCGAGAAAATACTACATTATTTATTTACGGGTCGCCCACTTATCGATTACGGTTGCTATTTGAGGAACTTGTTTTTATTTGTGGGCCACATGAGCCTAGTGATTTATCAGTGAGTTTATTTTTAGATTTGTGCCTTGTTTTTGTCATTAAACAAAATTACCCCTCGATAACATCTTAAGTTAATACAGAACTTATATGATAAAATTAACCAGTTTACATTGTCCGACGCGGCTAAATTGATATTTTTATTAATTAAAAGTTTATAACTCTAGCTTTGTAAATTGTAAGGTTAGGTTACGATAGGACTGGCATGTCTACACATAGACAAAAGTCCTTACATTTTATAAGAATAACAAAAAAATTAACCAGTTTAACTTTATTAATGTAATTTAATACCTTCTTTACTGTAAGTAATGCCTAAAAGGAGCCACGATAGATGTGTGGAAAGGGAATAGTCATAGTGTCTTCTTTGAAAAATCTAAGGCTTAGTAAAACCTAGGTACCTACTATTAGCTTATTGGTGAAAGTAAGAAACCAATAAACTCGTTCATTACTACTGTTTTGCGGAAAGGGTCGACTACCTACAACAATACAATACTGGCTGACTTATCAGTTGCAATTAAAAATTATTAAACAATGCTGATAAGTTTTGAAAAACAACTTGAGGGCAACGCAAGGGCTCGGACAGTTTGATAAATGCAGTAAAAGAGATACCAACTTAAGAAAAACAAGAAATAATTGATAAATTAATTAATTAATGTACAATTTATCGGTTGCCACGACGTGATGCATGTGGTATCTTCTTTCCAAATTATTGTAATTTAACAATTATAATTTCTATAATACGAGGGCTGCACTAAAAGTATCGGGAATGGAATATTTCCACTGTTCCAGTCATATTAAAATCTATTTAATTGCAAACTCCAGGGTTTTAAAAATCGTATACCATTTATTTATTTAAAAAAAGATTCTCGGTCGTATCACAAGGTCTAGTCAAACTTGTTTAGTCGTTGAGAAAATGGAATTGACTCGAGAAAATTCAAGAGCGATGATTTATTATGACTTTCGGAGTGGTTTAACACAAAAACAGTGTGTTGACCGGATGATTTCTGCATTTGGTAATGAAGCCCCATCCAAAACCACAATTTATCGCTGGTTTCCTGAATTTCAACGTGGACGTGTCAAGCTCAGTGATGATCCCCGTCAAGGTCGTCCAAAAACTGCAGTCACCTAAGAAAACGTTGATGCTGTGCGTAAGCTGATTGAAGAAGATCGACATGTGATATACCGCGAAATTCAGGCAACTTTAGACATTGGCATGAGCCAAATACAAATAATCTTGCATGAACAACTAGGTGTAAAAAAGTTGTTTTCCCGATGGATACCGCATTCGCTCTGCGAAGAGCAAAAAGCGGCTCGCGTTACTTGGTGCGTCAGAACTCTCGGGAGATTACATGCAGGATCCTCAAATGCTGTATACAACATCGTATCAGGTGACGAATCATGGATATACGCGTACGAACCCGAAACAAAAAACCAGTCACGAGTTTGGGTGTTCGAAAATGAATTAAAGCCAACAAAAATTGTTCGTTCACGTAATGATTTCTATACTTTCCCTAAAATAAAGAATAAATTGCGTGGTCAGAGATTTTCATCACCTGAAGAAGCTGTGGAAGCCTACAAAACGGCCATTTTGGAGACCCAAACTTCCGAATGCAATGGTTGCTTCAATGATTGGTTTCGTGTATGGAAAAATGTGACAAATTTCGCGGAGAATACTTTAAAAAGCAATAAATACATTTTTAAATAGTAATGTTGTTTCACTTCCTTGATTCCCGAAATTTTCAGTGCCGCCCTCGTAGTCTCATGAAAACATCTGGCTACAATGGCGACAAACCCCGTAATAAGTGTCATTTATAAATATTCAACCTAATTAGATAAAAAATAACAATTATTTATAATGATTAAAATAACAGGCCCCCACGTATAATGCAATAAATAAGTAAATTGCTACAAAACAAACTTGATATGATAAAAAACTGTCCTTGTGTTTGATTTATGAAAGAAATTGTCATTTGTTTCAATTTATTGACGCTGATTAAAAGTTGAACAACAAGGGAATGTACTACATATGGCTTACTACATAATAAAACAGTATAAATGCTGTAATTTATATTAATATAGCGCGGTAGTTAAAAGTTGCAATAGTTACATGAAATTACCTTTATCTGGTTTATTGTTAGATAACTAGTCGGTTGTGAATTGTCGTGAGTTCAAACAATAACCTCCGGTCAATATGTAACAATAAATGTCAGATTCCAAGTATCTAGTGTGAACAACAAGAAACTAATCAAGATTTATGCGTTGATCCTTGCGGCCTTTGGCAATCGTGTGTTTGTTGCCTACTGAAACTGTGGACCATTTAGGTGCGTTTTATGTCTTACTTTTAAAATTTATTAAAGTAGCGTTTTCAGGAAGATTCTACTCAAGATTATGAATAACTTACTATGGGATCAATATCCTTCCCAGAAAATCGATAATATACCTACATACGAGGGCTGCACTAAAAGTATCGGGAATGGAATATTTCCACTGTTCCTGTCATATTAAAATCTATTTAATTGCAAACTCCAGGGTTTTTAAAATCGTTTACCATTTATTTATTTAAAAAAAGATTCTCGGTCGTATCACAAGGTCTTGTCAAACTTGTTTAGTCGTTGAGAAAATGGATTGACTCGAGAAAATTCAAGAGCGATGATTTATTATGACTTTTGAAGTGGTTTAACACAAAAACAGTGTGTTGACCGGATGATTTCTGCATTTGGTAATGAAGCCCCATCCAAAACCACAATTTATCGCTGGTTTCCTGAATTTCAACGTGGACGTGTCAAGTTCAGTGATGATCCCCGTCAAGGTCGTCCAAAAACTGCAGTCAACTAAGAAAACGTTGATGCTGTGCGTAAGCTGATTGAAGAAGATCGACATGTGATATACCGCGAAATTCAGGCAACTTTAGACATTGGCATGAGTCAAATACAAATAATCTTGCATGAACAATTAGGTGTAAAAAAGTTGTTTTCCCGATGGATACCGCATTCGCTCTGTGAAGAGCAAAAAGCGGCTCGCGTTACTTGGTGCGTCAGAACTCTCGGGAGATTACATGCAGGATCCTCAAATGCTGTATACAACATCGTATCAGGTGACGAATCATGGATATACGCGTACGAACCCGAAACAAAAAACCAGTCACGAGTTTGGGTGTTCGAAAATGAATTAAAGCCAACAAAAATTGTTCGTTCACGGAGTGTTGCAAAAAAAATGGTGGCCACGTTTGTCTCCAAAACCGGCCATGTTGCGACTATTCCTCTTGGGGGACAAAGAACGGTTAATGCAGATTAGTATGCTAGCATTTGTTTGCCACAGGTCGTTTCTGAACTCCGTAAAGAGAACTGCAACCGCCGCATCATCCTCCATCACGACAATGCGAGTTCTCACACCGCGCACTGAACAAAAGAGTTTTTAGAGCAAGAAAACATAGAATTATTAGTCCATCCGCCGTACAGCCCCGACCTAAGCCCTAATGATTTCTATACTTTCCCTAAAATAAAGAATAAATTGCGTGGTCAGAGATTTTCATCACCTGAAGAAGCTGTGGACGCCTACAAAACGGTCATTTTGGAGACCCAAACTTCCGAATGCAATGGTTGCTTCAATAATTGGTTTCGTGTATGGAAAAAATGTGTCAAATTTCGCGGAGAATACTTTAAAAAGCAATAAATACATTTTTAAATAGTAATGTTGTTTCACTTCCTTGATTCCCGAAATTTTCAGTGCCGCCCTCGTACTTTATCATAATTATCTACTAATCGCCAATGGATGTTACAGAGATTCCATTTAGCCTAGGCCCAGACCATCAACTTTTAGTTGGCCGATAGTTTTGGTCCGAATCGGCCAAATCAAATCGGTGTAATGTGCGCACTTCCATACATGCCCATACAGATTAACTGCCCGACTAAACTATCTGCCGACAAAAAATCGGTGGTCTGCGCCTAGGCTTAGATTCCGAAACTTCAGAACTTCCAATTGATTTTGCACTTCCGATTCGGTTCCAGTCGGATTTCGGTTTCGATAAAACAAAATTAAACAATTCTGGTTCCGATTTTACTACTTTCGTAACAACTCTAGTGTCAAGTACCCTAGTGTTTACAAAGTAAAAGAAACTTACCATCGGTTCACCCGAAGACTTGCTGCGCGGCGTAGGTGATGTGCAGGTAGCCGTCGGCGCCGCGGAACTCTTCATACGCCTGCGCCATGGTCATGCTGTGGCTGACCAGCACCTTGTCATTCACCAGCAGGTACAAGGCCTGTATGGGAAAGTGAGCCTTGTTCATTTGTGTTTGAGTTCAAGTTTGTTAAAACAGCGTGTTAGAGATGAGGTTGGGTCTTCACCAGTTTAAGCACGTTGTTAAGATGATAGACACGGCAATATCACGATAGTGCTGCCACGATTGTGTTTTGTTTAGGTATTACAATATTATGTATTTTAGGTTGACATAAACCCACCCTTCCTTTTCCATAAATCTAAAACACGTAGGACTCAACCCAGTTTTCTACCGAAACATGTTTCTTTTCACTGAGTAAGTAGGTATTATAGCATAAAGCAACTGTAACTATTTTTCTGACCTTTATAGCCATTAATACATCCTTTTCAGACTATTTCAAAAGAAAAACTTTCACGTCTCTTTAGTTTCAACTTCTAACTTTCAGTCAATAATGTATGATAGTGGCAGCACTGTCGCAATACGTGCGGTAATTAAAATGACTGAGTTATCTTTATGCATTATTATGACTACGAAGTCTTGACACTTATGGAACTGCATAACGCTTGCAAAGATAATAACGATAAAGATGTTTTTAAAAATCTTCGCCAGGGTTTTACTAAATAAGAATATTACATTAGGGACTTCTTCTTGACACCATGCCATGAGAAAGTGAGGTGTAAAGATTTTTTAAACTAAGCTATTAGGTTTTCTTACCTGTGTATCCCTTAGTTTCATTTTTGTCCGAATGATGTAGAGAAACTGGGACATCGTAAGCTCTTGAGGAACCAGGAATTTGGTTTTTTCTAAGGTTGGCACTTCTCGCTCCCTCACGTAGCGTTTTACATAAAGCTGAAAGAAAAAAGTAAATAAATTACATATTATGTACTTGCATAATAAAAGTAATTAAAAGGTTATTATTTGCTGTTTTACAGCGCTTTTATGCAGCAACAATCGTTACTTTGTAAGTTTATGCTATATTAAGAGATAACGCTTCGCAGTACAAGGAGTTATTTATCTATTTATTTCTGTCGTGTAGGTTATCAGGTTACCGGCAAAAGGCCGGGTGATATACTATTTTAAATTTTTATCTTATTTTTATGCAACTTTTGTTTGTACTTAGATACTTACAGGTACTTTGTTAGGAAATCTATGTCTGATGACTTGAACTTCTTCTTCTGATCCATTCATATCTGGAAAAAGAAATATTTTTAAGTAGGTAACAGGTTCGATGAAGAACCTTTTTGAAAGAGTTATCAGGCGATGTATTTTCAAAGCATTTCAATTCTATTTTCGTATGCGATATCGCATAAATCGTATAAAATTCTTATTTAGTCAATAAGGCGGTTGTGCAAATTCGTTTGCGAATTGTATTTCTAATGCGTCCAAACATCTGCTAATATTGTTTATGGTAAGTGCCTACCTACATGATTAGATTTGAATGTAAACTGAGATAGCAATAAATAGTATTCTATTCTAGTCTTATTCTATGGCTTATCAATTTGCTGAAGCATAAAGGTATTTCTACTATATTTACCATCTTGGTATCCGAAGACTTCTTGTGAGGCGTAAGTAATGTAGAGGAACCCGTCTTCGTCTCCATGAGATTCGTATGCTTGTGCCATCGTCAGGCTCATGCTCAGCATGGATCTGTTGTTTATAATTAAATACAGGGCCTGCGGACAACAATCAGGCATTAATTTTATGGGTTTGTGGCTTAAATTATACTTATTCACTAGCTTCTAGTCGAGGTAATATTTTGAAAACCGTTTTTAGTTATCTGCGGTTGGGATTCGTTTACCGTTTATGCGATTATGCGAAGTGTTTCGTACTATGCGATTTGGAATTAAAATGCTTCAAAAATATGTCGCCTAGGTTAAATATCTGAGTAAATGTATAATAACCCACCAGTGTAGCTACATAGGTAAACTTACCCACCTATTACGTACACTGCAGCACTGGTGGGTTACTATTTCCCCATAATCATTTTGATAGTCTTTGTTCATCTCAAAATCATGCAAGTCATAATTAAGCTAGGCTGTCTAGGTTTAATTATGACTTCCTTACTTGACTAATTAGACAGCTGATCTCTGCACGAGACTTACTTTCCCTAGTAAACTTCCATCCATCTTGAATAGATAAACACATTACATCTACCTACTCTTCGTATATACCCGTTAGTTACCACAACAAATTAACCTTCATGACCTTTCAAGGAACTTAGGTAGATCCAGTGTTTACTACTGTGATCTAGATGTTGTGACGTCAGAATGCTATCGGCTAATTGATTTTCTGTATTTATTGATTTCGATCTTGGAATAGGGTAAACATCACACATCTGTTGCTATTTGAATGGAAATCTACGATAGGACGATAAGTAGGTATTCATTCAATTTATTTTACTTATTTCTTTAAAATTAACAGCGTAACATGAAAGTTCTACTAACGTTATCTACCAGTGTAATTGGGAAATAAACATAGAAATTTTCTTGCAGCGTCTAGCAAACAATGTTTTTACTTATGTGCTAAAACTTTGATTTATCGTTTCAGCCAAATGACACTCACTGCTGGACAACTGCCTCCCCCAAGGAGTCCCACAACGACCGGTGCTCCATTGCCCGCATCCATAATAATTTCCCGCGACTTTCACCAGATCGTCAGTCCACCTAGTGGGAGGCCTGACCACACTACGTCTTCCGGTCTTTGATTTATCAATGAAACTTAAAGCTGTCATGTCTAAACGTAGGATAGGAACATAATGACTTACTTGGTTTGGCTTAATTCTTATCCTGTTCCTTATTATGACTAGAAACTGTGACATTGTAATATCTCCGGGCACTAAAAACTTCGTCTTGTCCAGCGACGGCAAACTTTTATCTTTGTGGTATTTTTCGACTATTAACTGAAAACAAAAGGAAAGTTTAAATTGACGATATTTAAAGTATAAGTACCAAACTATAAGTTCAAATTGCAGCTAAGAAAATAAATTCTATAATGAATTTTGGACCACATACAAAGAAGTTGGTAAGTTTGTAGGTAAGTAAGTAGTAACATTATTAAGTGATGATAGTAATTTTATTAGATTGCAATGCTAGGAAGGATCACTGCACTCTTCAACAACTTGAAAGAAATCAGAAACACTTAATGTCACTTACCGGTATTTTATTTGGAAATTTTGTTTTGATAGCCAACACTTCTTCTTTTCTGCTCACTACAATAAAAAAAAAACTAATCATACAGGGTGTTATAAAAAAAATAATAAAATGGTATCCGCCTGTGGAGGACAACGCTACTGAAATCTTCCCTTTCTTTAGTTAACCCCTACTGGTGGACACGGCTAGGAAAAATTAGGTCTTGTCTAATGGTGGAGAAACCACGACAAACGACATCGGAATAGACGTCTAGGTATTTTTTAAGATTTCAACAAGATCAAAAGCATATCAAAAGTAAGTATTATTAGCGTATTTACCGAGAATATTCAATCTAATTTAATTGAATTTGTCCCGCTTTAGGCAGTTCGATTTTTTCAAGTTGTATTTAAAGTCTAATTTAATTTAATCAATATATTCAAACACTAATAAATAATTTTCACTTATAAATAGCTACTGGATTGTCTTTAAAAAGCATCATTACGGGTGATTACGGTTACATTTCTTTTGAAGATTTGATTATAATCCTTAATTAATTACCACTTGTCAAGCTGTTTGTTTGTTTGTTCGCAGATGCTAAGTCACGTATTCATAGCAACAACTATTTGGCCCATTAACTAATTAATTTAACCGACTGATAACAGTGCAAACAAACGCATGCGATCGAATAAACAAAATCTCAGGTTCGTTGAACTTTATCTTGTATAATATTATCTAGAATGTGTAGCTTAATGATTTAAATCCTATTTGTATCTAATTTAATTGCATTAGCACTTAAAGACACTTTTGACATTAAATTATTTTAATTAAAAGTCATAATTTACAGCTTTCCATTTCATTAAATAATTTAAAGCCGTATTTTGTATTAATTTGCTGAATTAACTTTTACTTACTCTACAACACAATTTTAATGATGAGCGAAAAGTTTTAAAAGACTTAAGACTTTATTAATCAAAACAAAGAATTATAATAAATTACCGCTTTAATTGCAAATGTAATCAAAACCTCGTGCACATGCTTATAGTAACTAGCGTAAAAACAAGTTTAAAAGTAAATAAAACTTTAATAAGACAGAGCATTTCTTATCTCTGGATTTACTTTAGTTAGACGCTGAAGTTCACAGGGGTCTTTTAAATCGCGTATGTGCTGATAATCCATTTATTTGATAGATTAACTTGGACAAGAAAAACACTACAGAACAGAAGAAAGATCATCAAGGTTTAAAGCAAACCTTCTGGTTTTAGAACTTTCTATTCTTCCGGTTCCGGTCCTTGATTTTATTAGGTTCTCTGTTCCGATTTAGGTAATTTCTATGGAAGTTTAACTCAAATGTATCACACATTAATAATTATAATCTAAGTATTGGCATCATCATCATCATTAATGATCATACAACAATTTATTTTTTGAAAAAAAAAAAACATGCTTAATGCAAAAAGACTTACCAAACGGTTTTTTCGTTTTGAAACACTGTGTCACATTATGATTCACATCGTGTTTTATTAACGTTGTTATAAAATTGAGTTCCATTTTCGATTGTTGTTCACTTTTCAAACAAGTGATAAAGCTACCGACCGTGCGCGTCGTCCGCCGTCCGATACAAGACTACCGCAAAATAAATAACATCACTAGTTTTATCAATCGACGAGGGGTCCGACTCGTAAACATCCGATAATCAGTGCCATTTATTTTTATTGTAAAAATTTCTTTATCGCGAGTGCGATTCCGCTATTACATATTTACTTTCGCAGGGGTACCTAGTCTACAAGTTGGTATGCTGGTTTACAAATACCCGCGAAAAAGTTTGTAAAAGTTTTTTCTTCAAGTATTCTATGACAAGGCTTTATCAGAACTTGTGTTTCTTTAATGAAAAGACCGATAGTTAGCGAGATAAGCATTTATTATTCGGGTTCTTACACAGACACATCTTGTTCGTACATAGCCGGAAGAGGGAAGAAGCGTTCTACCGGAAACAGTTAACTTTTTAATATTTAATACACTTCCAAAGATAATATAATCCTAACACTCCCTCTCAATTACAAGTTAGGCTTTAACTTTTAATTGCAAAACAAAATAATTTTTATCTACTAATAAAAACTTCTAATAACAATATTCCACTTATGTTTTAGTATGGCAACATTAAAAAAAAAGAATTTGACATTTCAGAAACTGACATTAATGACAACTAGTGACACATGCAACTCACTTCACACTGTTCTATTAATGTAAACAAAACTTTAAATTCTCTGCAGGTTGTGCTGTTTCATTATACTGTGTTCTTGTAGTACCTCTATATCTGCGGCCTCTGCCTCGTCCTCGGCTTTTGCACTCGAAGGATTTATGCCCTTTTTTATGGCATGTATAGCATTTGATGACAAATGAAGATTGTGGTTCTGTGCTACTATATTCCCTCTTTATCTCATTGTCAAGCAATCTAGACTTTACGAAGTCGAGCCTTAGCTCTTGGTTTACCGTTTCCATTGCTGTTATTATTGCGTTGAATTCCTCTCCCAATCCAGTTAAGAGGTAGCTGATTTTTTCATTTTCTGCAATTTTCTCTCCTGACACTTCTAATTCTCTTATAAGATTGTCGAAATTGGCGAAATATTCTTCTAATTTTCCTGTATGTTTCAAAGTCAATAACTTTCTTCTTAGGCATATTTTTGATATGACCGTGTTTCGTTGGAATGTGTTTTTCAAAACTTCTAACATTTCTTTCGCGCTTGTGCTTTCTTTTATCAGGTTTAAGTGTTGGTCTGTCACGCTTTGGACGATGATACTTCTCGCTTTTGCATCCATGAGTTTCATCTTCTCATCACAGTCTACTATTTTCTTTATATCCAAAACTTCTGTTAGACCTTTTTCTGCGAGTATGCATTTTATCCTGAAAACCCAGTTGTCGTATGCCCCTGCACTCAATTGCGGTAGCGGCGTGTTACTACTTGACATCGCCATTTTTATATTTCACAAATCCGCTTTTTCCCGAATAATCTACAATTAATACTTTCCCTAACTCTAACTAACGGGCGTCTGGGCCCATAACCTATCAGAACTTGTGTTTCTTTAATGAAAAGACCGATAGTTAGCGAGATAAGCATTTATTATTCGGGTTCTTACACAGACACATCTTGTTCGTACATAGCCGGAAGAGGGAAGAAGCGTTCTACCGGAAACAGTTAACTTTTTAATATTTAATACACTTCCAAAGATAATATAATCCTAACAATTTGAAACACAAATCCTTTAAAACTACGTGACTGTGCTGTTGTTCCAGGATTGTTTATAATTCCCTAATGTGATTACTCGTCGGATATTTTTGGTGGATTACCGGCAAATATTTGTAAACTAATTAATATTTGTTGTTTATTTTATATTGTTGTCAGTTAGTTTTCGAGTCATATTTGTAATAATATTTATTTTATGTCATTGAACCAATAAAATTGCGCATAGGAGATACGTCGTGTATTCCAGCTAGGTTGCTTTTGGAAGATTTGGTGGGTAGGTAAACCTTTAACGAGCTGATGTTTCGGTTTATAAATAAACATTATCATCTCGGCACTATTTTTATTTTTATTCTTTGATGTATGGACCCAAAAAGGAAGAAAACTGATAACTATACATATTTTTCAGCGGCAACTTTGTCCACTTGATTCTGGTTTGTTACAGAAACTATGTGTCTTTGAGGAAAAGGAATTTAACAAGTAACTAAATAACACAAAAATAAGTGAGATTAATCAATAACTAAGTAACTATTTGTAACAATAATATCTTGCATTTACGTGACAGATCGGACGATTGGTGATAGGCACTAACGCTGAGGTCATACTTAAGTATAGGTACTATTGTGATTAATAAACGTTACTTAATTCATTAGAAGATCACTCTACAATGTAGTTCGGGATACCTAGTTACATCTAGTTAAATACAATAAGTATGGCAATATTAAACTCTAGACATCTATATCATCTATAATATACTAGCACAGATACTAGTAAGTAAACGCCGAGGAAGAGGATTGATTTGGTGGGTATTTTTTCTACATAATGTAAATGGAAACTACCTTGACTAGGTACTTATATAAAATCAGGAAAATCTAAATTTGTTGCCTAAAAGTTACTAATAAGGCAAATTTCAATTCAAAATTTTAATTCAAATTTTAGCTGGGGAACCTAAGAAGAAGGCGTCATTCAGGCTTTTATGGATGGCTATTAGGATTACTGCGACTGCGCACAAGAGTTGAAGTTGGGTAGGTACCTACTTACGTGAGTTTTATAAGGTGAAAGTCTTCAATCAAAGCCGCCTAATCCGAATGAAGATGCTTTGTCCTTAAGGTCATGCTGCTACTGTACTGAATTTGGTAAACCTGCAATGTTTTAACTGTAAGTAAACCCAATTGAGAAACCGATAACAACCTTAAGTGAATCTAATTTGTGTCGGCATAAAATGCTTGTTCATTTGTTTACTGATGACTAAATTCTGCAATCTAACGGTCTTATTTAATTTCCCGACCATTTAGGTATATGTTTTTACACTTACCTAATATTATTATTATCACCACACTCAACTGCAGATCAAACTGTGTACAATTTTATGTACCTAGCAGAGAAATGGACGTAGAAAAATGGGTAAAGCACACGTCTTGTTAATAAAATGAAAACCACAAGTTTTTAGAACCGAGCAATGCCGTACCTTACTTGCTCTGTGAATAATGAAATATTTTATTGCAAAATGTGGGTAGTTACATAAAAAGGTCTTTAGAAAGCATTTTAATTAATCAGATGAGAATGAATGGCGAAGGCATGAAAATTCAAATTCCATTTAATTTTCTCTAATTTGGTAGCTACCAAATAAATGTTTTTTCTTTCTTTGTTTTTCTTTCTAATGTAGGCCTCTCTTCCCGCTTCCCAAATATAGCATCTTTGCACTCCGAGTTATGAAGTTGGTAAATAGTAAATAGGTAATGGTCATGGTCCCCCTATTATTATTTTTAGTGATAGCGCGCACATAAGCTTTCCTTACAGTAAACTCTTGAGCATCTTCTATCGATATTTTCTACTTGTACGTTTAACCTTTTGCTCCTCGTTAACTACTAAGTTGTTTATTGAAACAGGTAGCCTGCGCCTTATTACTGCGCATACTAGATTAAGATCATAATTTAATGTCTTGTAGGTACATGAAACTTTACAGTATCATTGTTTATAACCCAGAGTAACATATAGGCTATAATTTATGACGATCATCACAGATCGTCATAAATTATACCCGCGGGCAAAAGCTAATTAGAAATAAATTAAATAAGTACTTATTTTAACAGGTTTAAAAATGTTATTAAAAACAGATTTTGCGCACTCCTAAGTAGTTGTGTAGAATATAATTTGTTTTATACGTATTCCCAAGTCCCAACAAACACGTTATGGGTATCTTTCTTTATTTAGATCTCAAGAAAATTAAACGTATATCTACCTATACTTATAATAAATCTGTAGAGAGGTCAATTCTGTACATGAAATATATTTTCAAAATAACTATCAGGGGGTGATTAGTGATCGATACTGATGCCAAAAATGCAATCAGTAAAATTTTTGTCTGTCTGTCTGTCTGTCTGTCTGTGTGTTCCTTATAGAAACAAAAACTACTCGACGGATTTTAACGAAACTTGGTACAATTATTCTTCATACTCCTGGGCAGGTTATAGGATACTTAGGAATTCCCACGGGAACGGGTTAGTTACAACAGGATATTGCGAAATTCTCACGGGAACGGGAGTTAGCGGGAAAAAACATTTGTATGAAAAAATCTAAACCGCGTAAGTTAGACGCTTAAAATTTGGCATGCAGGTACCTTAGTAAACTTAAAGCTTAGTTACAACAGGATATTGCAAAATTCCCACGGGAACTGGAATTAGCGGGAAATTCCTTTTGTATGACTGACTCACTGACATACCCACGCACAGCCTAAACGGCTAAACCTAGGCACTTGCAATTTATAAGGGACGTAGCTTAGGTACCGTAGAGGTGCACTAAGAAAGGAATTCCCGAAATTCCCACAGGAACAGGAATTACCGGGAAAATCCTTTTGTATGAAAAATCTAAACCGCTTAAGTTAGATGCTTGAAATTTGGCATGCAGGTCTCTTAGTAAACTTAAAGTTTAGTTACAACAGGATATTGCGAAATTCCAACGGGAACGGGAGTTAGCGGGAAAAAACATTTGTATGAAAAAATCTAAACAGCGTAAGATAGATGAAGGGGGTAAAACTTAAACTTAGGGGGTAAACTTCGTACGCGTGGATCCCGTCCACGCGTACGAAGTCGCGGGCGGCCGCTAGTAAAATAATATAACAAAATATTTAGCCTTAGTGAAATAATATTTTGTGAACGCACTCAAATCTTTTGACATTTGGATCTTGTACACTTCATTACGCGCAGAATTGATTTAGCGTATAATTTTAAAGAAATCCCTAAAATACCCTAAATTGAATTAATTAACCAAGAAAATAATCAAATGTTTATGAAACTTATTTTTAAAGTGTAATCAAATAGTTTTGGTTGGTATAAAACTTTATTCTACCAGCTTTAATATTCCAAGACTCGTACTAAATGCCGTAAATGGAACGTTCATCCTTGGCGACTGAACTGAAGTGTACGAATTATTGAATTTCTGAAATATTTTAAAAGTATTTGGTATTTTCACAATAACTTAAGTTTAATTATTAAAAAGTGTTTCAAAAACGATGATTTTATTTGCTTCATCAATAATGTGACGAAGGTTTTGTCACTGTCTTAGTAAAGATTATATCACAAATCAAGCAACCCCAGTGGACTTTAGAATCGATAACCCAGTTTCGCTTAGTGTTTTTAAAAGCCTAGCTAAGTTCTTCTAATTAAGTATGTCTCTGTGAATATTGTGTCGCGGTTGGGCGTTGTTTAACTCGCTGTGAATATGTTGTTCACCCCGATTTATATCGCAATGACTTTCATAAAAACTTGGCGAATTCGCTCCTTCAGAGCCCGGTTACTTGAATTTTTAAATGGAAATACGAGTGTAGCTTTTTGTAAAGTGCCTGAAAACGCAGCCGGTAAGTATAACATTTATTAAAGGACATTGGTTTTATTATCACACAACAAAACATTAAAATAATTATTATTTTCAGAAACACCAACATTGAGCTCAAAACTTTGTACAAATCCAAAAAATGCATATCTTTGTGACTTACTGCATTACACAAACACAACACGGATATGTAGTATGAAGCCGACACAATGTATTGAGATCAGCGACTGGGTTTCATGTTCCGGGGGCCTGCCGCTTGGCTCCAGTGAGCAGTCCCCGGTGACTGATCTGGACGTAGATGTTCTGTTTGAGTGTGAGATGGAGCCCCATGAAGGCAGCTCACAGCAAGACATCATAACTGTAAGATATATCTTTTTAGATGATAAGTATAAATTCAATAATCTAAATTGCAGATGCAGATATTGCAATAGAAACTTAGTTATCATCTCCATAAACAATGTTTAATTTTTATAGTGTTCTTAAAAAAGTAAACACACATTTTGTAATTTTCTGTATTCATAGAGACTTATCATAGCCATAAATCAGTCTCAAAAGAAAATATCATTATATAACTTATTGTTAATTTTAATTAAGATGATAAGAGGAAAATGATTAAACATAAACACATGTTTTAAGAGTAGTTTAATATCTTTTTTATCAAATTAAAATAATTGCTTGTGTGATTCATTAAACAAAAAAAAACTATCATGTGATAATCAGCATGTTCCAGACTACGATACATGCAATTATGTAATAAATTATGTAGTTTATTTAAGTTGAATTCTTATTTCAGTTGGAGTCAATGGGCCAGCCGATGGCTTGGAAGGCAGGCTCGCATTTGGCAATAGTAGTGAAAACAAATATTGAAAAACTTAGTGTGATCGGTTTCAATTTTGTGGGTGGCGAATTTGTGATAGACCATAAATTACCTGTAGTTAGAGTACAGAGTAAGTATTATGTATCTTATCAATTATCTACCCAAGAATTATTTTTCAAAGCTAAAAATGATAATGAAAAATGTTGACTATACCATTAATTAGATATCAGGCATAGAAGAATTCATCTTATCATAGTGTGATATACATAAGTAATTGTCTATGATATTTTAAGCAGTTCTTTGATAAATCATGTTGTGCTATTTTTTAGCTGTACAGTTATCAGGGGAAGCCAACAAAGCTACAGACCCTGCAATGAGGAGTATTAGAAGTGAAGTCCAGCACGGCTTAAAAGTTCCCCCTGAAGAATTCCAGTGGCCCATCCACGCTGCTCTCCTTAGGAAGTTATCAAAGGTCGTAGATATCAAATCCGATGTCAAACATACAGTAGAAATGAATGGCAGTACGGAAATAACTCTAGATACACCAAGGAAACACATCACATTGGCTGATGTTAGTTGTAGTACTGGAAAATCTTTAGGTGAAGAGGAACCAGTTAAGCTTGAAACTAAATTAACAGAATCGGTTCATAAAACGCCAGAGAAGTCTCCAGAGAAAAAAGTACAGCCAGAACAATCAGGTCCTGAAGAAGTGGTATTAGAAAATGTTACGGTTGAAATCCAACACAACATAACACCAAAGAAGTCCAGTTTGAAACTAGATTTGAAAAAGGGTACAAGTTCATTATCAACGTCACTACTAAACATATCCAGTCAAATTAAGTCAGTCACCACACACAAAAGAATAGTTAGTACGACGAAAAAGCAGCCGCCACAGATAGAGTCTAGTGTAATAAAAGAAGAGAGCCAAAAGGAGTCTCCTCAGCAGAGTACGCCAAAGTCTGCGAAATGTTCCCGTCCATTAGTGAATACTAAATCACCGAATGTGTTGATATATTCTGATAGTGTAGCAGCTAGGGATAACTTGGAAGCGTCGCTAAGGAAAGTCTTGGATTGTGATAGGTGAGTGCCAAATGGAGCTATTTGTTATTGTTTTATGTAACAGTTTTAAGTTTCTTGAGTTGGCTTGTCGCCAATTTCAATGTAGTGGGTTTTGAATCAATAACATGCATGAGTGATGTTGCATGCATGTCAATCATAGTGTTTGACTACTTTTATTTATTTGAAAAGTTTACTGAAATCTAGAATCTTGCCAAAAAAGCTCTCATTTTAAAAACTTGTTTCAATTGTTGTTAGAGATAGGTATCTTTATTGCATTAGGCTGGCTGAGGTGTCTATGATATTATTTTTGAAATTAAACTTAACGAATTGAGTCTTGATCTAATTTGATCTAAGTCTGTAATGAAATGCAATAAATACACATGAGATCTCATCCGAGACTGAGTTTGGCGTGTTGGCATTAATACATCGACTTCAAATAACGTGTTCATCGCAATCGATCTTTAAAGCCTGTGCCTAAGGCCCAGAACAGACGGTGAAACGCAGCTGCAACGAAACTGCATCTGCTAGTTACTTTTGAGTTGCATCTAAGTTTCTGCCATAGCGTCCGTTGAGAGACCACACATGACGCGACCAGTTTGAAACTTTCAGTTTCAGTTTCATTCATCAGAATCATCACAAAGTTGCAGTTGCGTTTCACCGTCTGTTCTGGGCCTAAGATGCGCGCCGTAATAAGCGGTTATCACGCGATTTGATCGATTTTGCCCATTCATTTTGACGTCGATAAAAGTTATCACGGCGCGCATCTTAGGCCTACTGTTCGCTTTTTAGGTATATCCTGTACAGCGTGTCAAAGGAAACGCTCGAAGCGGGCGCGTGGCGCGGTCGAGCCGCCTTAGTAGCGGTGGCGGGCTGCGTGGGACGGGGCGCGCCGCTGCTACTGGCACACTTATTGGACGGCGGCCGGCTGCTGGCACTATGCTCGGACCTGCTGCACACTGTGCTGCCGTACTACAAGACTGCCGAGGTACGTAATGTATGAGCGGTCGGGCCGCCTTCACCTGCTGGACGGCGGCCGGCTGCTGGCACTCTGCTCGGACCTGCTGCACACTGTGCTGCCGTACTACAAGACTGCCGAGGTACGTAATGTATGACTGTGTACGTGCACTTGGTATACAAAAGCAGAAGCCTTAGAGAGCTGCGGAGATTGCAAGCGGTTTGGTGCATTTGGTGCATTGACGAGGCGAAATCCCTAACGTAAACGTAGCGCGTCCGCGGCGTAGCGTCTCCGCCGCATCGCTGCTCCTAGTGATGCGGCAAAATATTTGCGGTGCGGCGCCGCACCGCACCGTGTGGCTTGGCTTCTCTCCTTATACCGGCGAGGTTATAAAAGAGCAGAAGCTTTAGTCGCTTTCGTGAGTGTATCGGGCGATAGTGCATTAACTGACGGTTTGAACACCTGCTGACACTAAACTTTAACCTGCTGCACATTGTACTGCTGTAACTCTGGTTAAAAGCGCGTGGAATAACTGGCCTGTTCAAACGTGTAGATGCAAGTTTAGGTTTTCATTATTTTTGAACTTTAATACAATGCAATGAGGTTCAAATATTTTGTGTATTATTTAACACGCTTACCAGTTGGTACCAATTTAAAGTAAGATTCTGTCACTCGAAAATTTCCCATTAGTGATGAATTTTATTTAAATTTTCAGGTTCGTGAAAATGAAGTTGTGCAATTCTCCTTTGATAAGTGGAAATCGGTGAAAATGAAACATCACATTTTCTGCTACCAAGCATCGCCAGCGAAGAAACAGTTCTCCACCGAAAGCGATAGACAGTAAGTTATATTATATCTTTATGATGTTTCCAAATAATAATTACTACGTGTATTTGTTCTTACTATAGCTATTTTGATGAATTTTACAGAGCAAGTCAGGAAAATAATATTTGTCGGTACGCAAACGATAATATTATTCAGCAACGATTATTATTTATTTCCTTATGAAATCGCATTCGTTTTATTACAGCGCTTGACAGAGTATTTTTCTTTCAATAAAAATGTAGACACGCGAATTGTTGAAATGGCAAGCAAAACTGTAAAAAAGATATAAAATGCACATTTATTAAGCTTGCCCGTGAATAGATATCAAATAAATTGCTATTTTATAGTGCATTATTTCATATTTAAACTTGTCGTTATTGTTAAAAAGTTCATACAATTTAATTTCTCTAATCCCCAACCCTGCACGACATGATTATCTTGAATTAGAATGGTAGTGTTAGTTTCAGAATGCCACTAGTCTGATGGTGTAAATTATGATAATCATTCTCCTCGTTTAGTAAATTAGACCCTCTCAAATGTCATTGGTACTGCATTAGATCTGTTAACAAAGTCAACTAAATTACTACCTGCGTTCATCTTTAGTGTAGTATGTCACAGGAGTTGCAGAGAATGGGAATGAGAGGTGGGAATAGTCGCTTAAAATAGTGTCACCTGCTGGTATTTTCCCTAATCGTTACAATTCTAATACAATGCGGTATCAAAGACAACCCATTGCTTGCATGTCATTTTTAGATTGTAATTCCGATTAGCATGTAGTAAATAAGATCCCTTAGGGATCAGTTTATCGCCTTCCTGACGCTTTTAACTATTTTAGGCCATCAAAATACACTGGTCATCCGGGTCACGAGTTGGATATCCAGGTTCTGGCTTCGGAAGAGACGTGGCGGACTCCCTCGTTATTGCAAGCGACTGACTTGACCAACAATGGCATTGCAATTTTTTCACAGGTAAACAAAGCCAAAAATACTTGTGTAACGAATACGGATTACGGAGTCGGTTTTGAAGTCGGATTTTTACTTTTCATCAAGGCATTCGGTCTCCACAGCAAGGATCATAGTCCTTTCTAAGTTACATTCTAATTATCATAGACTGCATACATGCATGGTTAAATTAATAATGAATGATCCACTTTACATAATTTAAGTTTGTGTATTTCAGATTCATTTAGAAGCCGATCCCAGCGATTATTTAGGCGAAGAAGGTATAAAGAGCAACGAGGCTCGCCTAGAAATCATCCACAAGATCCTTGGGGATATCCTGGGCCTACACGTCAGGGAGCCAAGCCAACTGCCGCGCGTCGAATACACGAGGGGATTCTTCCTGGGAAACCACGTGGTAAGTAACTATTTTGGTTCCATTTCGCCTTCGCATCACCATTATAGTAGCAATTGCTGATTAATGATGTTCATATTTTGTTTATTTTAAGCCGAGACTCCAGCGCGTGTTTTGATCTACACAATCAACAAAAACATGTCAACATTCAACATTTTTTGTAGACAATTTTGTTGATTGTGTAGGGCAAAACACGCACTGGAGACGCTTCCTTCGTGTCAACTTATGTAATTTTTTGAAAAACAAAAATATTAACATCATTACAATGAAATGATAGTTATTTAGGTCTGAGTAATTTGTGACGTGATAATATTATGCATATTTAGATGTATGAGTAATATTTAATTAGGTAAAATATGGGATATGACCACTACATAGTACTGCTTTATAGAGACACCGTCATTTGGTTTCACCATCACAGGTAATCCATTACAACACATTTGTTTGATATACTTAGCACTATGTATTCTAGAGACAATACACGCGTAACGGCCTAGCGTAAGATATAACTGAATTAATTCAATTGAGAAATATCTGAAATCGCTTTGCAGCCCCTTTACCACTAAGCAGATATAGGCATTTGAACTCAGAAGTATTTACTATCGGCAACAGTGTTAACTGCCCATTGCCAGTCATGTCATCTCGTTCTATCGCAAAGAATCACCATTTGATTAGAGCGAGAGCAAAAACGGAAATGGATTGTTAACAGTGTGGCCGTGTGTACGCGCTTTCAATATTTTGTGTTTTATTTTGAGTAAAAGTGTAATTAATGAATACTGTAAATATTTTCTCCCAATGTATATTAAAGTGTGCTGAAGTCAATCAGAAATGTGCTGTAAAATCCGTCACCAAAACAGGTAAGGTATCTTTAAAATCGCTTCTGTCTCAGTTTCTACACTCCACAAAAGAGCTGTCTCAGAAAACATAGTGCTAATGCCATTCCAAATTCACCCTTGTACCGTTGTAATAAGTGACGTCGGGTGTTGTCCGTTAGGGCTGGCCGGCGTCCGGCGGCGGGCCGGGCCACGTGACGGTGTGATCCCCGGTGAGAGGCACCGCTTCAAGTATTGTGCCTTTGTACGGCTTGCACGCTCGAGATTTTGATAGCAATTTTAATCGGCTATGAACTAACATTAATACAATAATAATAAGTCAGATTCGGCTGCTTCGAAATCCTTGTATATTCTTCTGATTAATTTCGTTTCGGGTCCAATGACAGTTTAACTTTCCCCGGGGACAAACTTGACCTTCACTGGTTGGGTTTTTATTGGCGGTCAAGCTGTAGATCCTGGCTACACAGGAGTTGCAGCGGTGGGAACTAGTCTAGTGGTGGGAATAGTCCCGTATTCAGTTGCTTATCACCTTAAAATAACCTTAATCGAACCTAACGTTTGGTCACTACTTAAAAAATATTAATTTGTCTGAGTTAGGCCCGGTCTCCACCAAGGCGGTGGCAAGTGTTTGAATAACCAAAGAGATTTCCTTCGAATTTATGACTTAAATTTATGTAACGTGTAAGTAATATTTTTGTTTTGTATTGAGTCTGGTCTCCGACGCTGTTTTTTATCTTGCGGAAAATTGGAATACTCCATCTGAATTTTAATTTCTTATTTAGCGTGAGTGAGTTTACTATGTAAATTGCATCTATTGTAATAGTCGACTGTAAGTATTAATTACCATTTAGTATACGATACAGCAAAGGTTAGAAGTCCGTTTTTATTTATCCAAACAAATCTTGTGTTACGCTAGTCAGTGTTGATGTATTTTTGTAATTGTATTTAAATTTACTTCAGTCTTATTGAAGTATTTAAGTGATTTAGTCGTGCTACTCGAAAATACATCATGTATTTTATTCTTTTATCTATGTGTAAAAAACACATTGTAAATTAATAAGTGTATCGCAAAAAAACTTCTTGTTTATCTCTTGAAATCTCGAGCTGTATATGTATCGTTGCTTTTTACTCAATTTAATCATCTTAATTTTTAAATCATAAAATTACATAAACTTATTCATTATTACGACTTGCACACGCTTTGTTTTTGCTTGCTGCACTTACTGATACAACTAAGTATTACTTTTAGGCAAATATGTGCATTATAATGTGTGTGCTTTTTACGCTATCAAGCACAGCACTAATATTAATGATACATATCTTAAAAATGATTGTATTTTTTAGCTTATTTCCCTGATTCATCTCTGGACGAATATTTTTTATTACTACTTTTGATTGTATTTTATTCTTAAATTCATATTTTTATCGATCTAAGTGTTGCATGTTTTATTTGACTTAAAATTACTGAAATTTTACCTTATTATAAAAAGATAGATCATAGTTCTGACTAAAACTTGGGGTGGTTGCTCCATAAATTGATATTCTAAGTGTTTTAGACTATCTTTACGTTACTGCAATACTCTTAATGCACTCTATTCATAATTTGTTTATATCGAATATAAATCTAAAAAACGCGAGTAAAAAATTACGATGCTATCTTAAACCTTTCATTCTATATGTATAATCTAAATGTAAAGAATTTTATTAATTTTCTAACGTTAGCTTTAATAGACATAAATCTTATAAAATGGCTAAAAGTTGACTCCAAAAGTGTCATCCCTGTTCTTCCATGTTATCATTCAAGAATCAACTCTTAAAGATAGTAAAAAAAAAGTACGTCACTTGATTTGTAATGTCATTACATCCGACCTAAAGTAGGGCCGCACTTGTGCGCGGGGCACATCGTCAAAATATTCTTTAGACATTAGTACTTTGTGTTTTACATGAGGGCGGCGCTGCATAGTGATTCAAATACGCCACAATCATTTAGCCACGCCCCCCATGTGTTTCAACCGGCGTGCAACGATGGCGACCAGACTTAAATGCATTGATCGCCATCGCTGCACGCCGGCTGATCGCATGTGATCGCGTTGGTTTGGCCGAACCTTTAGCCAAGTATTACTCTATTATAGAAAACACTCACACGTATCCTTACCTGTAGCACAAGCTGTCGCTAGTGGAGAAATGGTGCGGTGGCGCCTCGCCGCGGCTGCAGAAGTTGGGCGCCATGACGCTGCAGTGGTGCCTGCGCGACGAGGCGCCGCTGGAGCCGCCGGCGCCCGGCTTCCTGCCCGTGCACGTGTACGAGTGCCCCGAGCACTTCTCCACCGTGGAGTACTACACGGTCAGTGTTTTTATCACATCGGCCATGGTCCTTCGAGCCGGATCGATGTAAACAATGTTGTTCTAAAATCAAATCCTTTTTTCCCTAAACCATGTACCTACATGTTTAATTGATTTAGTTGTAATGAGGGTTTTCGCGTTTGAGAAATCCGCCAGATGGCAATACGTAGACGCGAGGTCCAAATGCTGCATGATAGGTTATTTTTGACACATCTGTCAATGTCATGTCAAAAATAACCAATCATGCAGCATTTGGACCTCGCTGACCTCACCGATTTTCGGCGGCACCTGACGTCATTGCAGCTGGACCGCGTAATACGCGGACGTGCTGGGTTCCACGCTGGAAACTGTTGAAAAATTGCACTTATTACGACTTCATAAGATGATCGATTTGTTTAGCGTATCCCTACGCTGACCAGCCGGGTTGGGAAATATGTTCTTATAAAGTTATCTTTGCGGGCAGCGCAGGACCGTGCATTGTGGAAAATCTTGGAGGAGGCCTTTGTCCAGCAGTGGACGTCATTTGGCTGGAACGAACGAACGAAAGTTATCTTCAACTTGTTTCAGCACCTGACCTCATCTCAACTGGGCCGCGTGGTAGTATACGCGGACGTGCTGAGTTCGACACTAAACGTCACGGGCACGCCCCTGGCACATGGCGTGGCGTGCGTGGCGCGGCGGCAGACGGCGGGCCGCGGCCGCACCNGCGACGGCGGCGTGCAGGCCTTCTTAGAGCAGTACTACCAGTACTGGCTGCACACGTGAGTACACTCCTTAGGAGCAGTACTAGCTACACACGTGACTGTACTCCTTAACAGCAAGAATAGGTTCGGAAATAGGAAAAAGTCTTGGAACAGTGACGGTGGAACGGTTCCTGGCGAGATACTGCTCCCAGCTGGAACGGACTTTGGAGTACATGGCGTGCGACGGCGGCGNCGGACTTTAGAGTATATGGCGAGCGACGGCGGCGTGCAGGCCTTCTTAGAGCAGTACTACCAGTACTGGCTGCACACGTGAGTACACTCCTTAGTGGCGAGAATAAATTCGGAACTATAAGAATGGTTCCTAGCTCAAGAAGTGTAGAAAATGACCTAATATCGCAACAGTGTCGGTAGTAGGACGGTTCCTCGCCCGATACTGCTCCGAGCTGGAACGGACTCGTAAGAGTACNGGCGGCAGACGGCGGGCCGCGGCCGCACCGGCAACGCCTGGCTCACGCCCGCCCGAGGGACAGGCCGCTATATCAGTGCAGGTGGGCTTGTGACGTCATCACACTAGACGTGACGTCACACTAGACGTGACGTCACACTAGACGTGACGTCACACTAGACGTGACGTCACACTAGACGTCACGGGCACGGCGTGGCGTGCGTGGCGCGGCGGCAGACGGTGACAAATAGGCTCGAAACTACGTGAACATCGTGCTTGTCCCCATTCCAAAACCGGAACAAAAATTATTCTGTGTCTCTAACTTATTTCAATACCAAAGAAGAGGAGTACATTATCACAATAGTCAAATGATGAGCGAGATTAAACTAGTGCCCTCCCTAATCGGCAATCTGGTATATAAATCTGGTTCGTCAATTGTCGCGTAAAATAAATGGTAAATGTGCACATCAAAATGTATTATGTTTTCCAGGTGTGGCAGAAAGTCACACCGTCGCTGCCGCTAGTACAACACGCGTCCGCGTTGGCCGTGGTAAGAGCGCTGCGCTCGCAGCCTGCCTACGAACATCTCGAAATCAGGTAACACTCATACAGTGTGAGTCACGATAAAGTGCACATATGAAATTAGGTGTTGTGATAGATAGCAAACGTTGTGATAGGTATAGAGACATGCGATTTTTGGTTTTACAAAGATAATACGATAAAGAATAGTAAAAAGTAATAAGAACCACATGTTACAGGGGCATTTTTTAGAGAATTTTTTTTTTTTTCAAAAAGTATATTTTTTTATTATTTGTTGTATGTATTTTATGTATTATTTTAGTATCGCCTGTTATTTAGCATTATTACTTTTTATTTTATCAGAATATACCTCTTAGTTTAAAAGTTATTACGTTTTCTTTATAATAAGTAATGGGAAGAAAAGTTTTTGTCGATAAAAATAGGTGTAGTTTCACCTAATTTCATATGTGCACTTTATCGTAACTCACACTGTATAAAAAGGTTTAGGTGGCAACACCTATAGACAGAAAACTTATTAGCTGGATAACCACTCTTTTCTTCTTAGGCGCAACTATCTATTGTGAGCGTGCCTTGCGCAATCAAAGCACTGTGGATCGTGCGGTGTTGACTTAGCTAAAGCAACGCTCATCATTTGCACTCTAAATAACTTTTGGTTTCAATGAGGTAGTTGACATCATTGACTAATAATTCCAAGGATTTCACAAGATATCACTTTTTTAGCCCTTAATGCATTTTACGATGCTTTAAATACAATAAATAATCAAATAATTCATACTTATTTCCTTTTTTACAGGATAAAATGGCCTAACGACATTTACTACGGGCGCGAGGTGAAAATTGGCGGCACCGCTACCGAAGCGAACTGCACCTACAATGACGTCGTCATTAACATAGGTCCGTATTACTTTACTACTTTCATTTACTGTTTACCTAAAAGAAACAGCTTAAAGAGAATAACGTTAAAATTAATGACGAAACTACTTACGTCAATCAAGTTAAATAAATTATCTTCATGTATCAATATTATTGTTTGTCAGATTGTTGTCTAAACTTTTACTGAACTTGAGAACTCTTGCACATTACAGCGCTTAAATTTACAACTGAGAATGATGATAGACCTGAAAATACTAAAACGGTTTTGGGATTTGATTCTGATTAAGTGACTATAATAGTCTGTTATAGTTCTTGCAACTCACTCATCAGCTTTACTTGTGTGTGTACGTGCACATAACGATAGTGTAATGTCTATCAAAGCTTTTGAAAAACGAACAGTAGCGAGCCTCCACAAATGTAAAGCTCACTCGCCTTCGTGAATTGCAACAACTATAATTGAATAGGAATATTTCCGTACTTTATAATCTTTAAAATTAGAAATAATTTATTAGAATTCTTAAAACAAAAGATGTATTACACAGTCAATGAATTCCTGACCGAAAAATCTTTTTGACATTTTGTACTTGACATTTAAAAATTTCTTAAAATATGACATTATGTATCAATGATACATTGTTTGAATCTAATGTAATTTATGTTTGTGCTATTTCAATAATTCATAATCATTTTCTGACATTGGCATGACATTCAATTAATAATGATACTACTTTTTAATATTAAAAACATAACCGTATTTTTTGTAATATTTGCACATCATAATGTTCGATAGAATATGTTGGAATCTTCTCTTTTTATAACCATTTGTAACCGTATTCTGGCAAATAAATGATTTATTTATTTATATTTATTTATTTAAATGTATATTTCGTTTCACGTATCCAGGCACCGGAGTGAACATCACAAACAGCCAGCCGACGATGTGCGTGAACGACATCATAGCGGAACACAACAAGAGGCACGGAACAAATCTCGCGCCGATATCTGTGGAACGGTTCCTGGCGCGATACTGCTCCGAACTGGAACGGACTTTAGAGTATATGGCGAGCGACGGCGGCGTGCAGGCCTTCTTAGAGCAGTACTACCAGTACTGGCTGCACACGTGAGTACACTTCTATGAGACTAGGTCTTAGAATAGTAATAGCCAAGAACGATTCCTAATACGGAACTAGTATCGTAACAATGTTGGTAGAACGTTTCCTAGCGATACTGCTCCGTACTGGAACGGACTTTAGAACACATGGAAGTACTACCAGTACTGGCTTCACACGTGAGTACTCCGTGGGAACAGGTATAACCAAGGACTTAGTCTTGGAACAATGATAGTGGAACGGTTCCTGGGGCTGGCGAGATACTGCTCCGAGCTGGAGAGGACTTTGGAGTATATGGCGAGCAACGGCAGCGTGCAGGCCTTCTTAGAGCAGTACTACCAGTACTGACTGCACACGTGAGTACACTCCTTAGTAGCGAAACTAAGCTCGGAACTAGGAGTTAATCTTGGAACAGTGACAGCTAGGAACGGTTATTGGTCGGAGAGATGTAGATAAGGATCTAATATTATAATAACAGTGTCAGTAGAACGCTTCATAGCGATACTGCTCCGTGCTGGAACGGACTAGAACACATGGCAGTACTACTAGTACTGGCTGCACACGTGAGTACACTTAGTAGCGAAAATATGTTCGGAACTAGGACCTAGTATCGGAACAGTGACAGTAGAACGGTTCCTGGCGAGATACTGCTCCCAGCTAGAGCGGACTTTAGAGTATATGGCGAGCGACGGCGGCGTGCAGGCCTTCTTAGAGCAGTACTACCAGTACTGGCTGCACACGTGAGTACCCTTAGTTAGTGACTGTATGGAATAGGTATTAAGGACCTAGTATTTGAAACAGTGACGGTAGAACGTTTCCTAGTGATACTGCTCTGAGCTGGAGCGGACTTTAGAGTACATGGCGAGCGACGGCGGCGTGCAGGCCTTCTTAGAGCAGTACTACCAGTACTGGCTGCACACGTGAGTACACTCCTTAGGAGCAGTACTAGCTACACACGTGACTGTACTGCTTAACAGCAAGAATAGGTTCGGAAATAGGAAAAAGTCTTGGAACAGTGACGGTGGAACGGTTCCTGGCGAGATACTGCTCCCAGCTGGAACGGACTTTGGAGTACATGGCGAGCGACGGCGGCGTGCAGGCCTTCTTAGAGCAGTACTACCAGTACTGGCTGCACACGTGAGTACCCTTAGTGACTGTATGGAATAGGTATTAAGGACCTAGTATTTGAAACAGTGACGGTGGAACGTTTCCTAGAGATACTGCTCCGAGCTGGAGAGGACTTTAGAGAACATGGCGAGCGACGGCGGCGTGCAGGCCTTCTTAGAGCAGTACTACCAGTACTGGCTGCACACGTGAGTACACTTCGTAGCTGGAATAGGTATAGACAAGGGACAAGTCTCACGCCGATATTATGGCGAGCGACGGCGGCGTGCAGGCCTTCTTAGAGCAGTACTACCAGTACTGGCTGCACACGTGAGTACACACCTTCGTAATGGGAACAGATATATGTACAAGGACCTAGTATCGGAACAGTGACAGTAGAACGGCTTTTGGCGCGATACTGCTCCGAGCTGGAGCGGACTTTAGAGTATATGGCAAGCGACGGCGGCGTACAGGCCTTCTTAGAGCAGTACTACCAGTACTGGCTGCACACGTGAGTACACTCCTTAGAAGCAGTACTAGCTACACACGTGACTGTACTCCTTAACAGCGAGAATAGGTTCGGAAATAGGAAAAAGTCTTGGAACAGTAACGGTGGAACGGTTCCTGGCGAGATACTGCTCCCAGCTGGAACGGACTTTGGAGTACATGGCGTGCGACGGCGGCGTGCAGGCCTTCTTAGAGCAGTATTATCAATACTGGCTGCACACGTGAGTACACTTCGTAGCTGGAATAGGTATAGACAAGGGACAAGTCTCACGCCGATATTATGGCGAGCGACGGCGGCGTGCAGGCCTTCTTAGAGCAGTATTATCAATACTGGCTGCACACGTGAGTATACACCTTCGAATGGGAACAGATATATGGACAAGGACCTAGTATCGGAACAGTGACAGTAGAACGGCTCTTGGCGCGATACTGCTCTGAGCTGGAGCGGACTCTGGAGTACATGGCGAGCGACGGCGGCGTGCAGGCCTTCTTAGAGCAGTACTACCAGTACTGGCTGCACACGTGAGTACACTCCTTAGTAGCGAAACTAAGCTCAGAACTAGGAGTTAGTCTTGGAACAGTGACAGCTAGGAACGGTTATTGGTTCGAGAGATGTAGATAAGGATCTAATATTATAATAACAGTGTCAGTAGAACGCTTCCTAGCGATACTGCTCCGTGCTGGAACGGACTTTAGAACACATGGCAGTACTACTAGTACTGGCTGTACACGTGAGTACACTTCGTAGCTGGAATAGGTATAGACCAGGTACTAGACTCACGCCGATATCTGTGGAACGGTTCCTGGCGCGATACTGCTCCGAACTGGAACGGACTTTAGAGTATATGGCGAGCGACGGCGGCGTGCAGGCCTTCTTAGAGCAGTACTACCAGTACTGGCTGCACACGTGAGTACCCTTAGTGACTGTATGGAATAGGTATTAAGGACCTAGTATTTGAAACAGTGACGGTGGAACGTTTCCTAGAGATACTGCTCCGAGCTGGAGGACTCTGGAATACATGGTGAGCGACGGCGGCGTGCAGGCCTTCTTAGGCCTCAGCCTCGAACTTAGCGGGCAGCGGGGCGGCGGCGGCGGCGGCGCGGGAGCGGCAGGATCTTATGCGTAAAATCAAATGGACCGGTTCTCGAAAACAGCGGCGCGGCAGCGGGGCGGCAGCGGGCAACGAGCGGGCAGCGGCGAGGGAGCGGGCATCGAGCGGGGAGCGCACTCCTTCTTTTGCCCACAATAAATCGAGCGAATAAAAACAAATATCTCGACAACACAACCCCGAACACAACACTTCGCCGCTAAAGCGCCGCGCGAGCTGCCAACTTGTTTCGAGAACGGGTCTGCGTTGCCCGCCCCGCTCCCGCGCCGCCGCCGCCGCCGCCCCGCTGCCCGCTAAGTTCGAGGCTGAGGCCTTAGAGCAGTACTACCAGTACTGGCTGCACACGTGAGTTCACTTAGTAGCGGGAATAGGTATAGACCAGGAACTAGACTCACGCCGATAACTGTGGAACGGTTACTGGCGCGATACTGCTCTGAGCTGGAGCGGACTTTAGAGTACATGGCGAGCGACGGCGGCGTGCAGGCCTTCTTAGAGCAGTACTACCAGTACTGGCTGCACACGTGAGTACACTTAGAAGCGGGAACAGGTATAGACCAAAAACTAGACTCACGCCAATAACTGTGGAACGGTTACTGGCGCGATACTGCTCTGAGCTGGAACGGACTTTAGAGTATATGGCGAGCGACGGCGGCGTGCAGGCCTTCTTAGAGCAGTACTACCAGTACTGGCTGCACACGTGAGTACACTTAGAAGCGGGAACAGGTATAGACCAAAAACTAGACTCACGCCAATAACTGTGGAACGGTTACTGGCGCGATACTGCTCTGAGCTGGAACGGACTTTAGAGTATATGGCGAGCGACGGCGGCGTGCAGGCCTTCTTAGAGCAGTACTACCAGTACTGGCTGCACACGTGAGTACACTTAGAAGCGGGAACAGGTATAGACCAAAAACTAGACTCACGCCAATAACTGTGGAACGGTTACTGGCGCGATACTGCTCTGAGCTGGAACGGACTTTAGAGTATATGGCGAGCGACGGCGGCGTGCAGGCCTTCTTAGAGCAGTACTACCAGTACTGGCTGCACACGTGAGTACACTTAGAAGCGGGAACAGGTATAGACCAAAAACTAGACTCACGCCAATAACTGTGGAACGGTTACTGGCGCGATACTGCTCTGAGCTGGAACGGACTTTAGAGTATATGGCGAGCGACGGCGGCGTGCAGGCCTTCTTAGAGCAGTACTACCAGTACTGGCTGCACACGTGAGTACACTTAGAAGCGGGAACAGGTATAGACCAAAAACTAGACTCACGCCAATAACTGTGGAACGGTTACTGGCGCGATACTGCTCTGAGCTGGAACGGACTTTAGAGTATATGGCGAGCGACGGCGGCGTGCAGGCCTTCTTAGAGCAGTACTACCAGTACTGGCTGCACACGTGAGTACACTCCTTAGTAGCGAAACTAAGCTCAGAACTATGAGTTAGTCTTGGAACAATGACAGCTAGGAACGGTTATTGGTTCGAGAGATGTAGATAAGGATCTAATATTATAATAACAGTGTCAGTAGAACGCTTCCTAGCGATACTGCTCCGTGCTGTAACGGACTTTAGAACACATGGCAGTACTACCAGTACTGGCTGCACACGTGAGTACACTTAGTAGCGAGAATATGTTCGGAACTAGGACCTAGTATCGGAACAGTGACAGTAGAACGGTTCCTGGCGAGATACTGCTCCCAGCTTGAGCGGACTTTGGAGTATATGGCGAGCGACGGCGGCGTGCAGGCCTTCTTAGAGCAGTACTACCAGTACTGGCTGCACACGTGAGTACACTCCTTAGTAGCGAAACTAAGCTCGGAACTAGGAGTTAAGTCTTGGAACAGTGACAGCTAGGAACGGTTATTGGTTCGAGAGATGTAGATAAGGATCTAATATTATAATAACAGTGTCAGTAGAATGCTTCCTACCGATACTGCTCCGTGCTGTAACGGACTTTAGAACATATGGAAGTACTACCAGTACTGGCTTCACACGTGAGTACACTCAGTGGGAACAGGTACAGGCAAGGACCTAGTCTTGGAACAATGACGGCGGAACGGTTCTTGACTCGATACTGCTCCGAGCTTGAGCGGACTCTAGAGTACATGGCGTCGTGCTGGCCTTCTAGAACATTGTCACGTCATACCGCATACAGACACGAAGGCCGTAAGCAAGTGATGCCACTGATTTGATCAATTGCATGCTGCATCGTATCGTGTATTTGCGCTCGTCGTGGACTTGGACACCGCGTTAAACTATTACTAAACTGAGAGGAGTTTGAAGTTCAAGCTCGTCGCGCATGCTGCATCTTATCGTGTACTCGCTCTCGTCGTTGACTTGGACACCACGTTAAACTAATTGAGAGGGGTTTGAAGCTAAGCATCTAGAAGGCAGAAGTAACCTAAAATAAAAATTGAACTGATATTTTTTCCCTCCTTTCCCCAGTGGCGAAAAGGTGGTCTACTCAAAGAGTCCGGTACGGCGGTGGTATGGTAGGCATTATTAACCAAACTAATTTCCCAAACGTCTTTTCAGTGGCGAAGAGATCCGCGTGCTACTCAAAGACTCCGGCACGCCAGTAGCGGGCTGCGTGGCGGGCGTGGACGAGGCGGGCTGGCTGCTGGTGGCCACGCCCACGGGCGAGCTGCGCGTGGCGCCCGACGGGAACACCTTCGACATGATGGCCGGGCTCGTGGCGCCCAAGATGTGATGTAGTGGTAAGACACTTTTCTTACGCCCGTATTCACAAACGATGCTTGCTTAGGTGAAGCAGCAAATCGAGCGCAGAGTGTTGAGTAGAGCTCTGTGATTTGTTCGTGTGTCACCCTGTGCGTTCACGCGCACTGTGAGACCTCATAGTAACGTTTGTGAATACGGGCGTTAGTCTGCGAGCAAGATACTGGCGACGGCCGAGCGATGGCGGAGCGACGCGACGGCGGAGCGTTGCGCTCCATTTACGTTTCAACATCGTTTGAACTAGCTGTCAAAACGATACCGCAATACGGATTTGTCAAAACAGCTGATGTTCGTTCGTCGTCCAGTCGCGTTGCAGTTAAAATTTTTAGCGCTATCGGGCCCCAGGAAATGCAGTGAGCTGTCAATATTACAGGTTACACATTATTTTTGAGTTAGGTTACATTTAGCTGCACAGGAACCCGCTTTTAACAGCAAATTCAATCAGATAGCTACCAGTCAAACCTTTTTCATGTACATAAAGCTGCAGATAAGGTTAATTACGTCAAAAAAGTTCTATCGTTTACAGTCCACCGGTAAGTTATGGCCGTATATCCCGACATTCTCTAGCAAGAAAGCCCACCTCTCAATATTTAATTTTATCTTTTAACGTACTAGTCATAACAAGCACCCAATGCGCAAGTTTAATGTAATTCTTTGCATCGAAATTCATAAAGCACCCGCGATACGCAGCGTTCTAGACGCACGTCTCGAATGCCTGCCCTAAAAAAATAACTTTTGAGTAAAGATTTTTTTTTCTACAGGCACTGAACTACTACCGTCACCGTCGCCGTTAGTGTTACCAGCATAATAAATGGATAAACAAAGTCAAAGTGATGTCAATAAACGCTAACTTATGTGATTGATAGTTTAAAGATGATGAAATGACTTTAGAAATAGGATACTTGCTCACTACAAATGGAATAAATGGAATGAAATGAAAGTAATACCACTACAATGTAATTCACGTCACTGTCAAGCCATGTTGTTATTTAATATAAATTTTATGTATACAGAGACTTTTTGTGAAGGTTTTTATGACAATAGAATAGGATTATTTTTGGTAATTTTAAATGACGTGCAATAAAAGACACTAAAAATTTTAGTTTTAAAACAAATAATTTATGTAAACTTTCGATAGGTATACAAAGATGGTAAGTAATTAAAATTTCACAGTTTCTAATTCTCTACAAATTATTAAAAATACAGTTACATTTCTATCGATAAAATGATTGTTGATATTCCGTTAATTAATCTTAATCACAACAAATAAAAACAATATTACTACCTAACCTATTTTGAGAAGTTAAATAATAAATCTATACCTATGTTATGGCTGTTATAATTGTATTATTATTTATTTAATGTTACAATAGTTAATTAATTATTAGCAATAGTTTATTTAATGTAAAGAAGGGAATGAAATTTTTATGATCCGGCACAAATTGTGAGCACTAGTCTTACTATATTTTATTATAATAATGACGTTTAATATTATCGAATTGACGGTGTTAAAATTATAATTTGCTTTGCATGCAGTTACGTTAAATAAAGGTGTTTATTAAAATTATACGAAAGCGTGATAATAATGCTAAGTCACGCAAATGTCAGAAATTATGTTTATTGCATAACTTAAGGAGTTCGATATAATTTATTGCATGAGTCAATAACCCTTTATCTGATATGACTTCATGCAAATTAAGTACTTTATTAAATGTTTCACATAATAATGGAGACGAATTTAAATGATTTTGTTGGTATGGTGTTTCAGTCGTGTTAATTTTAAGCAAATAGCTTAGCATTGATTGTCGCTAACGATGATAAAATCTCTGATCTGAAAAGGTTTTACTTAGTTGCGTACTGGTACCTGTATATTTGTATACATATTGTTAATTGTGCCGTCAAGGTGTCCCAGTGAAATAATTTGTTTAATATATTGTTGGTTGCGTTGTCAGTGTCCTAATGAAATAAAGCCCATTAAGTTGTAGTTGTATACATAATATTGTCCCAGTACAATAGATCCCATAGGGAATAAAATGAAACAGGTTCCTTAGGAGTAGCCCCACAGATAACTATTTTACCTTCATTAACTCCGGTACTACAATAGTACTGGTTTTCCGAAATTAAATATTTGTATAGATCTGAAACCATTATGGCGCGATACGTCCAGCAATACAATAAGTATTGAAAGAAAGGTGTGGTGATTTTAGAGTACGATCATAGACCGTACTCGAGTCTCGAATGTGTGGAACGTAGATGTTACGGACTATATCACTTGTAGTAAGGAACAGCCTAGACACTGCCATTGCCCGTATCTATAGTTCGTACTTCTTAATCTATAAAGTGTTAATGTTTTAGAGAAGTCCGTTCATAGAGTAATATGTATCGTAACGTTGAATAGCTTGCATCGATTAGAATGGTCAATTAAATGACACATAAATTAGGAAAGTTACGGAATCTCGATTGTAAACTTTATATCTCTAGAATATGGTAGATATTCCAAATTTTATAGTTAGCAAAGGTAAACGACTATACACCTTGTTTGGCAAATCTTATCACTAGATACTAATGAAACATTCTAATTGTTACTACCTCAATTAACCAGCTTGTCAATATTTAGGAAAGCAGTAAATCTTTATATTACAGGTAAATTAAATCAACAATATCCAATATATTGTGTGTAGGTTGTATATTTATTACAAAATAATATGTTAACAAAGTTTTTAAATACAGCTTAACTCGACATAGTAAACGAAGTTCTCTATGTGTATAAAAAAAACGTATGTATAGCGATTTATGTGATAAGTATGCCGGTGATTAGCGCTTCGTTTTATTGTTTATGGGATAATTAATTGTATCGGAAAAATGTGCCTAAACTGTGTTAATGCAACGCGTGCTTGCATTCAACTATGTTGTTGTTAGATTATACGACTGTTCATAGGTTATAAATAATGTAGATAATAGAACATTTATCACTTCACGTTTTGGTGTAATATTCAAGTTTTTCGATTGTAAAATGGATTCGCATATCTTTTTTCAAAATTCTAAATGAATGTCACAAATTGTTGTAAATGATACTAGTCGTTCTCTCGCTGTTGTCACGTGATGATTTTGTTATTATTGATGGAGTCTAAAATGTTAATATTTCTTGTTAAATTGCTCTTGTTGTAGGTAATCATGTCCTCTTATTAAAATAAATTATTTCAGAATGCAATCGTATATTATTTTTTTAATCCAATCCCTTGAATGTCATGCTCATTCAAAATTTATTCTCTAGTCATTATTTGCATCATTGATAAATTAGCAGTGTAGTTTCGATAAGATACGATAAATAACAATGTTATGATGTCTACCAAGTTAAAGCACATAAGTTGTAAATAAAAAACATATTAATATTAAAAACAGTTTATTTTCGTACTAATAACTTATATTATCATTAATCATTGGGGGAGGCCTATGTTCAGCAGTGAACGTCCTGTGGCTGAAATGATGATGATGATGAACTTAAATTAAGTAATCCGCATTTCATAACATGAATTTTAACTCTAGATAAAATTCTTGTGTTATAAAATTGTTTATAATTGGACATTCTACCAACACCATTATAAAGTTAATGTTTATAATTTAACACATTTTGAACCGTGTTCAATTTTAATTTTGCCGCCATTCATTATTAGAACATAGCGATATTACACAAACCGATAGGTATTTTATACAAATCGTGTCGCATGCAAAAGCAATATAACTTTGTCACTGGTGTTTAATTAATAATTTAATATTTTTATAAATAGTACTACCTAAACAATTTCAATTTTCTTTGATTTTAGCTTTTTTCAACCTGTAATGACTCTTTCCTAGTCACTAGTAGCTAAGCAGAAAACCTTAGACTTGTAGGCCTATGATGCACGCCGCGATAAGCGGTTATCATGCCATTTTATCGATTTGCCATACATTTTGACGTCGATAAAGTATATCGCGGCGCGCATCCTAGCCCGGCTAGTTACATAATATTTATCACCTTTATTACCAGCCGGCATAAGATGCGCGCCACGATATAATCTTATCGTCGATTTTAGACGATAAATGTATTTAGATCGTCTAAAATCGATAAAATTTCTCGATGAAACGATATAAATGCACTAGTACGTTAATACTTATCAGCGTTGTCAAACTTGAACAAATTCGGTTCTACGCCCCTACTGCCGGTGCCCCGTATGGTGAACACGGCGCCTGCCAGCGGCTCAAGGGTCGAGTCCACCGTGTCTTCTTTGCCCGTGGTTACGAACAACTCATCCAGGTTTGGTCCGCCCCAGCATACTGAGGTTACCCGGGAGGCGGGGATCTTGTAACCATAGATCACTTGCCGGGAATCCGGGTCGATGTGGAGAACCTGGGTAAAGAGCAAATTAGAAATGTATGGAGAATCATCATCATCAGATCATATCATATCATATGGTGCAGTGTGTGATGGATCATTGTTTAAATTATATTAATGTTTTAGCTTCCCTTCAGTAGGATATTTAAATTCATAATGGTTGTCACTCGAGAAGGTATATAGTCATAATTGGCCTACAAAATCTACTAAAAAACATTGTTATTAGATACAGATTGATATTGTGCTGTGTACTATCCTTAAATAAATAAATAAATAAAAATAAATATCTGAATCAGGGGGCTTGACGACCCTCTGTAATTTATCAGAGGTAGATTTAGGCTACGCTCCCCACGCTTATCCAGACTGATTAAAGAAGCCGGGAGTTCGCATATTTCTCCCTTAGTCACCTCTTAAATACATCTACGGGAAGAGTAGGGGGTTCCTTCCTAGTTATTTGACTTTGCCGGAAGCACACGGCTATAGGTAATATTGTAGCCATATTATATGTATATGTAAGTAATTATCCAATATGTAATGTAAATTAACTTACAGTTCCCCCAAACATCAGCGCGACCCATAGGTGTCCCTTGCTGTCGATGGTCATGCCGTCAGGGATCGCGTCTTCGTACCCGTAATTTGATATGTCTACGATCGTTCTCCTTCCGCCTGGGGGAATAGAGTACATAATATAAATCACTCATTCTCGAGTAACAGCTTTGTTCATAGTAATTTATGAAATAGCAACTGAAAAAGCGCGCTTTAAACTATACTACCCGGTCAAGTTAACTGCGCACGTCGCTTGAATGCAACTCCTACATACCTCGTCCGTTCCAGGGCGTCGATGTGACGTCACGGCCGCCAGGTGCGCAGTTAACTCGAACGGGTTATAGATACCACGATGAGGCATCAATTTAGGCCTGATTTTTCAATAGCCGGATAACTTTTAACTGAAGAATAAATTTAGCATATTGACAGTTTCAGTATGGGAAATATGTCAAAATGACAAGGTTATTCTTCAGATAAAAGATATCTGACGATTGAAAAATCAGCCCTTAATCGACATATTAATTGTCTATTTAACTGGAAGAATAAATAAGCCATGGATTTCCGTTAGTCACAGCTCCGAATTTCAAATCCATCTGATGTTGCCTCCTTACTGTCTTATCTGGTCAAAATAGGGTCATCAAAGCCCAACAATAAGGCTTAGTTGCACCACCTTATTTTAACCGTAACAATAACATTAACCGGTGCTTTTTGTATGGAGTTCGACAGATTTTTGACGTTTGTCAAAGTTAAAGTAAGATGGCGCAACTCAGCCACTAAAAGTATACAGATATACTCACTGATCTCTCCCCTTACACTGTCGTAGTCGAACGCCTCCACCTTCTGCGTGGGCGAGTCTATGTAATACAGCACGGTGTTGTTCAGAGACCACGCCAGCCCGTTGGAGATCGATACCGGGCGCAACTGGACGCGCGGGTGCGTGAAGCTCTCTTGTTCTATGCTGTAGAATGTCGCCTTGTCGGGAGTCACGTCATCGCCGGTTTGGGGGCCTTTGGTTCCTGAGGAAAGTAAATTAGTTTTAAGATGAGTTTAAAAAAAGTAAATTAAGTATATGATGCAGTGAAAATTTAGCCTGCGGTTGTAAGCGTTTCGATGACTCTTTTATAATGCGAACAGCTAGGGACTGGAATTCGTTGCCTGCTGCTGTCTTTCCCGAAGACAATCCGTGCCTTTTCAAGGCGAGAGTGAATAGGCACTTACAGGGCAGATATAGGGTGGAGTTTTGTAATGCCACCTGGAGGGAAAGTACTCTTAATACTGTAGATAGAAAATTTAACTGAAAGAAAACATTCCTTTATTTTTGAAAAGAAAGAGAACTGCATTCAAAGATTTTCGAAAATTTTCTAGCATACCATACAATTTCCTGTACATAATTAAAATAATTTAAGATTTCATGGTTTTCCTTTCATTTGATTTATCAAGTTTCTTAGAGAGATTTTATCCTTATACTTACCCCTAAAGATCGTTGCAAATAAAAATACAGGGTGTAATTTTTAACAGATTTTAGTTGGTTCGAATCCCGGGTGTGGCAAGCAAATTTTTGTAATTCAAGAAATAGAAATAGAAATAATGTCTATCTACAATATTAAGAGTACTTTCCCTCTAGGTGGCATTACAAAATTCCACCCTGTATACCATCCTAGACTACATCCCACTTACATCAGGTGCGATTGTGGTCAAATATCCGCCTTGAATATGCAGAAAAAAAATTCCATCCCGGAACCAACTACATAGATGATGAATAGATAGCTTATAATTATTCTTTCTTACCTCCCCAAAAGCGCCCTTCGGCGTCAGGTTTGCCGTCGTTGATGACGTTATCAGGCAGTCCATCGTCGACGGTGGTGAGGAGCCGCAGAGCCTCGTCCCCGGGCACATCGAAGTCCAGCAGGTATACACCCGCCCGAACTGTTACTAGCAGTCTCTGAGAATTCGCTACTAGCGACACCACGTTCACTTGCCCGTAACCTAATGAGAAATAGGAATTCAATTTATTTAACTAGAGTATTTGGCCTAATAGGAGTATAGAGCGGGGAGAGCCACGCTGCCCAGATAATATGTTTTTTTATTCATTATGATAAATCTCTCATACACAGTAGTCGTAATCTTTTCATTAGAAGCGGCACCAAGTCACAATCATTCGATTTTGAAAAACTTACATTCATATTTTTTTTAATTATTGTGCTCATGCTTGTTTTTTTTATATTTTACTTCATCAGGCACAATGGTACCTACCATCCCATACTACACTCGCGAGCAAACGTATGCAATCAGCCTGTTTGTACTGAGCGCCGATTTTACCACCCACTTACTTATATGTTTGGTATGTATTCTGCCAGAGCTGTACTCTAGGCGATGTACATTTTGTTGGTGAACGTCTACGAAGTAGAGGCTCTGTGTTACGGGGTCCCACACGGGGCTTTCACCATGCTGGAACGTTGCCGGCTGACTGGGGTTTAAATCTGATGACACCTGAGAATAAGGTATATTATTAATTTTAGACGCCCGGTACAAGTTCTCTAACTGCATTGCATCTCTAACTTTAAGGCTGAGTTGCACCACCTAACTTTAACGGTAACTATCACGATAACCGGTGCATTTTGTATGGAGTTTGACAGATTTTTTTCAACCCAGCCTAAGACTTTTTGCGCCCACGCATCGCCCTAGTTTCGGCAATTGCATCTATAAAGTTCTCAAAACCAAAATACTGACGAATCCAAGTCAAAATTCGATGTAAGTCGTTTATTTTTTAAGTAAAAAATTAAATTTGCGATATATTTTTGAATGCAAAAGTTCTAATAACTTCCAAACTTAATCTCTAAATATCTCAATTTTACTTATGAATGGAAGTATAAGTAGGTATAAATAAATAAACACAAATAAATTAACAATTGGAATTTCAAACACTAACTTTTTAAAACACTAAAAAAATGCTCGAAAAAAAAACTTACCATTGAAATTTTGAAAAACTGGTTCTGCGCTTCACATAACTTTATGATAATACATAAGAGACACCAATAAATCCAAACACCGTTCATTGTCCTGCAGATATTTATAATAATATTAACACTATTTAAAATTATAAACAGACCATAGTCTTGGAAAAAGTATATTATCTAAGCCACTAAGTTGGCATCGTTTAACTAAGCAATCTGAAACTCTACTGGCGGTTTAGGCAGGTGTATACGTTCTCGCGTACCAATAAAAACAAAATGTACAGTCGTGATTCTTAAGCTTCACAAATAGAAAATCGCGCAGAACACCTGAGCTGCAGCTGATAGAACAATGCTCCAAAGAATAATGTTTAGTGCATCCTTTTATACGGAATATCAGTAGTATCAAGTAGATAAATCTGGGTGAAACCAGTCAGTATCCAGCTGATACCTTAATCCTTAATTTTCTGATAAATATTGGCTAGATCTGATCATCATCTAGATCAGAAAATAAATATTACTTATATAATTTTAATAACAAAAAACAAACAACACAGAAATCAAGTTGGTAATAAATCATTACGGTCGCGATGCATCGTATTAGCCATGATAGTAATCGGCGGTTTCATTGCTTTGGTATCGTTTAATCCCTACAAAATGCGACGTATCGGAAAAACATATTATTAAAAAGATTGAGACATGAAAATATTTCATATAATTTTGATAATATCTTTAACCGAGTACAAATTATGATATCATTAAACATGTTTCCACGACGTGTTAAGCACATTTTTTTAGATTCACACAGATTTGGTAGTCTTCAAACTGATCCGCATTTTTTTCTATTCGAATCACTTTTGTTAAATTTGGTACCGTTCAAATACTGGAATACAATTTTCATTTTTCATATTGTTCATGAATCATAAATGAATATTCTCCTATGAGAGGTGGATCTTATACAGTAAGGTTTCAAGCAGAAGCTAGGCGACAGGTGAGGACCATACCTATCGATTTCACCCCCATGTATGTTCTACAATTTTTCTTCGTTTAGAAGTTATCGTTGATTTTGTAACTTTTTGAAAATTCATTACCTAGTAGGCTTTAACATTTTATATCTTTTTTCGATGTTGGTTTTTCTCGGATTTCTTTTTTTAACAGAATCCCTATTAATGGAAGGGAACTTCTACCACAGAGGAACTGGCTATCCTACCTCGAGATCATATCAGAATATGAAAATGGATATGTGATTTTAATGCGTACGTTTTTAAAACGACTTAGGCCCAGAACAGACGGTGACGGTGAGACCACACATGACGCGACCAGTTTGAAACTTTCAAACTCGTCGCGTCATGTGTGGTCTCTCAACGGACGCTATGGTAGAAACTTAGATGCAACTGAAAAGTAACTACATAGCAGTTGCGGTTTCGTTGCAGTTGCGTTTCACCGTCTGTTCTGGGCCTTACTCATTTAGGAAATTTTAACTGTGTGGATGATGTATAAATAGTTTTGATTCCCAAAAAAAGTTCAGTCTTACAAACTTTGTTACGTACTCTCATCTTTGCCTAGCGTAGTCTACATATTTAACACGTAGTGTAGTCGTCAGTTGAAATGCGTACACTATAGTATTAATCATGCGTAATCAATCAGTATCAATTTACTTATATTGCGTGAAACTGACGAAACTATCGCATTTACCTATTATAATATTTACCGATCATTTAAAAGTTACCTACGCAACTGAAGTGGAACAAATAAAACTGAGGACGTTTTCTCATTATAGTTTATTGCATAACTAATCGTTATGGCCAATAAAATCGGCTACTTCAAATATAAACTTACATTAAAATAATTAATTCTAATCACATACAATTAATTCATCTATTCCATAGTAGAAACATAAAATATAAAGAAATCAAATTATAATTACTGAAGATCTTAATAAACTATGATACAAATTGGAATTGGAAAATGCAGATCGTGTAATGTTATAATACAACCAAATTCGTGGCGGTGTAAAATAATGACAAAAATAGTTCATCTCGTACAAACCTGAACAAATGAATCAAAGGATTTTATTTTAATACTCTTAATACAATTAAAACATTTGGATGCTCGCAATTTTGCACATTTACTGACTTACACATAAGTTAATTAGAACTAGTGATACATAACACGAACTATACGCTTAAATATCAATATTGTGTTCACATTAAGATATTTGGAAAAATACTATATTTTATGTCAAGTAGAAATGTATTTGAGCTATAAGGTATAATCAGAGCAAACGAGGTATCACACGTGCGATTGACCAAGAATTCCTTTAAATCAATTGATTCTAAGTAAGACAGGAACCCTTCAATAATACGGACCTCGTACGTGGGTGTATAGGAAATCGCATTGAGTGAACATTGTTGTATTTAAAATAGTACTATGATGATGCCACGTTTTGCGACGAATGTTAAAATAGTCATGTCTAATTGATTTCATACAAAACCGATACACGATAAGTGGCCTGAATTTTATACCAAACTGATTATTTATCTCAAATTGTCACTGCAAATTATCTTTCGTAGTTCTTCAAAATAGGACTAAGCGGTAAGAAAACACGTGTCGAAGACAAGGGTTCGCCATAATGGTCCAGCGGTGACGGGGTTCGAAACTTCGAACTACCGATACTTTGATACTTAAATCGGCAGTTCGACATCATAACATATTGGCTATTATCGCCAATAACTGACATGTACAGTCAGCGTCAAAAAGTTTGACACCCAAAGTAGCCAAAAAGTTCGCAACACGTCTTGATTACAATTGGAATAATTGTGTTGTTAACTTTTTAGCCAGTTTGAGTGTTACGAACTATAATGACGCTGACTGTACGAGTGAAAATTGTCAACACAAATCTGACGCTGTAATATCAAAACCACTTATCGCATAAAGTTTGTTTGAGAGTATAGTTGTTGCAATTCACGAATGCGAGCTTTACATGTGTGGCAACTCGCTACTGTTCGTTTTTCAAGTTTTGATAGACATTACACTACGTTATGTGCATTTAACGCACACACACAAGTAAAGCTCACTCGCCTTCGTGTGTTGCAAGAACTATAACGTGTTCCCTAGGTGTAGACTAACGTACATTATTATTATGAACTAAGCCACGTGACCTAAGCGTGGTGCGGCGGCTGCGGCGGCGGCGCGTCCGGCGGCGCCTGCTCGGGCCCGGCGGGCGGCGCCGCGCCCCCGCTCTCCGCTTGCAACCTGGTAGGATGACGTCACTTAGTGCCTTGTCGAAACCTAACCTCCGTATTCACAAACGATGCCTGCTTAAGTGAAGCAGAAAATCGAAAGCGCAACGTTGAATAGAGCTCTGCGATTGGTTCGTGTGTCACCCTGTGCGTCCACGCGCACTATGAGACCTCATGGTAATGTTTGTGAATACGGGCGTTAGATACTATACTAAAACTCATTTATATTTTGTACGTATATTATAGGGCCTAGAAGTCAATGGTGCCGCACCGGTCATAACAGCACGGCACCGCTACCGGGAGATGGTACCGATACGGTAATTTGAAGACTGACTGTCGATGAAGGCCAAGTTTGTCCCAGGGAAAAATAAAATAAAAATGGACCCGCGACGTAATTCAGCTACTTCGACTCAGTGAGTCCGATTCTTAATTTTATAAACTAATTATTTCGCAAACTGTGCCAAAATCGATCATAAAAATGACAGTTCGAATGCCACATTAATGACAGGAAGGTTTAATTTATAAATAATAAATTAAAAATATTTACGTGCTCATAAACTTCTACAGAGAGACACAAAAATATTGAAATTTAGTTATGATTAAAACAACAACAATTTAGACAACAACAACAAAATAATAGTGTTATACACACACATGCATTTCAATTAAAACGATAACAACTACACATCCACACAACAAACATTAATCAGTAAAAAGATTAAGTGTACCGACGCGTTTTCTACTTAAAATTGTGTAATTCATTAAAGTAATAGACTTTGGTAACTTTAAATAAGAAATCATTAAGGATTATTACCATTATTGTAGTACTTTATAGTCGCCCTTATTTGTTTGCCAAAGTCTATTGATTGGTACGGTCTATAGTTGGAACAATAAATATACTTACGAGCAAAAGTATGGAATCACCCCTTTGTGTTCTTAGCGGTCTTAAGAACTGAAAGACTATGTATTGTATGTATCTATGGTATACATTTTAAGTTTATAATATCACCTTTAAAATGGCACCATTTTTATTGATATTTCTATTACTCATTTAGTTCTTATGATCGCTCGGAATAAATAGGGTGATTCCATATTTTTGCTCGCGAGTGTAGTTAACACTGTGAGTATAAATATAAACTTTATTGGACATCAAAAACATGCCGCATGCAATCTTGCTTACTTGCTTTTTAAATCCAACTGTCGAGTGTTATTACTTATTGTTCTTTCTATTATGACATATTCATGGTAATTCAATTAGGTATCAAGATTACCTAGTTGAATTACAAAAACACATCTAACATCCATATTCTTGTATCATTTTGACCATTTTAGCGACTCTACTTCAATATTAGATCAACATCCAAAGTTCAATTTTGATTCTTTATATTTTGCAGGAATAAAACTGATTATACAGGATGTTACGTTAATAATAATTATGTAATCAATTTATTTCGCAAATAAAACAAGTTACTAATCGTTAGAAGAGAATACAAGACTCAAAACATAATTTTGGTGATATCTTTTCTAATGACTTTACTTTTGCCATACACAAGAGAAGGGCAAACCTCTTTTCACGAGGAAACAACAATACATGGACCCAAGAGCATGGATATTAGACGGCAACAAAAAATTAAAGCGAAGTGAAAATAAAGAGGTGCTATTTACTTCAAAGCCGTGTACCTCTGGTGGGCCTGGTGCCGCGCGCGGAACTCCGCCGCCTTGAGTTGTTCTAGGTGGAACTGCTGCCGCTCTTGGATCAGTTGCTGCCGCTGGTATTCTAGACCTAGATGTGTATGGGCTCAGTGTGAGTGACAATTTTAGTGACAGTATGATGCACGATTCTAAACTAATCTATTAAGCAATAGGAACAGATAATACGATGATAATACGTAACACTAGAATATCTCCCAGCTCCTGTTTCCACTACTGCAAGTAATGTATGGCGAGGATTTACAGCTTGACCGCCAATAAATTCTAACTTAGTCCCTTGATAGTCTATATTGGTGGCCATTAACAAGGTGTAAAGTCTGTTCGCCGAGAGCTGATAAATATTATGAAATGGCTTGCAATAGCGACTGTCGCTTAAGGCTAGGATTTACCGCCTCGATGCCGTGCATTTGTTTACCTCAGCCCCCGCACACCTCGCACTGACACTCGCGCGACGCGTTGACGCCACAGTGTAAAAACAAACCGTAAGTTGGATGACGGTTTACGTAATCTTCAAATAGTTAATAAATAAATAATAAAATTAAATATCCTTCGACATAATATTTTAACACTGCGCCTCTAGTCTCAAACTAAGCAAAGCTTGTACTATGGGATATGAAAATACTTAAATAACATAACATAAATAAATAAATATTATGGTTAGAAACCGTGCATANGTCAAAAATCGACAATTTGGGAAATCATGGCCTTAATTATTGCATTCTGTATGGCGGGCGTCGTTTGTCACAACGCGCACTGAGTACCATGGTACGAGCCACGCAGCTGTCGTCAAGCGCCCCGGCAGGCGGGCCGCAATGTGTGAAACGCAATGTGTGAAATGGAATAGATTTATTTTACATAAAACCAAAATGAATGGTATGACAGTGGGTAGGGCTTTGCCCAACATTGGGATACACTATAAGCCACTTGATAATAATGAAATACTTTTTATCCAACACATGGACGCCACGTGTTTGATCCGTATCCCCACGTATGCCTTAACCGGAATAATTCCCGTAAATTTAAAAGAGATAATAATGATAATCTACCAACTTTTTCATTATATCGACACAATAGCGGGCCGCAATTTATAATAAGTTTAGAACCTCTGATATTTAAATTTTTTTATCAACTCTCGGCGAACAGACTTTAGTCTCACATCGTCAAAATAAAAATGACTTGCAATGGCAATGACAACGCGAGACAGTCAGCTTAGTTTTAGAGATTGCCAAGGTGTGATGTCATGCGAAAAACCTTTTCAAATTATGCCTGAACATTCTTATTTTTCATCAATATTTTTGGAAGACAGTGGTACTATATGTTTCCGTACAATAAATTATCGAAATGGCAACGTGACTAGAATCGGTAGATCGCATCGAATCCGTGGGCTATTGCTGCTTCAAAAACCAAAACATACCTTCTCTCTCCCTTTCCATGGTAGCCTCCAACTCCTCGAAATGCCTGAGCTTGATCTCCAACTTCTTCATCTGAGTCTCCACCAGCAACGCGACCAGGGACTTGATCTTCCTCTCCTCCACGCCGGCCAAGTGCTTGGCTTTGACCGCGGCCGCTGCCAAGGCTGCCGCTGCCGCCGATTGCAGCTTGGCGTCCACTGTTGTTGGGGCATCTGCTTGGAAATACACGATTATTGAAACCATACCTTTTGTTACAACAATCGATTTAGCTCCATTTCCCATCCCTACCTTCCTTTCATCACATCCGGGTCCGTTGAAGGGAAGAGAACGAATGAAGATAGAAAAGTGACAGCTCATCTTTGACGAGCACTCTCGCAATGTATTTTGTGCCGGCCGGCCACACGTTCTCACAACATCAAATATCATCAAAACTATGTAACTGAGCTGAACAGCATCACAATCACAGTGCATCAGTGACCGCCTGTGACCAGGAAAAACCGCAGTAAAACCTTTCCATACCATTTCTCTTGACCTCTTCAGTGATTGTGCTCGTATTGTAATTCTCCCGTTTTGCAGCGATAATTTACGTAAAGTCTAGATTATACAGTCCACTTAAGGGTATCTTAAAAACCCAAACACCTTTTATTCTTTGACGTTCTATGTGCTAGATCTTGGATAAAATTTTATTTACATATTGGCAGTGCACTGATCTATATCTTTAAATAATCGACATAGATTAGGTTAGCTCAAATAGTAATAAGTAAAGTATTTGTTATTATCGCTTATCTCGAAATCGGGCATTATGTATGCTTTAAACATAACCCAGTATTGATTGTATCGCCCTCCTGCTAGTTTTAGATTTTTGCTACTTGACGTTTCACTATAATTCTAAGTACTTACCACCAGCTGGTGGTTCGGCAGTCCTTAGCCTCTTTGACCTTGGGCTCGCTCGGGTTCCTCTAATTTCATGGGTCCTAGATGATGGATAAACGCGGTAACGCGATTCGATGCGAAAATATCAAGTAGTCGTTGTATAAAGCCTATGTAGTCGCGTATTATGACATGTGTCATATACGTCACATGAAGTATAGGTCTCATTAAGTCGCGTCGCTTTATGTCGCGTTGCGTCGCTCACCTAAGACAATGGGTGTTAGGAAGTAACTGACCAGGCAGCAGAATTCTTGGCTTCCTTGTCTTCCCGATGCGAAAATATCAAGTAGTCGTTATATTGATAGTGGCCAACGTAGTCACTTGTCATACGTCACGTGAAGTATTGGTCGCATTACATCGGTCGCTTATATCGCGTTCCGTCGCTCATCTATTACAACGGGAAAGTAAGGACATAATTAATGTACTTACCAGCCGGTGGTTCGGCGGAGTCCTTTGCCTCCTTGTCGTCGGGTGCGGGCGTGGTTAACGACCAACAAGGGAACGCGACCCGATGTGAAAATATCAAGTAGTCGTTGTATAAAGCTTACGTAGTCGAGATGTCATGATGTGTGTCATACGTCACGTGAAGTCGCTGCATGTCGCGTTCCGTCGCTCACTTAAGGCAAAATGTTACGGGACTATTCCTACATCTCGTTCCCACCGCTGCAACTCCTGTATAGCGAGGATCTACAGCTTGGCCGCCTATAACAATCCAATCAGTGAAGGACGAAAGACAACGGGTTAGTAATTGAAGTACTTACCAGCTGGTGGTTCAGTGGAGTCCTTGGCCTCCTTGTCATCGGGTGCGGGCGTGTCGGGCGCCTCTTCTTTGACCTTGGGCTCGGGCTCCTCTACCTCCATGGGTCCTAGGATAACGACAAACTCGCCAACGCGACCCGATGCGAAAGTATCAAGTTGTCGGTGTCATAATATAGTGACTTACGTAATCGCGTGTTATGACGTGTCAGACGTCACGTGAAGTCGTATTCCGTCGCTCACCTAAGACAACAAGTTACGGGACTATTCCTACATCTCGTTCCCACGGCTGCAACTCCTGTATAGCCAGGATCTACAGCTTGGCCGCCTATAAAAATCCAACCAGTGAAGGACGTAAGACAACGGGTTAGTAATTGAATTACTTACCGGCCGGTGGTTCGGCGGAGTCCTTGGCTTCCTTGTCATCGGGCGCGGGCGTGTCGGGCGCCTCTTCTTTGACCTTGGGCTCGGGCTCCTCCACCTCCATAGGTTCAGTCTTCACATCGCTGGCGCCTTCTTTCTTCTCCGCTGCTAATAAAATAATAATCATCATCATCATTTCAGCCATAAGATGTCCACTGCTGAACATAGGCCTCCCCCAATTCCAAAATGGCCGGTTGGTGGCGGCTTGCCTCCAGCGCCTTCCCGCTACTTTTATGAGGTCGTCGATAAAATAATGTATTTGTTAAATATGTTGAGTGTTCGTGGTTAATTTTTTTTGCTATAGCATGCATGCATGATCTCAGTTGCCACTCGGCCAAACCGGTTCGATAATGCTTTAGATAGGTGTCTGATATTGTTACGTTATCTAAAAAATAAATATTGATTACCGTTGGCTGCTTTGTCAACCAGCTATCCAACATCTGTGGTCATTATTAAAAGTTCTATTCATATTATGAAATGTACCTAAAGTTTGTGCCTAACTGCTATTTATCGAGTCATCAGAGGGCTTAGTGTGAGTTTACATCAAACGTCGTCATTAGCGAGCGCGTTAAAAAAATATATGAAGATTTTAGTTCTTGAAAGTTTCCGCTGTACAATCTGTCATACATTTAATGTCACTTTTTTACGTCGTCGAAATCGAACGCGTTTGACATAAACACACTACGCCCCCTGATATTACTCGGATGTTTTTATTTTTATAAATGACAAAGGTGACCGAGTTTCTTCCGCCACTTCTCAGCACCAGCCCATATGTTATCCCGAAGTCGTGGTAGGGCAAGCTTTATTTGGGACGTGTATAAGTGCCCTAGAAATGATTGAATAAATTATTTGGCAGTGGGCGGAGCACATAGCTCGCAGAGCTGATGATCGCTGGGGCAGGAAAGTTCTTGAGTGGCGACCACAAGCCGGAAGACGTAGCGTGGGCAGGCCTCCCACTAGGTGGACCGACGATCTGGTGAAGGTCGTGGGAGGTGCCTGGATGCGAGCTGCGCAGAACCGGTCTTTGTGGAAATCCTTTGTCTAGCAGTGGACGTCTTTCGGTTGAAACGAACGAACGAACGAAACTGTTTGAATATGAATAAAAGAAGTGGGACCGACCTGTGGGTTGTGCAGCGGGAGCGGCGACGGCGGGCGGCGCGGCTTCGCCCTCGGGCTGGGTGCCGGCGATGCCGGTGGCGGCCAGCGCGGCGCCGGTGCCTTGCGCGCCTGCGGCTTTTACGTGAGCCTCCATCATTGCTGCTGGTACTTCGTCCTGATGATCACACAAAGAGACAGAAATATAATTAAAATCCAGGTTATAAATAAATGATTTATTTTCTCACACGAAATACAGGACAAAATACATTTAAAGAAAACACATTAATGAGTGTGTGAGACCGGAGCCTGAGCTAGGTAAATGAATACCTGTGTTATAGGCACAAAATATAACAGAAGACAAACTCCATACTAAACGCGCTCGAGCCACGCACACATAGACACCGCTCTAGCAAGACTGTCTTGGACGAATGCGAGCGCGACGTGGTGCGACAGACGTTCGCCACACGTTCGCTGTGGTTCGCTTGAGTCACGCGCCGGTCAACCGCCTGTGATATTATTTTGTTTTGCGAAATTGACGAAAATGAGTGAACAGAAAAAGTCGTATTATAATTGTTCGGTATTTGGTTGCTTAAACTCATCATTAAATACCGAATTTTCATTTTTTAAATTACCAGTTGATTCGGGGAGGTAAGTAAGTTATTTATTTGAATTCCAATTGAAATTGAAAGCCAACTCAATTATTAGGAATATCAAATTGTTTTAGAGAGGTTTTAGGAATTATTGGATAACTAGCTTTTGCCCGCGGCTTCACCCGCGTGAAATTTAGTTTGTCACAGATCGTCATAAATTATAGCCTATATGTTATTCAGGGTTATAAACAATAATACTGTAAAGTTACATCAAAATCCGTTCAGTCGTTTTTGCGTGAAAGAGCAACAAACATCCAGACATCCAAACTTTCGCATTTATAATATTAGTTGGATAATAGTGTCACTCAACTAAATACTACTCCCTTCTCGTGTATTTGTTTGCAAACTATTACTATAATAACGTACTAAATATAAATAAGTATACGTGGATATTTGTTATTGTCTTTCTTGCATAGTATTAAGAGTAACATTTTTCTATCTTATCGAAATAAACGCAACACATGACAAGACAACCCTAGCGCGACGGCCGAGCGTGCGAGCGAGAGAGGTATGCAAAGCGAGGTACATACATGAGTTTACCTTCTGTTATATTTTGTGTTATAGGTCACCGGGCCCCCACCACCACGGATTTGAGCAAGTATAACTAGCAAAGGCGAGAACATTTTAAAATACTAATTAGTTTATACAAATCTGCATAATATACGTAGATCGTTTTATCCTCAAAGACGCGCCCCACCGATTCTTGGTCGAAGGAAGCGCGGGGTGCGGGGAGTTTGATCCGAGTGTCATTATTGTAGTATGCGTGTGCATTCGTGGATAATTTAGCGTGTACCGATAACACTCAAACATTAGCGGAAGAATGGTGGGGCGTGTCTTCGTGTATGAAACTATCTATAATATTCGCCTTAAAAATATTCGGGCATCTTCGACTGGCCTCGGCACGCTCTTGCGTCGATGGGCTGCTATTTCACAACACGTCACCGACGACACCGTGCGCGCTCCTATATTTTATTTACTTGTCTACCACAAATTGTTTAACGTATTCATTAAATCCTTTATAAATACAGTTCAGTTATCATTTAGTAGTTTCCCGGTCGAGACCCCTACATTGGTCCTTCGAACCGGATAAGTGTTGTAAAACCTGCAGATCTAAAACTTAATACAAGTAGAATATCACTACGTTACCTTGATGGCGGCAAACTCGTCCATAGCAGCCCTGGTGGCCTTGGAAGCGATGCGCGGGTCCACCACTGAAGCTAAGAAAGCCACCGTGCTCATGACTGGGTTGCCCATCTTGCTGAATGGGATAGGCTGGTACGCTAGTGGGCCTAGCACGCCTCCTGTTGGAATTAAAATATCACATTATGGTATTTATAATTTAGACCATGCGATTTTACACGATTACCTATAGGTCAGAGCCAGTCTTCTAGAACTCCAGAACTTTCAGCTCTAGTAGCACCGACTGACTAATTTTAGAGGAGATAGCTCTAAAGTTAGTCAGTCGGTACAGTTACGTACCTGAAGAAGCATCGTGCAAGTAAGGATCCTCAATAGGTAATCTGAGGAAGTGCAGGATGCATTCGTCTTGCGTCCGGGTGCCGACGTGTGCGGCGACGCGATTCCAGTCATCCCGGTGTAACTCCAACGCTTCCAGTAGGAGTAAAGTCTCTTGTTCGGTCCACACACCTAACCCTAGCCTAGTTAGTACCTTAAGAGGTAAGTATCATGCATGTACTGGTGGTCCTCGATGGGCCTGTGTTTTGTATAAGGCAGGTTTTTTTCACGATTCAGAATTTCTCGCTTCTCTTCCATCTGCTGCTGACCTTGCACGTGACGTTAGCCTAGTTAGATCAGAACGTACCTGAAGAAGCGTCATGTAGGTAAGGATCCTCAATAGGTAGCCTGAGGAAGTGCAGGATGCACTCGTCTTGAGTCCTTGTGCTGACGTGCGGCGACGCGGTTCCACCGCTTCCAGTAAAAGTAGTCTCTTACTCGGTCCACACACCTAACCCTAGCCTAGTTAGTACCTTAAGAGGTAAGTATCATGCATGTACTGGTGGTCCTCGATGGGCCTGTGTCTTGTGTAAGGCAGGTTTTTTTCACGATTCAGAATTTCCCGCTTTTCTTTTATGTGCTGCTGACCTTGCACGTGACGTTAGCCTAGTTAGATCAGAACGTACCTGAAGAAGCATCATGCAGGTAAGGATCTTCGATGGGTAATCTGAGGAAGTGCAGGATGCACTCGTCTTGCGTCCTTGTGCCGACATGAGCGGCGACGCGATTCCAGTCGTCCCGGTGTAGTTCCAAAGCTTCCAGTAGGAGTAAAGTCTCTTGTTCGGTCCATTCACGGCCGCGGGCGCCACCGCGGTACTGAGAAGAAAATGAGTTTTAAGATATACTTATTCTACAGTAGTACTCAGGCAGTTTTTAGGACACTATTACATATGCCAAAATTTAGTTTGCCTTAGCATAACTTACGTGAAACATGGACCGGTACATATCTTACAATATTTCACGCCTTTCAACTATGTGAACATAATCTTCATTTATGGTTCTAATTTGTCATGAAAAAGGGACAATTAAATTAAAAATTAAACCTGAAAATCACCAGATATTACTCTATCCCTTAGCCAAGCAGAGAACATTTCCAATTTCAATACATAAATGTAAACTGTTTTGTTATGTATTTTATATGCACTACTTTAACAAGTTGCTGTCGTTTTAATAGCATGTAGTCAAGTAAAGTACGGCCAGCTAGCAGTGATACAAAAGGTCGATTCGACTGTCGAACTGACAATTTATTCTGTCTCTTCCCATCTTGTGTATTTGTCGTAATGTCTCGTTCGCCAAAGTTCGTTCGTCAAAGTCAAACCCCTGCTATTCCAAATGACCATGACATTGAGTTTGTTTACATTTGGTATCGCTTCTCGTTGGCCGTACTTTAGGTGATGTCTGTATCATACATAAATGTGTGTTTATGGGGCCTTGTTTTTTTTCTCTTGAGATGTATTAATATCACGGTTACCTGGTCGAGCTTGAGTCCGGGCATGGCGCCGAGTTCGATCCCTGGCTCGTGCTTGAGCGCGGGCGGTGCTCCGGCGCCCGCCTCGGTGCCGTTGGGCAGACCTGCCTCCACTTTAGGCACCGCCGCGTTCTCCGCTGCAACAATGAAATTAAATAATTTATTCTGCATACAAATTTTGTCGTTGCAATAAAGATCTCCAAATCCTAAGTTTACAGGTGTTTACAACACGCTGATTAGAGCGTTGACTTTGACTTTGAAAGGCTAAAATGCGGCTGATGTTACCAGTCAAAATATTAACCTCTTATGATGCACTGGCAAATATTAAGACACCATAACTTGAACTTTATGCACTTATCACAAGGTCGAAAACCAATAACATCAACATGTTATGCTTTACTTACCAGGCCGGGGCTGCGGCGGGCGCGCCACGAGCGGCTGCAGGCCGGAGGGCGTGTCGGACAGCACGTGGAAGTGCGACGTGGGCGGCGGGCCCATCGCCGTGGGCCGAGACTCCGCCTCGATCTATGTAAGTAATAAAAAAATAGTTTATTTATATTATGGAAGTGTCCGCCAGCAATCATTGTTGTTAGATACAAAGTCGTATCATTTCTTACCTAGGAAGTTATTTTCAACACTGTTGGTTCTTAGGCGAACAGTGTATGGATGAAAAACATAATAAATATGAGCGTGACGTCACCCAAACAAGACACTGCGTACTGTTTTAACTTGTTATGTAACATCACAAGATTTCAAATTATCAATACCTATTTAAGATATTATAAAGCCTTGAATCCACTTGTTAGTGGCTTATTTGGGCGAGCCGTTCAAAAGGAGATAGTGGCTCGACTCAGGCGTCTCCACTTGACTCATTCGCCTGAGCATGCCAAAAGGATACAAGGCTTTAGATCAGTGGTTCTTAACCGGTGGTCCGCGGACCACTGGAGGCATTCCAAGTGGTCCACGAAGACATCGTAATAAACAAGTGATGTGACGTGATGAGTAGAGTCAACATAACGCAAACGGCGCACAGTGGGCGAGAAATCGACCTCCACTTTCATAGGATTTTGAAAAAAAAAACGTGGTCCCTGACAAGACAGAAATTTGGTAAAATGGTCCCTCGTGACTTAAGGTTAAGAACCACTGCTTTAGATATTTCTGCAGTCGATTCCCGATTGTTACCTGGTAGTTGATGAGGCCCCACTGCTCAAGAAAGCCGTGCACACGCATGATGGCACATACGTCACCCGCTAGGTTGCGGCGGCAAGCGGTACTTGTGAGATACTCCGTAGGATTCAGACGGTAGGTGTCGATCATGAAGTTCCTGACCAAAGAGTACAAAAAATTCTAAATCAAGTAATTATATGTATGCTACTAAAGCCCGGCCCGTGAAGAATTTTGTCCAATGAGCCCTAGCTACCCATCCTTATCGCTCACGGTTGCTCACGGACCAGACTTTAGAAACGTAAGAAACAACGGAGTTACTCCTTAACACTGTTTACGTTTTAGTTTCCGGTAAATCTGTCACCATCAACATTTTTTGTGAGTTTCATTGTTAATTCGGTCAAAACATGGCACGACTATAACTAAAGGAAAGATAATTTCTTCTCAATAAAAAGCAAACGACACAACAAAATTAACGCCCGTACTCACAAACATTACTATGAGATCTCATAGTGTGCGTGGACGCACAGGGTGACACGGACCAATCACAGATCTCTATTTAACGCTGTGCGTTCGATTTGCTGTTTCACTTAAGCAAGTATCGTTTGTGAAATAATACGGGTGTAAGTGTTCAACGAAATTAAATGTCATTACTGATTAAAGACGTTTATAGAGGGAAAAGTTGACGGCTTTTAGTTAAATTTTTTGTTAGAAACAATTTTTCTTCAGATCTTTGTGCTCTATATTTTATACTATTTTCCCAATCATATAATCCTGAAAAGTAACACGTACCTGTAAGCCAGGTATATCTCTGGAGTTTTAGACTTGTTCTTCGCATTGAAGAACTCCGGCAAGGCGCGCTTCTCGATGGTGTGGATGGAGTTGTAGTCGAACCACGCCGAGTAGGACGGGACCACGATGTGGTGCGTCTGGTCCGTCACGTTGTCTTCTAGCTCCTCCTTGATTATCATCTCCTGATAGGACATAAATGTAAGTAAAGTCAACAAAATCAAAGTATTTTTTAGTTATCAGTGCTTGGACAGTTGAATTTATTGCAGTAGAAAATTTACTGAGATGTGTACTGAAAAATCAATGCCAATTAAATGTTATTGTTGTGTTAGCAAAAATATACTATAAAAAACCGGTTAAGAGAGAAACGAAGTCGGAAATGCACATGAAAGGTGTACTATCATACAAGTTGAGCACCGTGTGTATTTATTATTTTTATCTATGAATTTGAATTATCTCTGTAAATGAAACAAAAATGCCAAAAAGACCGTTCTTCAAAACTTCGCTGTTAATTTTCTTCTATTTAACTTTTAAAGAGATAGCCTTAGGTCATGGCAGTAGACATTTATTTAACTACTTACACAAAGGAGGGTACTCCAAGATTGTTATCTATTTACCTGTGTGTTGGAATCGGAGTGCTTGCCCTGCGAGTCATCATGCGCATCAACATCAAGAGACGGCGCGTGCGTGGCGGGCGTCAAACAGAGACGTTTATTGCGTGATAAATCCCTAGGTGGCGCTAGTTAAACCCAGCGTGTGTACCCGGCTACGTCCCTAAAGGAGTGTAATGTCACCAATAATGTTAGCTATTACCTGCGTATTGGAATCGGAGTGCTTGCCCTGCGAGTCGTCGTGCGCATCAAGAGACGCGGGTTTTCCGAGCGCCAAACAGACACGTTTATTGCGTGATAAATCCCTAGGTGGCGCTAGTTAAACCTGGCGTGATTAGTGTTGTGTGTACCGGAGTGTAATGTGGTCACCAATAATGTTAGTTATTTACCTGCGTATTGGAATCAGAGTGCTTGCCCTGCGAGTCGTCGTGCACATTAAGAGACGCGGGCGTGGCGTGTGTCAAACAGACACGTTTATTGCGTGATAAATCCCTAGGTGGCGCTAGTTAAACCTGGCGTGATTAGTGTTGTGTGTACCGGAGTGTAATGTGGTCACCAATAATGTTAGCTATTTACCTGCGTGTTGGAATCGGAGTGCTTGCCCTGCGAGTCGTCGTGTGCATCGAGAGGCGGTGCGGGCGTGGCGGGCGTCAAACAGATACGTATATTGCGTGATAAATCCCTAGGTGGCGCTAGTTAAACCCAGCGTGTGTACCCGGCTACGTCCCTAAAGGAGTGTAATGTCACCATTCTTCTTCTTAGTCGGGCACTCTTATCAGAGTGGTCGTGGTTGCGCTGACGAGGTACATGGTGGGGTGATGTTATCTCCGAGGGTAGCTCTCCTGGCGATGTGCTTCCATTTCTGACGGTTAGAGGCGTCGCGAGTACATTGGACCATGGTGGACTCAGTGGCCTTCGTGATGGCGTCTATCCAGAGGGTTGGCGATCGACCGCGTGCTCTTCTGCCTTCCACCTGGCCCTGAACTACCAGTCTCTCCATCGAGTTCTCATGTTGTCACCAGTAATGTTAATGGTAAGTATAGGAGCACAAAATTGCCCGTTTTTTGCTCTTGTCCGTGACATCATTTGAAATAAACCACTGCTCCAATCTGCATTTATATATCTTCCAAGTCTGAAGATTGTGATCAAAATTTGAAATAAATCCGAAATTTGCACCGGCCATTTTTATTTCTTACAAACGCGGGTAGAAGTCGCCACTGGTAAGTATAGGAGCACAGGACGCGAGTGAAACACGAGACTGCTGTCAACGCACTGATTTATTATTGAGACGTTAGAACGCGGGCGCAGCCACGCATCGTATATCTATAGCTATACATACATATATAAAGGCGGCCTGCGATCCAATATGCAACAGTTAACTATTTACCTGTGTGTTGGAATCAGAGTGCTTGCCCTGCGAGTCGTCGTGCGCGTCTAAAGGCGGCGCGGGCGTGGTCGGTGCTTCCGTGGGAGCGGGCGCGGCCGGCTCAGGCGCCGCCGCTGGTGCTGTAAGGGTACAAAAGGAGCTGTTTGACTGCGGTTCAATGAGTACCGTTGGAGTTTCTTAACTCTAGCTTTAATAATAATAATAATAAATATCTTTGGACATTTTTTACACTGCGCCTCTAGTCCCAAACTAAGCAAAGCTTGTACTATGGGTACTAGACGACGGGATAAACATACTTATATACTTTTTTTTTGTAAATACATACATACGAGTATTATACATAGAAAACACCCAGACCCGTCACAGAAATTAAAATTCATCATTTCAATTTCTGCCCGGCCGGGAATCGAACCCGGGACCTCTCGGCATAGTAGTCCGTTCTGAACCACTACACCAAACGGTACAGTTAGAGCAGGGGTAGCCAAACTTTTGATATGTGATGTCTACTTATGCTGGAAAATATTTCTTGCGGTCGACTGCAAGGTAGAGTTTAGAAGAGTGAAATGAAACATTTTAGCAGCAACAATACTACCACGTTACGACCGACCGAAGCGTGTGAGTGCCTATATTTATAGGTAGAGAAAATAAGCAATATTATTTTTTAATATTGTTCTGTTCAGTTTATTTAACTCTCGCGGGCTACCAAAATCGTATTCGCGGTCGACCGTTAGCTCGCGGTCGACTGGTAGCTCGCGGTCGACCGGTAGCTCGCGGTCGACGACCGGTAGCTCGCGGTCGACTGGTAGCTCGCGGTCGACCGTTAGCTCGCGGTAGACCGGTAGCTCGCGGTCGACTGGTAGCTCGCGGTCGACCTCTTGGTCATCACTGAGCTAGAGTATGTCTTATAATATGTATAAGACAAGGCCAAGACCACGTGAGCTGAGAGTACATGAAATGGTCCAGTTTGAGTCTTCAAATTCAAGCTAGAGCATCTGAATGCGATACATATGTAGCAAGGGTAAAAAGGGCGTTAGAAGCGCGACAGCAGCGCGGCAGCGGCGTTTTTATTATATTATTATGTAATGTGAAGGCATACATCCGCTGTCACATAGTAATTTTCGGCAGCGCGGTTGTCGCGCTGCTAAATCGCCTAAATGTGAAAGCGCTCTAAATATCACTGACTGTCGGTTGAGCGTTCGGTGTCGGGCGTGGGCGCGGCATCGGTGTTATCCCGCGACGCCGTATCCTCTTCGTCGTCGGCGTCATTGTCGCGCCGCTTCGTAATGCGGCTGTAACAATACACAATTTATTATTCGTTGTGTCCCGTCAGGTGGGTGATTCTTAGACGAAGATGCGGACGATAGTCCAAGTCAGGACAATAACTCGCGGCACCGGAGTCCAACTCCGGTGGACACCGTCAGGTTACATGAATGGGTAGGCCCGCCGGCCCTATTGCGGAGATTCCACATAACTCACTAGTCGTCCCCATCGGTCAGTGGGTATGCGCAAAGCATTTCCGACATAAAAAAAGAAGGTGGGGCGATTTTTGTACAATAAAATAAAAGATAAATTCAGGTTTTTATTTTTTTTTCAAATGGCAATCTGGTAAAATCATTCCGGCTATTGTTTTGTTTTAAACGATGACTGATGATGAATGAACGAAGAGCTATTTCTCCATACGTAAGAAAATACTCATTGGTTTTTTGAACTACTCTATTTTTTATTTAGATTCATATTCTATAGTCTGGTCCGGGAGCTCGTAGAATTTTGTCCAATGACCCCAAGCTACCCATCCTTATCGCTCGCGCGTAATTATATTGCTGTCGCGACTGTGCGACGGGCGCCCGCAGTGAGTGTGCGAGCGCGACAACAACATAATTACGCGCGAGCGATAAGGATGGGTAGCTTGGGGTCATTGGACAAAATTCTACGTGCTCACAGACCGGGCTTTAGTACTGACCTCTTCCTCTTGCCGTGCTTCTGCGGCGGCGGCGAGGGCGAGCGCTTGCGCTTGCTGCCCTTCTTGCCCTTGCCCGAGCTCTCCGCGCCCGGGATCAGGTCGTCCACGGATAAGCGAAGCTTGTGCACCTGCGGCAAAGATAATGCTGGGATTTTGAACCTTATTGCCTTGACTTAAGATAACAGTCAGCGTCAAATAGTTCGTGACACCGAAAAATTCGCAACACATTTTTGTTACAATTGGAATAGACGTTGCATTGTGTTGTCAACTTATTGGTCACTTTGGGTGTCGTGACAACATCACGTATAGCGAATCAGCGCCTGTAATACGGGCGAATATAAAAATGAATTGTTGTTCGTTAGTCTGATTAAAACTCGAGAACGGCTGGGCCGATTGAGCTGATTTTGGTTTTAAAATGTTTGTCATAGTCCAGGGTAGGTCTAAACGGTGAGCAAATAAGGAAAAATTGCGATGGCTTATTTATTGCCTTTAAGGCGGAACAGAGTTCGCGGGGTTAGCTAGTTAGCAATAAAATGTATAGTCTGATATGCTGTTGTCTGTAAAAAAAAAACTTGCTTAGCCTGGTGCATGGTAGCATAGAAGTCAAGTTTATACTACGCTTGGAATACGAGGCTTACAACGCTCTTACCATAAACGCAGTTAGTAAGGTGCCTTGGACTATGGTTAACGTTATGGCAAGTTGCAAATAAACCTGACTATGGTACCCTGCATTGATGTACTATCGGGGACTCTTCCGCCTGA